GCGAGCCATCTGCCGAGAATGCGACAGTGCTGATCGAGTCTTGATGACCTCGGAGTGGCCCTCCCAACGGCTGGCCAGTCTCTGCATCCCATAGTCGAATTGTCTTGTCATGTGAGCCAGAGACAATTCGCGAGCCATCTGGCAAGAATGCGACAGCACTGACCGAGTCTTGATGACCTCGGAGTGGCTCTCCCAACGGCTGGCCAGTCTCTGCATCCCATAGTCGAATTGTCTTGTCATGTGAGCCAGAGACAATTCGCGAGCCATCTGGCGAGAATGCGACAGCGGTGACCGAGTCTTGATGACCTTGGAGTGGCTTTCCCAATGGCTGGCCAATCTCTGCATCCCACAGTCGAATTGTCTTGTCAAGTGATCCAGAGACAATTCGCGAGCCATCTGGCGAGAATGCGACAGTGCTGATCGAGCCTTGATGACCTCGGAGTGGCTCTCCCAGCGGCTCCCCAGTCTCTGCATCCCACCGTTGAATTGTCTTGTCATGTGAGCCAGAGACGATGCGCGAGCCATCTGGCAAGAATGCGACAGCGGTGACCCAGTGTTGATGACCTTGGAGTGGCTCTCCCAGCGGCTGGCCAGTCTCTGCATCCCACAGTCTAAGTGCTGTGTCATATGAGCCAGAGACAATTCGCGAGCCATCTGACGAGAATGCGACAGCGGTGACCGAGTCTTGATGACCTCGGAGTGGCTCTCCCAACGGCTGACCAGTCTCTGCATACCACAGTCGAATTGTCTTGTCAACTGAGCCAGAGACAATTCGCGAGGCATCTGGCGAGAATGCGACAGCCCTGACCCAGTCTTGGTGACCTCGGAGTGGCTCTCCCAACGGCTGGCCAGTCTCTGCATCCCATATTCGAATTGTCTTGTCAACTGAGCCAGAGACAATTCGCGAGCCATCTGGCGAGAATGCGACACTGCTGACCCAGCCTTGATGACCTCGGAGTGGCTCTCCTAACGGCTGGCCAGTCTCTGCATCCCATAGTCGAATTGTCTTGTCATGTGAGCCAGAGACAATTCGCGAGCCATCTAGTGAGAATGCGACAGCGCTGACCCACTCTTGATGACCTTGGAGTGGCTCTCCCAATGGCTGGCCAGTGTCTGCATCCCACAGTCGAATTGTCTTGTCAAGTGAACCAGAGACAATTTGAGAGCCATCTGGTGAGAATGCGACAGGGCTGACGCAGCCTTGATGACCTCGGAGTGGCTCTCCCAATGGCTGGCCAGTGTCTGCATCCCACAGCCGAATTGTCTTATCAACTGAACCAGAGACGATTCGCGAGCCATCTGGCGAGAATGCGACAGCGCTGATCGACTCTTGATGACCTCGGAGTGGCTCTCCCAACGGCTGGCCAGTCTCTGCATCCCACAGTCGAATTGTCTTGTCATGTGAGCCAGAGACAATTCGCGAGCCATCTGGCGAGAATGCGACAGCGTTGATCTTTTGATGACCTTGGAGTATTCTGGGGAGCCCAGGATACGTCTCGTCAAGACCCCTGGTTACTTTCAATGCATTCGTATGCTCTCCTAGACCCTCAATATGTAACGTCGACCTGCTTGGACTGAATGGGAGTGATGAGATGTATATATGGGGAGCGCTGTCCTGGATAGGCACCGAAAATGCCATCAAAAACCTCCTGATGTCATTCATCCGACGCCTTGTTTCTTCTTCGATCTATCTCTTGCTTCAATAATCGGAAATTCTTGGATAAATTACTCACTCTCTGATGTTGTGCCGCAGCTCGAAGTCCAGATATTGCTCGCATCACTCCTCCCGTCACACTCAATACCTCCATCCAATAGAGTGCAAAAGGACTTCTGACTATATGTGCCAGTTCGCTCTGCAGCTCGTGTCCTGAGCCATCATCCATTGCTGACACATGGAATGGCCAGTGCAAACTGGCATAGCGAAGCCTCCGTGAAATGTATTTCTTTACTCGAGCTTCCAGGTCTGGGATCTGCCTATTCAGATAGAAGGACGACTCGATTTGGCATATGTTGAACTTGAGACCTTCTGTTCTCGATCGGAGACCACTCAAACACCATGACGCGACTTGACCATGCGCGTGGGAGATGTTGATATAGATCCTGCCGCTCACATCTACGGCTGGAACAATGCAGCATCGTTGAAGGTATTCGACAAATGTGGGATGGCGAAACTGAATCAAATGTGTGATTGGATCCTCCTTGAGTACGGTACCTAGAATCCGTACCAGTGCTTTGGCACTCCCTTGTCCTTTGGCATGTTTAATGATATTTTCCAAGTCGTCGCTGGTGAGTGGCTCGAACGCAGCAAGCAGCATACCCAGCATTTCAATAATGGCTGGTTTGGATGCTTGGTCGATGCGTGCAATAACAAGGTCGTATACGCCGTCGATGGCTCCGGGCTGATCAATAGAAATCAGTCGGTCATATATGATCTCGGGATCGATTGCCAACGATTCATCATTAAGCATCCGGCATGCAGTGCTCGCCCAAATGAACAGCCCGTTGGCCTTGTTGACCAGTCTCCGCCTCTTATCAGAGGACAGGATTCCACCAAGCGATTGGTGGACATAGATTGCAATATCTTCGACATTATCACGATGGCTAGTATCGTGGAGGCGATCTGTCAACTTGGCCTTGATCGAAAGAGGTTGTAAAACCTTTTCGATGATAGGGTCTGGTCGACTTGTGATGAAGATTCGAAGATTCTTGTTCTCCTGAGCGGCAGCAGAGAGTGCCTCCACGAGTTCTTTTCTCTGTCGTCCAGACTTGCATTCATCGATAGCGTCAATGACTAGCATTACTGGATTTTGTTGATGCTGGAGTGACTCGGCGATGAGAATTCGGAACTGTTCCGCGAACGAGCTTCGCAGGACGGCAGGGTTTCGCTTCCAGGCCTTGGCAATGTATGGAGCCAGATTGGGAACGTATTGAGCTAGTTCCCTGGCAAGAGTGGAGCAGAACTTGTCTGTATTAGACCATTCGCTGATCGCCATGGAGAAGAAAAATGTGCCGCCTAGGGTTCCTTCATTCTTCCATGCTTCTACGGCAGACATTGCAATAGTCGATTTTCCAGAGCCGGCTATATCGCAGAGCCAAAAGATTGGCTTCGGTGACTCCTTGTTGGCTGCCCAGCGCCAGATCGTCTCGAGGACAGCCTGACGGGTTCCTTTGAGACAAGTATTGTGGACGGAAGATGCGGCCGAGGCCACCATTGGCAGCTGTAGTATGGTAGCGTAGTCGGCTGTGAATGGGTCTTAGCGGGCTTGTTGGACATCAATGATCCAACGTACCTTCTGTCAGGACACTTTCCACCTTTTGTTTGATGGATTTGGTAGTGTGCTGGATCTCTAGAACACCGTAGGCAGTATAGACATTTAATGCATCCTTTATAAAGTGAGTTCGCGAATGTTGCTAATGGGGTTCGTACCATGAACTGCCTATGTCGATCCTCGAGCTCTCGGTTGAATTTCTGGATATCTCCAGCGCCAATCTTCATCGTGCTGACTGCTGTAAGCCCTCCTAGTGGTTTATCATTTTGCATTTTCACGTAACCAATTATCCTGTTGTGGAGATCCTCAAGGAGTCTATAAAGATTATGAAGGAGAAGAACGAATAGCTGCAGCCACGTACTTGACGTAAAGGGTCAGTGGTTGACTAAAGCCTTCGTCCAAGGAGCCATCAATCTCAGGAGGATCGCGTTTGAGCAAGGTGATCTGCCCATTGATAGCCGACAGATAGGCTTCAAGACGCCGTACGAGCTCTAACCAGTCTTCTTGGTTATTCCTGATCCCCTAATGTGGCCGTTGATTAGCCCAAGATATACCAGTCTCGCTATTTTTGCTAGCTCACTTGAACGGTGTCGAGGACCGTTTTGGTCGCTCGACAAGCAGCTTTAAGAGGGCTTAGTATATCGGATGCCTCTGCTATATTTGCCATAAAGTCGAGGAACACGTTGGCCGTATCCACCACTTTGTCTCCTCTCCTGGATGGGCCCTCTTGAATGGAAGATGATGAAGATCCTGGAAGATCGTCTTGTTTTGCGTGAGATTTCTTATTACTTTTGAATAACTTGAACCGCATGATGGACTGGTGGATAGGCAAGATCCAAAGGAGGCTGGAAGGCCATATTGGCCCTTGTCGGCCACACTGCCTTGCACAGTAGCGCTCATAACCCGGCGACTGTCGAGGCCAAGTCTGAGCGAGTTCTAGTTGTTTACTTGCATCTTGGACTTGTTCACTTCGTCTACTTATCTCTTTGTTGACGACGCACTAACTGGCGTCGTTCTTTACACGCTATTTGGCCGTCGATGAGTTATCCACAGGTATGTCAACATTTCCCGTGTAAATACCGAGCACTGGCTCTTCGAGGGACATGCTGGCGACGTCGGCCACGCTCACCGTCTCCGTTCATCTGCCGCCCATCAAATACGCACCTTGTCCCCGACCGCGTCCATCTATTCTCCTCTCTAAGGAGAATATACGCGTATTCTCCTCTTCTGGACGATAATATCTCGTCGAGGCAGTCTCATTTTCGTACTCTGTGATTCCAAAAGCTATAGCCGCTGATGGAAAACCCGTTTGACCATCCGCAGGATCAGTACCCGCCGCGTCAGAACCAATCTGGTTCACCATGGAATGCCAATAATCCGAATAATACTGGTGCTCCTCCACCTCCGCCAAGACCACCGAGCAACCCCGCTCCCAATAACCAGGGAGCGTATTCGCAGGGCAGCTATCCGCCTTATAGTGCTGGAGGCGCTGGATATGGATACAACTCGGATATGTCTACGTTTGTTTGTCGGTCTAGACCAGCTGGCATCCAGCGCAATCTGCAATGTCTACGGTATTGGATCAACCCGAGCTGACGCGTATATTGGAATAGGCTATGACAATCCCTACGGAGGATACTACGACCAATCCGCATACGATAATCCCAACAGCCTGTTCACATCCACCGGCCAAGTTGTCTCCAATCAGCCCGTCCATCAAAATCCAAGCGCATTCCTTACACCTGGAGGTCAACACCCGAGCTTGTACAACGGACATGTTCACCTTTCCTTCGTTGACGCCCGGCCATGGAGGCGGTGGCGGACGATACGATAGCGCACCGACGCCGTTCAGCGGCGCAAGCAAATTGGGTGTGCTAGGGAATAACAATGGGCGACCGTACTCGACCGTCAATCCCGACCGATACAACTCTCCTGCGCCTCCGGGCAATCGACATTCTCTACCACGGCGCCTGTAGTCTCGCCTCTGATCTTCTACAAGCCTAGACTGAGGCGCGGATACGTATAGGTATGGTCGTACCCCGCAACGTATACCGTGTCATTACAAAACCAAGGAGCGATATGAACTCTTCCAGGGAAACTTGGACAATGAGGTGCTCAGCAAACCTTTCGAAATATGTCCTCAAAAGACTGAGTGGGTTCAAGTTCATGCGTTTTGTTCGAGAAGTCCCCTCGTTCTCCTCGTTGAAGGCAGTATAGCTTTCTGTGCCCCACGGCGACGGACGTAGGATCCCAATATCTTCAAGGCGGAAGGATGTGCCACTCTTCCGGCCTTGTACCACCTCTCATGCAAGACAGATTGCTCATGGCAAGCACAGATACAAAGGTGTGGATACTAGGGTCAGGACTCGACGAGAGTACAGAGTTGATCCTAGACTCGCCTACGTCGCCGTCAATACTTCTGCACTATGACTTGTTATCTCACGCTGGTCAAGTCAAAACGACCGGAAACCCGCCGTGGAGCGACAAATGGTGCCTGCTACGAGACTCAGGCCAGCGGCATAGAGTGTAGCAAACAAGGTACGCATCGAAGATCATGACGTACGCAGAGGAGCAATCATATCTCCCGAGAGGATATTTCGGTGAGTAATCAACTGGATATTGGCGAAAAGGTCACGGCCAGCATCTTGCCAGATGGCTCCCGACGACATTTGTTGTAGATCTTGGTTAGAGCTCTCGACTTATTCTATTGATCCAAACCGGGAAGCAGGGGATCCCTCCTCGCGACGCTCTTTCTGAGAGATCGGCTGCTTTTCTCGTCGTCATTCTCGCTTGGTCAACGTTTCCGTTTAATCCTCGATTGTTTTCTTGTCCGTCACGACACGTCCTAGGTTTACTCTTAAGTGGGGGGCCTTCCAGGCGAGGCAGGCGTGGGCGGGAGTGGCTCTGGGTGGGATGGTGGGCCAACATCTCACGCTCACGCTCACGCCTGCAGAGCATCACCTAGGGCGCGGTGGGTGGGTCGACGAATTTTCAGCCTTTTGGGGGCCACGCTACGCCCGTGCTGTCGGCAGCGGGCTTGCGTTGATGTTGGTTGGCGGAGCCTTTCGTTTGCGGCTCTTGCCACCTCCACCCGCACCTCCATTTTTCGATTTCATATTTCGTCGTTTGTCAATTAATTCTTTCCAATATATTCTCTATCTATACTGTTTTCCTTCTAAGTTCTATTCCTGGAGCTCCCATTCCTCGCTCGCTCTCGCAGCATGGCGAGACCTTCTGGTCTCCAACCAGCTGCTTTTCTCGTCGTCATTCTCGCTTGGTCAACGTTTCCGTTTAATCCTCGATTGTTTTCTTGTCCGTCACGACACGTCCTAGGTTTACTCTTAAGTGGGGGGCCTTCCAGGCGAGGCAGGCTCCCAGTTTTGCGTTTTTCGCATCTTCCTGCCTTCGCCTGGGCCTTTCCGCTGTTAAGCGCCCCCAATTTTGCCCGGTGAAGGTATCTATTCATAGCCGTTTATCCTTCCATTGTACATTTGCCGCGTGGTATTCGATTATTCCGCCTGTGTTCCTCCAGTATAACTTGAAGCTCTCTGAAGACCAACGTCCCATCTTCTTCACAATCTCCACATCCACGCCACTCAGCAGGAATGCCGTCGTTCCACCAATTCGGAAACAGTGCCCGGTAAAACTTCCTGAACCCGCTGGGCTCCACACCTCGTTGCACATCTTCATGAATTGTGCCTTTGTCATTGTCGTTCTCTCGCCGTTCCGGCTCTTGAATTCACACAGCATCGCCCGAGCGTCTCCAATTCTTGACTTTGCTAGGTGTCGCTCGATGGCTCTTGACGGTTGCTTGTTCCTTTGCTCGACCAGTTCGATTGTCGCTCCTCTGTTCCCAGTCGTCTTCGTCCATGGCAGGTAGAGACTTGATGCCGCCGCTTCCATTGCCGTCTCGCCTCGTCACTGTCCAATGGTGTCGTTTCGGGTATCGATCCGTTTCCTTCGTTTCTGGTGACGCTGGCAGGAGCTCGCCCAATCTACATAGGCCACACCATGCCGTCATCGCTATCGCTAGCGCCGCTACCTCTTCCGCCGATCCTTCGTACCACTTTCCGATTAGTCTCTCCATCATCTCCGAGGTCACCGGCCGTCTTAGTTCCTTCGGTTCCTTTCTTCTCGGCCACATCCTCTCGATGCCTCGGATTATTCTGCTCGTGTTTGTAGGTTCGATGAATTCCATCCCGTTGTCTTTGTGCCACGATTTTATGCTCGATAGTTTTTTCCGTGCTGTGCCCGGTCCGGTTACACCTGCGCCGTCCGCTATGAATAAGCTCACTATCTCCGGTCGGCTTGGCAGGGCTTTTCGATTGGGACCTCGATCCTTCGGCAAACGTTTCGAATTTCTTCACGTAGCCGCTATATCCTTTCCGCGTTTGCTCTGTGAGACCATGATTCAGCGCCGTTGTAAGCTTCTCCTCTGCCTGGTGCCGGCGTTCCTCTGTCGACTCGGTTCTGATCGTCTGTTTTAGTAGGTTTCCGATATCTTTCTCGTTCTTGTCTGCCCTCGACACCTTCCTCTGCCTCTCGCCATTCGCTCGCTTGCTTGCGGCTTTTTCTTTCCGATCTTCTCATTTCTTTTTCGCCGTTCTCGGCTTCGTTTGTCTCTTTCTGTTTTTCGCCATCTGGTAGCTTCGCCTAATTATCATCTGGCGTGGCTTTGTCCAACTTTCATCTTTTGCGTCCTCATCTCTCTCGGGTTCCTTGTTCGTCCAGTCTCTTCTCACCATCGATTCTCATCCTAGGCTCTTCGTACATAACCGACCAATGACCTTGGGAATCTCCCCAGCTTCCTCTGAGTGTATCCGGGCGGCTCTAGCCCCCTCGATGGCCCGTCGGCTGGGTTTTCTTCCGACCGCACATATGTCAGTGTCAGGTATGCCTCTGCTCGCACTAGCCGGCGTAGAATTCGCCCGAGAACCTCGTTTTGCGCCTCGTTTCTCGATAACCGCTTCTTCCAGCCGCCAATTACGCCCTGGTTATCTGTGCAAATCTCTATGTGCGTCCTTTCCGCTTCTGGCCGTTGCAGTATGAACTCGACTGCTAGCTCGACCGCCGCAAATTCTGCCCATCCAATCTCTCGTTCTGCGCCATCGCCCTCCCTCGTTCTCCAGTCACTTTCCAACCTGAATTTGTCGTATTCATCATCGATCACGACGCCCAGTCCCCATCCCGTCGACGCGTCTGTGTAGATCCGGTACTTGCAGTTTGGTTCGCGTTGTGTACATAGCTGAATCTTTATCTCCGGCTTCTCGAGCGTTTCCTTCCACCATCTGAGGTCGCACTTCGCCTTCTCCGGCATGTTCCACTTGATATACTTCGAGTGCTGGTTCGGTAGGCCCATTTTCGCTACCGTCGCCCATAAAGCTCTCGTGTGCGTTCGTCCTTCAGGAATTATCATTCCTAGGTGCGCCAGCTTCCCGCATAATGACTGCAGCCTTTCCCCGGACGTCTTCCTTCCTTCTTCCAACACCTCCTGTACCAGTGCTAGGTTCTTCTTCCGCTTTGACTCGCTGACACTGACTGCACGTTCTTGCCAATGCCAGTCACAGCCGACGTACGTCGTGATGTTGGCGAAGTCGCGCACCTTGTCCGGCGGAAAGGGGATTCCCAGCTCCTCCCCAAGCTCCAATATTTTCGCTATTCCCATTCCATATATCCATTCCTCCCCGTCTCTCCGTACTGGAAGTCGTCGGATCATCAGGTCGTCTACCCAGTATATGATCGTTCCGAGCTCTTTCCGTGTGCAGATTTCTACGAACGCTCTGTTCGGTAGTTCGAATATGCCAACGGATGATTTTGCGCCAAACTTTGCCGCCTTGTCGATCCAGAATTTCCCGTTCCATTCGACTACTCCGTATCTCCAATCCTCTGGACGTATAGGGCAGTTTCTGAACGCCGCTTCCCAGTCTATCGTTGCACCTTGTGCTCCATCTGGCGAGGTCACGATGAGCTCTATCATCTCTGCCAGTCCTCCCCAGTTCGTTCCGAGGTTCTCGATATTCGTTTGTGCGTTTACTGATTGTTGTTCATCTTCGTAGGCGAATGATAGGTGTTCAATTACGCGTTTTCCCTTCCACTCGCCTTGTCGACCGTTCCAAGTGGGTTTGCCACAAATGCGCCCAGCCTTTTCTCGACTTCCTCGCGTGTATGTGGGCCGTCATATCGATTTGCTGCAACCTCTTTTTCTATATGATCTTCTATCACTTTGGGGTGCTCGACCGCTGACCTCAGGTGTGGGTATACTCGTGTTTCGTCAATTGCCAACTGGCACTGCATATTGAAGCCGTTCTTAAGTCCATCTATGAGCGTCGCATGCTCCTCCAAAATATCAAGATATTTAAGCGCTTCCTCCCACTTCTTGGCCTGTAGCGGGGTCACTGGCTCTGGTTGTCTTCCATTCGTGTCAGTTTTGTCCGCGCTTGCATGATTGGGCACTGTGGCTGGCTGATAGGCATCCCGTGCATACGTGCTTTCCATTTGCACAACGGCTCGCCGAACATCCTTTGGCCGTGTTGAATGACCAGCAGAAGGACGTTCCATCGAAAAGCGTCCAGTCCCCTTTGGCATTCTTTTTGACGTTGACGTCTGCGCCATCGATTTGGCGTCTTGCGCTGCAGAAGCGCGATTGGTGGCCCGTATCGGCATGAAACACCTACCCTCGCCTTTGTTTCCTCTCCTGATCCTCTCTGCCTCCATCCTTCCTGCCGTCCGTTTTCCCATTTGACAGGCTCGCCGAGCTTCCCATACTCGCCCCACTCCTTTCGACTCGATTCTCCAGCGCGTCAAGCCGGTCGACATATCCGACGTTTACCCTCATCTCTGCCCGCATCAGTGCCTTCTCGTCGTTCGGATCTGGCACAAGTCTCGCGCCAGCCTTCGGGTTTGGGATGCATCGTTGGATTGTCTCGATTGCTAGTTCGCGGAGCACGGGCCATTCGTTCTTCGATATCACCTTACTGTGATATAAGTTGTTCCAGAACGACTTCCAGAACTTGGCAACATCCGGCCAGTTGCTCTTCATCAGACTGTAGTGCCGCTTGATCGCTGCGATCCCTTCGTCGAGTGGAATCGACTTGTCACTCTTCTCGTACACCGGGTGTTCGAGTACCCCGTTTGTAGCTAATTCTGTATGCATCTTGTCGTTTCAAGAACTCGTCTGTGAGGAAAGTGAGGGGACGGGGTTCCTTCGGCGAAGGCCTCCATTAACTTCCGTGGGATCGAACCAATCTCGTCGATTTCGTTGTCAACTTCTGTATATATGTCAATATTATTTTTCGATTACTCGGTTAGCCGCGCGACGAGTAGTGCGTCCAGTCATCTCGTCTGCCTTTGGCAGCTGCTGTTCGGTCTCCTCGGTCTCTTCCTTGATAGGTACGTAGATGTAGCCTTTCCACTTCGACTTTGGGATTGGCTCGCCGCTCGGTTTCCTCTCCTCCGCCTCTTCTCCTTTGGGCACTTTGCCCGTCTCTTCCTGGCTTCCTTCGCTCTCGTTTTCGTCGTTTTCATCAGCCATGATGTGATGCTTCTTCTCGCTGTCCTCGTCTCCTCGCTGCCTCAACTCGCTATCTCGCTTGCGTGGCCATTTCTGTCGCACTTTGCTCTTCCTTCTGCTTCCGAGCCGTCCATATTGTCCTCCTCTCCTTCTTCCGTTCCTCCTCCGGCTCTGGCGGTCCTTCATGCCCTCCAGCAACTTGTCGATCGCGCGCGTCCGTTCGTCGACTTCGCGCTCCGCCTGCTTCTTCTTCTCCTTCGGTTTGTCCTTTCCTTTGGTCGTCTTTACGGCGATACCCATCTCGCCAAGTCCCAGGGGTCGTCCCTGCCACTTCCAAACTTGACAAACGTTGTTGTATCTGCGCTCGCGTAAGTCTCCAATCCATCTTTTCTTGATTCTCGGCGTTCCCAGTCCTTCGGTTGGACGCTCGCGCGCTCTTGGTAGCTCTCGGCCCATGCGATCGTTCCTCTGGCTCAGTCTCTCGGCCTCGTGCCGGTTTTCCATCGCGTTCGTCTATCCTTTCTCTGTCTGCCGGTTCTCGCTCCGGGTCTCATCGTGGCACTGTACTGCCCGCTCAAGTCTAGCAGCCCTGCCTCAGCTGCGCTCGCTGGCTCGTGCCAGTTTCGTCGGTCTCAGTCTCTTCCTCCTCTCCCTCCGATTCCCGTTCTTGGGATTTTTCGGCTTTGGGGAGGAGGGGTCTGCCTTCGGCTTTGGCACGACCTCGTGGACGCGACACGTCATCTCGATGTATACGTATCTTGGAACTACGCTCGATTGCGTACAACGATTGCCATTGTCGAGTCTGGTCCTCCCAGCTCGACTTACGCTCCGTGCGTGCTGGCTCACGTCGCCTCGCCGGTCCTCTCGGCTCGAGTTCTCCCGCTCTTGCTACACACTGTAGCCATCTAGTACCTTGCGGTACAGCTCGTTCTTTCCCTGGGCATGTCTCTCCTGCCCCTCCCGTCCTCCAGGCTTGCCATGGTAGTCGGCTATCTCTGGCCTCGGCGCCTGACTTGTCCGCGTTTCCTCCGTGGCGCTCTACTGTCCACCGGTTCTGATCGCTCGATCGCTTGTCTTGGCTCTGCCGGCCTCCAGCCGACTGCCATCTGACCCTTCGCTCGCGCCGATGAGTTTGATCTTTCCTTTCTCGCCCTTGCCCTTCTTCTTCTTTCTTCTTCTCGCCCTTCCCTTTTTCTTCCTTTTTTTTGTCGTGACGATGATGATGATGACTCTGACGAAGATTCGCTACCAGACGATTGTGATTCGTCCGATTCACTTCGGACTCGCTGCTGTCCTCATCGCTTGTCGTCTCGTTCTCGCCGGTTTCGTCGACATCCATCTTCTCCATCTCCTTGCGTGCCTTGTCTGCCGCGGCTAATTCTATCTTCTCTTCGATGCTCTCGGCGAGCTCCTTATTCTTTTCGAGTCTTTTGAGGATCTCCTTCCTCTCCGCTGCCGCCTCGACCGCTTGCTGACGCGCTTTTTGCTGCTGTCAACCGCAAGCTCCGCAAGTTTGTCGTTGATCTTCCTGCTTTCCGTCGTGTCCTGGTTGATTGCAGCCTGGAGGCGTGCAATGCCGTCCTGGTACGTCTTTCGGATTTTGCGGCATGCCTCTTCTTTGCTGCTTCCAGCGCAGCCTTGGATCTTTCTTTTCTCGACTCGCTGCTTCTTTTCGACGATTTCGACCTTGCACTCTTGCCTTGGTCGTTTTGATTTTGACTTTTCACCATCTTTGACGTGCTTATTGTCTGCTTTTCTCGGCTGATTCAGGTTGTCTTCTGGTTGTTCTTTCGACGAATTTTCAGCCTTTTGGGGGCCACGCTACGCCCGTGCTGTCGGCAGCGGGCTTGCGTTGATGTTGGTTGGCGGAGCCTTTCGTTTGCGGCTCTTGCCACCTCCACCCGCACCTCCATTTTTCGATTTCATATTTCGTCGTTTGTCAATTAATTCTTTCCAATATATTCTCTATCTATACTGTTTTCCTTCTAAGTTCTATTCCTGGAGCTCCCATTCCTCGCTCGCTCTCGCAGCATGGCGAGACCTTCTGGTCTCCAACCAGGATAAGATTCGATGAATGTTGTATTACTATGGCTTGCTAGGAATTGAATACACTTGGAGAGCGTTGAATGTGATGACCTGTAAAGTGTAGTCAAAGATGAGGAATTGAAGTTGGCACGAGAGGGTTCCTCGACGGCCTGGTAACCCAGTTGAGAAGGCTGGCCGTTCGTGACTCCAGAAGTCGGACATGAAGAGCACGGTCCTTGCGAATCAACCAGAGGGCAAAAGATTGTTGGTGCATGCAGCTCAATTGGCGTATGGTAGCAGACTGGCAGACCAGATCATCACTGGGGATATCGGCCAAGCGTCGTAGAGGATAACCCAACTAGGTTGCAGATCATTGTAAGCGGGGTAAAGTAACAATTCACCTTCGATGAGAATTTAGTGATTGATAGAGCGAGCATTAGGGAAGAAGAAATCACCAGTGCATCGGTCACCGACGCGGGGCATCTTATCGTAGATCGTGAAGAAGAATACTGGGCATCGGATCCTAGACATTAATATATAATCATGAGAAAATGGGACCCTATGCGCCACTCCCTAACTCGGATATTGGCCGAACAGCATTTGACGAGGAAAGGCGTTTTCGCCATGGCTCGTCGGGATTGAACACGGGAAGTGCCATGAGCTGCGAGACCACAAAATACACGCCGTCAAGCCTAAGCTCTTGACAGGCCTCACGACCCTTTAGAATTTCAACCTGCACTCTGTTACGGACCAGCCTGCGAGACTCAGAGTCATCTGGATGACTCGTATATGTTAGTACAGAGTCATTGGTAACGAGAATAGTCACTTACCTGACTCATGACGCGGGTCCGGCCGTAGCCAGCTTTGGACACTGCGAGCAAAAGCTCGCATGTGGACGGCTGCGCACGACCTACCTGCATCAAGAGTCATCTCTATAGATGACTCGCCTACACAGATGACACGATATAAGATGTCGGATCGCTGCCTCGTCTCGGACTCCTCTTGCCCCGTTCCTCCAACTCCCACCAACCCTATGCCCTCCAACGCACTCCCGCTACCGACTAATAGTTCCGAAATAATGCTTACATAAGCTTGTCGAAAGGTATAAAAGGACCCGATTTTCCATGTAACATTCGCTAGTCTGATATCTGATCCCTTCGCCCAGTTTACGCGTCATATTACAGTAATTAATTAACCTCACGTCGAGGAATAATCTAAGTAAAGCATAATTAGACCTACCGTGACCCTACCCGGGACTCTGCCAGTCAGAAAGACGTAAGTACCGTCTTTAACACACTCGTAAATTGGTCCAGTTTGTCCGTGCTGGCCGAGAGGTCCTGTCAACCCTCCTAGAGGAGTCGATGAGTAGTCGAAGGGCTTAGCTGTGAACCTGGACGTTGTATGCCTGAACAAAGCCGAATCCGGTTCAGAAGTGAGCGACTCCAGATATAGACATTGTGAATCAACTGCATGACAACGGTTTGTCAGAGTATTATTCATCATGGATCCATTTGCCTGTCGACTCAGTCAAGCGTCGTGGAGAGTTCAAAGTTGTATTTCGACCCAGCCTTAATACTTTCGACGTTGGACTCGACGCCTTCGACTGGCTGATTTGGCCATGGTCAATATTCACATAGACTATCCCACAAATCAAGTAGGAGAGACCTTTCTCTTGTGCCTTGTAAATGGCCATCCTAGTGCCCCTCAATGTCTATGAGCGGCCGGAAGAACGCAAGCTGGCACATAAAGAAGAACATCCACCGCATCTATCAAAGGTTCGTCCATGATGTATCACAGAGACACGCTTTGACCGTGCCCAATGCTCAACGAGACTTTGGACATGCCATGCCGACTTGGTATTGGTCGTTTAAGGATACTGGAGGGCATTCTGACGATGAATTCAGAACCGACAAGTACTTTATATAACACTGAGAATATATGTAAATGAACACGATGTCCTTAGAATTGTACCTCTGGCGCCATGCGGGTGATCGCACAAACAAAAGCACGAAGATTTGGTGTCGTTTTCAGCAAATAAATAAATGACATACCCCATTTCGATCACAAGCCCGAGGGGGAACGTGCGCAAGCATCAGCCAAATGCAGGTCGTCGCCTTCCAGAGTGCGACTGACAAAGAGCCAGGTCGAGGAGGGAAAGCGGTAGGAAGTGCATACCGCACGCCGACCATGGCAAGTAACTAGGTCGGTTCAACCTCGCAGCTCATACCCAGATAATTCTCGAGTTGATTGTTTGGGCAAGCAAATGACTCGCGCACGTCGTTTGGATCCAGTCCTTGCTTCGGGACGCGATCGTTGTTTCGGATGGATGAGGAGATGGCGAATGTGGTTCCGAGTGGCAAATCCACGTCCTCTTTGCCATTCCTACTCCCAGTATATCTCAGAACGTGCAGTTGGGACCAGGAGCGAACCAAGTACAGGGTTGGAAAGCACGTGAACAGGCAAACTTTGCTATCAAAGAAAATGAATCCGACGTGTGGGAGATGGGAGGCGTGACAAGAGTAGAGAGTACGAGTCGCCCTTTTATGGGAAGCTAGATGAGGGAGGAGCGAACACGGCAAGGACACGTACGCGCTTTTCGGTCTAATCAGAGGACCTGGAGAGTCTGGTACATACGCAAAGCAGGTATACGCGCTGGTTGTCGTAGCATTCTTAGGCGGCTCGCAGGAGCGGCAAGGTCAATCAGAGTTTAAAGTCCTGGTGAACGGTAGCACTCGTTTCATATTCTAGAACGATACAATTACATATTTACTACGAATTTGTTCGTACTTTTGTCCAAGATGTCCCGCATTGAAAATGAGTGAAATCGAGGTGGGTCGCACGTAGGTGACTCGATGTCGGCATAGTCAGAAGGAGATCTGGATTCTGGATTCCATGACGATTGGGAGGGGGCACCCAGAAAATGAATTGACCAGAAGACTGTACCCAGCCGTCGGGCAGCAGGGAACATTCACCGACCCCAGGTACAAGGATTGTGGATTTGACTACAGTAGAATTGCCATGGCCCAAAGAGGTAGAGTGAGTATTTGTAGCGTCGAGATTAGCTGTGTTTAATATACAATCAGTGGCTGTCACGTTGTGACTCTACAAGGCAAAGAAATATACTCACAATTGTGCACCCTCCGGATTTGGATTGTGTTGTCATTTGAACCAGAGACAACTCGCGTACCATCTGGCGAGAACCTACCAGTGCTGATCTGGGCTGAGTTATCTCGGAGTGGCTCTCCTAACGGCTGGCCAGTCTCTGCATCCCACAGTCGAATTGTCTTGTCACCTGAGCCAGAGACAATTCGCGAGCCATCTGGCGAGAATGCGACAGCCCTGACCGAGTCTTGATGACCTCGGAGTGGCTCTCCCAACGGCTGGCCAGTCTCTGCATCCCACAGTCGAATTGTCTTGTCACGTGAGCCAGAGACAATTCGCGAGCCATCTGGCGAGAATGCGACAGCCCAGACCGAGTCTTGATGACCTCGGAGTGGCTCTCCCAACGGCTGGCCAGTCTCTGCATCCCACAGTCGAATTGTCATGTCACCTGAGCCAGAGACAATTCGCGAGCCATCTGGCGAGAATGCGACAGCCCTGACCGAGAGTTGATGACCTCGGAGTGGCTCTCCCAACGGCTGGCCAGTCTCTGCATCCCACAGTCGAAGTGTCTTGTCACGTGAGCCAGAGACAATTCGCGAGCCATCTGGCGAGAATGCGACATCCCAGACCGAGTCTTGATGACCTCGGAGTGGCTCTCCCAACGGCTGGCCAGTCTCTGCATCCCACAGTCGAATTGTCTTGTCACGTGAGCCAGAGACAATTCGCGAGCCATCTGGCGAGAATGCGACAGCCCTGACCGAGAGTTGATGACCTCGGAGTGGCTCTCCCAACGGCTGGCCAGTCTCTGCATCCCACAGTCGAATTGTCTTGTCATCTGAGCCAGAGACAATTCGCGAGCCATCTGGCGAGAATGCGACAGCGGTGACCGAGTGTTGATGACCTCGGAGTGGCTCTCCCAACGGCTGGCCAGTCTCTGCATCCCACAGTCGAATTGTCCAGTCATCTGAGCCAGAGACAATTCGCGAGCCATCTGGCGAGAATGCGACAGCGGTGACCCAGTGTTGATGACCTCGGAGTGGCTCTCCTAACGGCTGGCCAGTCTCTGCATCCCACAGTCGAATTGTCTTGTCACCTGAGCCAGAGACAATTCGCGAGCCATCTGACGAGAATGCGACATCCCAGACCGAGTCTTGATGACCTCGGAGTGGCTCTCCCAACGGCTGGCCAGTCTCTGCATCCCACAGTCGAAGTGTCTTGTCATCTGAGCCAGAGATAATTCGCGAGCCATCTGGCGAGAAGGCGACAGCCCTGACCCAGTCTTGATGACCTCGGAGTGGCTCTCCCAACGGCTGGCCAGTCTCTGCATCCCACAGTCGAAGTGTCTTGTCACGTGAGCCAGAGACAATTCGCGAGCCATCTGGCGAGAATGCGACAGCCCAGACCGAGTCTTGATGACCTCGGAGTGGCTCTCCCAACGGCTGGCCAGTCTCTGCATCCCACAGTCGAAGTGTCTTGTCACCTGAGCCAGAGACAATTCGCGAGCCATCTGGCGAGAATGCGACAGCCCTGACCGAGTCTTGATGACCTTGGAGTATTCTGGGGAGCCCAGGATACGTCTCGTCAAGACCCCTGGTTACTTTCAATGCATGAATATGCTCTTCTAGACCCTCAATATGTAATTTTGACCCTCTCGGACTGAATGGGAGTGATGAGATGTATATATGGGGAGCGCTGTCCTGGATAGGCACAGAAAATGCCATCAAAAACCGCCTGATGTCATTCATCCGATGCCTGGTCTCCTTCTCAATCTAGTCTGTCTTTAGTCAACAGAATAGCTTAGACAAATCACTCACACTCTGACGTTGTGCAGCAGCTCGAAGTCCAGATACTGCTCGCATCACTCCTCCTGTCACACTCAGTATCTCCATCCAATAGAGTGCAAAAGGACTTTTGACTATATGTGCCAGTTCGCTCTGCAGCTCGTGTCCTGAGCCATCATCCATTGCTGACACATGGAATGGCCAGTGCAAGCTGGCATAGCGAAGCCTCCGTGATATGTATTTCTTCACCCGAGCTTCCAGGTCTGGAATCTGCCTATTCAGATAGAAGGACGACTCGATTTGGCATATGTTGAACTTAAGTCCTTCCTTGCTCGATTTGAGACGATGGAGACACCATGATGCGGCTTGACTATGCGCATGGGAGATGTTAATATGGATCCTACTGCTGCTCATATAAGTGGCTGGGATAATGCAGCATCGCCGAAGGTATTCGACGAAGGTGGGATGACGAAATTGTATTGAATGTGTGATTGGGTCCTCCTTGATTACGGTACCTAGAATCTGTACCAGCGCTTTGGCGCTCCCTTGTCCTTTGGCATGTTTAATGAGATCCTCCAGGTCACCGATGGTGAGTGGTTCGAACGCGGCCAGCAGCATGCCGAGCATTTCAATGATGGCTGGCTTCGATACTTGCTCAATGCGCTCGAGGACGAGGTCGTATACGTCGTCGATGGCTCCCGGCTGATCAATAGAGATCAGTCGGTCATATATGATCCCGGGATCGATTGCCAATGATTCATCATTGAGCATCCGGCATGCAGTGCTCGCCCAAATGAACAGCCCGCTGGCCTTGTTGGCCAGTCTCTGCCTCTTATCAGAGGACAGGATCCCACCAAGCGATTGATGAACATAGATCCCAATATCTTCGACATTATCGCGATGGCTAGTATCATGGAGGCGATCTGTCAACTTGGCCTTGATCGAAAGAGGTTGTAGAACCTTTTCGATGACAGGGTCTGGTCGACTTGTAATGAATATTCGTAGATTGTTGCTCTCCTGAGCGGCGGCAGAGAGTGTCTCTACAAGTTCTTTCCTCTGTCGTCCAGACTTGCATTCATCTATGGCGTCGATTACAATAATTGTGTGCCGTTTCCGTTGCTGAAGGGGCCCGGTGATGAGGATCCGGAATTGCTCGTCAAAGGAACTTCGCAGGAGAGCAGGATTCCGCTTCACGACCTCTGCAATTGGTGGCCCAAGCTCGTGGATATGTTGAACGAGTTCCCTAGCAACGGTAGAGCAGAACTTGTCGGTATTAGAGCCTTCGTTACTTGCCATGGAGAAGAAGAATGCGCCACCCAAGATTCCCTGCTTCCTCCATGCTTCTACTGCAGACATGGCGACTGTCGACTTGCCAGAGCCGGCTATATCGCAGAGCCAAAAGATTGGCTTCTCGGTGGAATCGTCATTAGCCCACTTGGAGATTGTGTCGAGGACAGCTGCACGAGTTCCTTTGAGGCACGGATTGTGCACAGAAGATGGAGCAAATGCGACCATTGGTAGCTGGAATAAGACAGACATGTCCACTTGAAATTCTTAGCGGATTTGCGCGCGTGCACAACCGAACTTACCAGGCGGGTCCACAGTGTTGGGCAAGATGGATTTTCCTTTCGCGACGACTGATTACATGTTAGCATAGCAGATTGGTGAAATGTGTTACGAACGGCGTAACCCATCCTCCGTAAGCCACTTTTCGTGCACTGTCTGGCGAGCGCTGACGAAATACTCGCTGAGGTAATGAAGCACTGTTTGATAGTTGTCGTTGTCTACAGTCGGGAACCTGACTAGATTTCCATGATCACTGTGGAGTGTCACCGCCGGCGCATTGCGGTCACCGGGGATGATCGCCGAATGATGAGGAACATTCTAAGGAATGTTTATTACGAGTTCACCACACGACCACCTTTTACTCACCAGTCTCTGTCTCTTTCTATCTACGGGAGTTTTGTACTCCTCGCAGAAGAATACGCTAGCTATCTTCTCACTCGCTTCGACGTAAAGACTCTGTATAGTTGCTAGCTCCGAAGAATGTTCCCGAAGATCCTTGAGGATGCCGTCTGTCGTTTTCATGTACATAGACGCCAAGCGGTTGATGGTTTCAAGGAGAGTGTTGTCCATGCCGGAATGCGGAGTACCAAAGAATAGGACGCCATGAGTCGATACTAAGATGTCTCGGAGGTCACCCTTTGACGCCAGGTTCTGATTATGGCAGATGACGAGTGCCTACGCGGTTATTAGAATTAGATTCTATCGGAATGCAGACAACGAACCCATTTGACAATTATGCCTCCCAAATTGTGTGCGACGAAGATGATGGGACGCTAATAATGGTTCAGGTGACACGACTAAGCCGAGAATAATTCACCCACTCGAGGGTCTGCTGTCCGCTTCCGTGCTAAAGCCTTGGCGAACCCATCCGCGTGCTGGCGAATCGTCTGCGTCGATACGCATTCTCGGCTACGAGTATCGGCATCATATCCATACGTAAGGACGCGAGCGTTGGGCAAAGCCGATGGCAAGAGGTCACGCAGCCAAAGGATCCCACCATCTGTCGTCCAGGTCTCTTCTCTGTGACCGTCCAAACCGTGGATGGCGACGATGCTGCACCCCGGCGAGGTTAGCGCCAAAGAGATGGAGAGTGACAATCGCTTACTCGACAATGGGATCGATACCTGGTACCAATTCCAGGAATCCTAGATCTTCAATCTTTGATCTGGACATTGATCGTGGTGGTGTGTCGGTATGGGCACTTGCAAAGGTTGTTCCTCGGCTGATCGTTCGTGAGCAGTCCTAGTACAGGGTACCGGTTGTATCAAAGAGTCGTATAAACGTGACAGATGTTGTATATCGCACGAGTGGGGTCCGACTTGGGTTATGCCGGTAAAGGTCAGGACCAGGTTGGTGCAGAGACTGGAGCGATGGATGTTCGTTGCTGTTAGGCCAGTCAAAATCAGAAAACCTGATGAAAATCGTCGAATAGGCGTACAATAAACTTTCATTCGTTGCCACTTCCCCTACTCTCAGCCATCAGTCTGCATACGAGGGAGCGCCATCAGATATGTAGCTGCTTAGACACTCTCGGTGCGAGGAGTATCACATTGATGACCCGAGACGAGGAACTGTGTCGTACATGACGCGAAATTGAGAGTGGTCATCAGTAGATACTGGCTCTGGTCGCTTACCATGACCATCTTCTGATAGGGACCTAGTCGGAGCCTGTATCTCGACCCAAATAGGCCATGCGCGGTTCAAGGGTGAAGAACGTGAGGCCCTACCAATGACACTCCCTTTCTCCTGGCAGGACTGGGTAGGTTTCAAAAAGTAAGATGTATTTAGCATGACCTGCTAGGAATTCGTTACAGTCAGGGGGAGAGCAAGATGAGTTGATGGAAAGCCGACGATGAGAGTACGGTTGAGGCGCACGCAACCGCACCGTTGGGCTGGAACTGCTGGGTCCGTGTTACATCACAGCTACTTGCCTATCTGTCGTCGTCCCAACGTTCGCTCTTGAATAATTGGCCGTTCGAGAACACTAAGCTGCACTCGTGAGTCAGTCGCCAACCCAGAAGGTAAGAAAACGAGCACACCACTTTTCTTTACTCGTATTTCGGGATATCCAGCTCGTCGAACGTGACCTTCGGAGGCGACACGGAGACGTCTGCGGGATGACTGACCATGCGCGGGGCATTCAGACATAGGCGTCGAATAGATGTAAGAGTCAGGTATTGACCATTCTGATGACGATCATGGCGCTCGTGTGTTTCTGAATAAAATCGAATGCGGCTCAGAAGTGAGGGACAGAAGAGTAGTGACGTTGTGAATTAACTGCGTGACAATGGATTGATAGAATGGTATTTGGTATTGGCCCGTTTGTCTGTCGACTCGGTCAAGTGTCGTGGAGATCAAAGTTGTATTTCGACCCAGCCTCGATACTTTCGACGTTGGACTCGACGCCTTCGACTGGCTGATTTGGCCACGGTCAATATTCATATGGAGTGCACCAACAATCAAGTAGGAGACACTTCCCTCTTGTGCCTTGTAAATGGCCATCCTAGCGTCCATCAATCTCTGCGAGCGGCCGGAAGAACGTAAACCGGCACACAAAGAAGAACATCGATCCCATCTGTCAAATTGATATCCATAAGGGAGCACATTGGCACTCGTTGACGGTGCCCAATGCTCTACGAGACTTTGGACATGCCATGCCGACTTGGTATTGGTCGTTTAAGGAAGTGGAAGGGCATTCTGACGACGAGTTAGGACCGAGAGACATGCTATAGAACGCTGTGAATGTATGTAAATGAACACGATGTCCTTAGAATTGTACCTCCGGCGCCATGCGGGTGGTCGCACAAGTGAAAGCACGAAGGTTTGGTGTCGTTTTCAGCCAATATATGCATGAAATGTCCTATTTTGATCACACAACCCGAGGGGGAACGTGTGTTAGCATCGGCCAAGTGCGGCGCCGGGGTGTAAACAAAGTCGACCCAACGTCGTCGCCTTCCAAAGTGCGACTGACAAAGTAACGACTCGCAACGGAAGATAAGCCAGCAATTCTTCTGTCAGAGCTTGTCACTTGAATCCTAGGAGACCTTCGAGCGAGGACATGGCAGCATGCTCAGCAGTGCGTCTTGTCTTGTCATCGGTGTTCTATTTATGCCCCGTTTAGGCCAGTGGTCGACTCAAATCCATTGTCAATTCTGGTTCTCGTTTGCAATTTCGCATCGACCTCGCCGACCAAGGCAAACACCTACGTCGGTTCAACCTCGCATTTCATGCCCAGACGATTTCCGAGTCGATTGTTTGGGCCAGCGAATGACTCGCACACGTCGTTTGGATCTAGTCCTTGCCTGGGACCGCGCTCGTTGTTTCGGATTGATGCGGAGATGGCGAATTTGGTTCCGAGCGGGAAATCCACGTCCCTTTTGCCGTTCCTACTCCCGGTATACCTCAGAAGGTGCAGTTGGGACCAGGAGCGAACCAAGTGCAGGGTTGGAAAGCACGTGAACAGGCAAACTTTACTATCAAAGAAAATGAATTCAACGTGTGGGAGATGGGAGGCGTAACAAGAGTAGAGAGTACGAGTCGCCCTTTTATGGGAGGCTAGATGAGGGAGGAGCGAACACGGCAAGGACACGTCCGCGCTTTTCGGTCTAATCAGAGGACCTGGAGAGTCTGGTACATACGCGGAGCAGGTATACGCGCTTGTTCTCGCGGCATTCTTAGGCGGCTCGCAGGAGCGGCAAGGTCAATCAGAGTTTAAAGTCCTGGTGAACGGTAGCACTTGTTTCATATTCTAGAACGATATAATTACATATTTACTACGAATTTGCTCTTACTTTTGTCCAAGATGTCCCGCATTGAAAATGAGTAAAATCGAGGTGGGTCGCACGTAGGTGACTCGATGTCGGCATAGTCAGAAGGAGGTCTGGATTTTGGATTCCATGACGATTAGGAGATGGTACCCAGAAAACGAGTCGACCAGAAGACTGTACCCAGCCGTCGGGCAGCAGAGAACATTCACCGACCCCAGGTACAAAGATTGCAGAGGCAGATTTGCCATGGTCCGAAGATACAGAGTGAGTATTTGTAGCGCCGAGATTAGCTGTATTCAATATACAGTAAGTGGCTGTCACGTTGTGACTCTACAAGGCAAAGAGATATACTCACAATTGTGCACCCTCCGGATTTGGATTGTGTTGTCATTTGAACCAGAGCCAACTCGCATACGATCTGGCGAGAAGCTACCAGTGCTGATCAGGCTGGATTACCTCGGAGTGGCTCTCCCAACGGCTGGCCAGTCTCTGCATCCCACAGTAGAATTATGCAGTCACCTGAGCCAGAGACAATTCGCGAGCCATCTGGCGAGAATGCGACAGCGGCGACCGAGTGTTGATGACCTCGGAGTGGCTCTCCCAACGGCTGGCCAGTCTCTGCATCCCACAGTCGAATTGTCTTGTCACGTGAGCCAGAGACAATTCGCGGGCCATCTGGAGAGAATGCGACAGCCCTGACCCTGCCTTGATGACCTCGGAGTGGCTCTCCCAACTGCTGGCCAGTCTCTGCATCCCACAGTCGAATTGTCTTGTCAGCTGAGCCAGAGACAATTCGCGAGCCATCTGGCGAGAATGCGACAGCGGTGACCAAGCCTTGATGACCTCGGAGTGGCTCTCCCAACGGCTGGCCAGTCTCTGCATCCCACAGTCGAAGTGTCTTGTCACCTGAGCCAGAGACAATTCGCGAGCCATCTGGAGAGAATGCGACAGCGGTGACCGAGTCTTGATGACCTCGGAGTGGCTCTCCCAACGGCTGGCCAGTCTCTGCATCCCACAGTCGAAGTGTCTTGTCACCTGAGCCAGAGACAATTCGCGAGCCATCTGGTGAGAATGTGACAGCGGTGACCCAGTCTTGATGACCTCGGAGTGGCTCTCCCAACGGCTGGCCAGTCTCTGCATCCCACAGTCGAAGTGTCCTGTCACCTGAGCCAGAGACAATTCGCGAGCCATCTGGCGAGAATGCGACAGCCTTGACCCAGGTTTGATGACCTCGGAGTGGCTCTCCCAACGGCTGGCCAGTCTCTGCATCCCACAGTCGAAGTGTCTTGTCACCTGAGCCAGAGACAATTCGCGAGCCATCTGGCGAGAATGCGACAGCGGTGACCAAGTGTTGATGATCTCGGAGTGGCTCGCCCAACGGCTGGCCAGTCTCTGCATCCCACAGTCGAATTGTCTTGTCACCTGAGCCAGAGACAATTCGCGAGCCATCTGGCGAGAATGCGACAGCGGCAACCCAGTCTTGATGTCCTCGGAGTGGCTCTCCCAACGGCTGGCCAGTCTCTGCATCCCACAGTCGAAGTGGCTTGCCATGTGAGCCAGAGACAATTCGCGAGCCATCTGGCGAGAATGCGACAGCGGTGACCCAGTGTTGATGACCTCGGAGTGGCTCTCCCAACGGCTGGCTAGTCTCTGCATTCCACAGTCGAATTGTCTCGTCACCTGAGCCAGAGACAATTCGCGAGCCATCTGGCGAGAATGCGATAGCGGTGACCGAGTCTTGATGACCTCGGAGTGGCTCTCCCAACGGCTGGCCAGTCTCTGCATCCCACAGTCGAATTGTCTTGTCACCTGAGCCAGAGACAATTCGCGAGCCATCTGGAGAGAATGCGACAGCGGTGACCGCGTCTTGATGACCTCTAAGAGGCTCTCCCAACGGCTGGCCAGTCTCTGCATCCCACAATCGAAGTGTCTTGTCATATGAGCCAGAGACAATTCGCGAGCCATCTGGCGAGAATGCGACAGCGCTGACCGAGTCTTGATGACCTTGGAGTATTCTGGGGAGCCCAGGATATGTCTCGTCAAGACCCCTGGTCACTCTCAATGTATTCATGTGCTCCCTTAGGCCCTCAACATGTAATGTTGACCCCTTTGGACTGAATGGGAGTGATGAGATGTATATATGGGGAGCGCTGTCTTGTATAGGCACGGAAAATGCCATTAAGAATCGTTTCATGTCATTCATCCGAATCCTGGTCTCCTTTTCAATCTAGTTCTTGCTTTAACCACCGCAACAGCTTAGATAAATCACTCACGCTCTGACGTTGTGCAGCAGCTCGAAGTCCAGATACTGCTCGCATTACTCCTCTTGTCACACTCAGTACCTCCATCCAGTAGAGTGCAAAAGGACTTTTGACTATATGTGCTAGCTCATTCCGCAGCTTGTCTGCCGACTCATCATCCATCGCCGATACATGGAACGGCCAGTGCAAACTGGCATAGCGAAGCATCTGTGAAACGAATCTCGCCATCCGGTCTTCGAGGTCAGGAATCTGCCTATTTAGGTAGAACGAAGAGTCGATTTGGCATATGTTGAACTTGAGGCCTTCCTTGCGCGATTTGAGACGATGGAGACACCATGATGCAGCTTGACCATGTGCCCGGGATATGTTGATATGGATCCTATTGCGCATGTCGGCAGTTGGGCCAATGCAGCAACGTCGAAGGTACTCGACGACGGTGGGATGGCGAAACTGAATCAAGTGTGTGATTGTATCCTCCTTGAGTATGCTTCCGAGATTTCGTACTAGCGCCGTGGCGCTTCCGCGCACGTTGGCGTGCCTCATCATGTCCTCCAAATAATCGGTAGTGAGCGGCTCGAACGCGGCGAGCAGCATAGCGAGCATTTCATGGATGACAGCTTTAGATTTTTCATCAATGCGATCGAAGACGAGTTCATAGACATCGTCTATAGTTCCGCGCTGATCCATGGATATCAACTGATCATATGTAGCGTCAGGAGCAATCACGGCGGTCTCCTCGGCGAGCATTCGACAAGCCGTACTTGCCCAAATGAACAAGCCTTTGGCTTTTTCAACCAGTCGCTGCCTCTTGTCGTAAGGCAGAACCGCTTCTAGCGACTGGTGTACATAGACCGCAATGTCGTCGATGTTATCGTGATATATAGGATCGTGAAGGCGATCTGTCAACTTGGCTTTGATCGAAAGAGGTTCTAAGACCCTTTCGATGATAGGGTCCGGTCGGCTCGTGATGAATATCCGGAGACCATTGCTCTCCTGCACAGCAGTAGAAAGGGTCTCTACAAGTTCTCTTCTTTGTTGCCCAGACTTGCATTCGTCGATGGCGTCAACGACGAGAATCACTCGATCTTGTCGATGTCGAAGTGAGTCGGTGATGAGTATCCGGAACTGCTCATCGAAGGAACTTCGTAAGAGAGCAGGGTTCTGCTTCACGGCCTCGGCGATATGGGGCCTAAGTTTCGGGATATGCTGGGCGAGTTCCCTGGCGAGAGTGGGACAGAACCTCTCGGTAGTTGAACCCTCATTACTTGCTATTGAGAAAAAGAATGTACCACCTAGGACTCCCTCCCTTTTCCACGTCTCCACTGTAGACATAGCGACGGTCGATTTGCCAGAGCCGGCTATATCGCAGAGCCAAAAGATTGGCTTCTCGGTGGAATCGTCATTAGCCCACTTGGAGATTGTGTCGAGGACAGCTGCACGAGTTCCTTTGAGGCACGGATTGTGCACAGAAGATGGAGCAAATGCGACCATTGGTAGCTGGAATAAGACAGACATGTCCACTTGAAATTCTTAGCGGATTTGCGCGCGTGCACAACCGAACTTACCAGGCGGGTCCACAGTGTTGGGCAAGATGGATTTTCCTTTCGCGACGACTGATTACATGTTAGCATAGCAGATTGGTGAAATGTGTTACGAACGGCGCAACCCATCCTCCGTAAGCCACTTTTCGTGCACTGTCTGGCGAGCGCTGACGAAATACTCGCTGAGGTAATGAAGTACTGTTTGATAGTTGTCGTTGTCTACCGTCGGGAATCTGACTAGATTTCCATGATCACTGTGGAGTGTCACCGCCGGCGCATTGCGGTCACCGGGGATGATCGCCGAATGATGAGGAACATTCTAAGGAATGTTTATTACGAGTTCACCACACAACCACCTTTTACTCACCAGTCTCTGTCTCTTTCTATCTACGGGAGTTTTGTACTCCTCGCAGAAGAATACGCTAGCTATCTTCTCACTCGCTTCGACGTAAAGACTCTGTACAGTTACTAGCTCCGAAGAATGTTCCCGAAGATCCTTGAGGATGCCGTCTGTCGTTTTCATGTACATAGACGCCAAGCGGTTGATAGTTTCAAGGAGAGTGTTGTCCATGCCGGAATGCGGGGTACCAAAGAATAGGACGCCATGAGTCGATACTAAGATGTCTCGGAGGTCACCCTTTGACGCCAGGTTCTGATTATTGCAGATAACGAGTGCCTACGTGGTTATTAGAATTAGATTCTATCGGAATGCAGACAACGAACCCATTTGACAATTATGCCCCCCAAATTGTGTGCGACGAAGATGATGGGACGCTAATAATGGTTCAGGTGACACGACTAAGCCGAGAATATTCACTCACTCGAGGGTCTGCTGTCCGCTTCCGTGCTAAAGCCTTGGCGAACCCATCCGCGTGCTGGCGAATCGTCTGCGTCGATACGCATTCTCGGCTACGAGTATCGGCATCATATCCATACGTAAGGACGCGAGCGTTGGGCAAAGCCGATGGCAAGAGGTCACGCAGCCAAAGGATCCCACCATCTGTCGTCCAGGTCTCTTCTCTGTGACCGTCCAAACCGTGGATGGCGACGATGCTGCACCCCGGCGAGGTTAGCGCCAAAGAGATGGAGAATGGCAACCGCTTACTCGACGATGGGATCGATACCTGGTACCAATTCCAGGAATCCTAGATCTTCAATCTTTGATCTGGACATTGATCGTGGTGGTGTGTCGGTATGTTCACTTGCAAAGGTTGTTCCTCGGCTGATCGTTCGTGAGCAGTCCTAGTACAGGGTACCGGTTGTATCAAAGTGTCGTATAAACGTGACAGATGTTGTATATCGCACGAGTGGGGTCCGACTTGGGTTATGCCAGGAAAGGTCGGGACCAGGTTGGTGCAGAGACTGGAGCGATGGATGTTCGTTGCTGTTAGGCCAGTCAAAGTCAGAAAACCTGATGAAAATCGTCGAATAGGCGTACAATAGACTTTCATTCGTTGCCACTTCCCCTACTCTCAGTCATCAGTCTGCAAACGAGGGAGCGCGCATCAGATATGTAGCTATCTAGACACTCTCGGTGCGAGAGGTATTACATTGATGACCCGAGACGAGGACCTGTGTCATACATGACGCGAAACTGAGAGTGCCCATCAGTAGATACTGGCTCTGGTCGCTTACCATGACCATCTTCTGATAGGAAACTAGTCGGAGCCTGCATCTCGACCCAAATATGCCACACGCGGTTCAAGGGTGAAGAACGCGAGGCCCTACCAACGACACTCCCTTTCTCCTGGCAGGACTGGGTAGGTTTCAAAAAGTAAGATGTATTTACCATGACCTGTTAGGAATTCGTTACAGTCAGGGGGAGAGCAGGATGACTTGATGGAAAGCCGACGATGAGACTGCGGTTGAGGCGCACGCAACCGCACCGTTGGGCTGGAACTGCTGGGTCCGTGTCATGTCACAACTACTTGCCTATCTGTTATTCTCCCAACGTTCGCTCTTGAATAATTGGCCGTTCGAGAACACTAAGCTGCACTCGTGAGTCAGTCGCCAGCCCAGAAGGTACGAAAACGAACGCACCACTTTCTTTTACTCGTATTTCGGGATATCCAGGTCGTCGAACGTGACCTTCGGAGGCGACACGGAGACGTCTGCGGGATGACTGACGATGTGCGGGGCATACAGACATAGGCGTCGAATAGATGTAAGAGTCAGGTATTGGCCATTCTGATGACGATCATGGCGCTCGTGTGTTTCTGAATAAAGTCGAATGCGGCTCAGAAGTGAGGGACAGAAGAGTAGTGACGTTGTGAATTAACTGCGTGACAATAAATTGATATAGCATTATTCGTCATTGGCCCATTTGCCTGTCGACTGGTCAAGTGTCGTGGAGATCAAAGTTGTATTTCGACCCAGCCTCGATACTTTCGACGTTGGACTCGACGCCTTCGACTGGCTGATTTGGCCACGGTCAATATTCATATGGAGTGCACCAACAATCAAGTAGGAGACACTTCCCTCTTGTGCCTTGTAAATGGCCATCCTAGCGTCCATCAATCTCTGCGAGCGGCCGGAAGAACGTAAACCGGCACACAAAGAAGAACATCGATCCCATCTGTCAAATTGATATCCATAAGGGAGCACATTGGCACTCGTTGACGGTGCCCAATGCTCTACGAGACTTTGGACATGCCATGCCGACTTGGTATTGGTCGTTGAAGGAAGTGGAAGGCATTCTGACGATGAATTAGGACCGGAAGTACTGCTATAGAACGCTGTGAATGTATGTAAATGAACACGATGACCTTAGAATTGTACCTCCGGCGCCATGCGGGTGGTCGCACAAGTGAAAGCACGAAGGTTTGGTGTCGTTTTCAGCCAATATATACATGAAATGTCCTATTTCGATCACAAAACCCGAGGGAACGTGCGCAAGCATCAGCCAAATGCGGGTCGTCGCCTTCCAGAGTGCGACTGACAAAGCCAGGTCGAGGAGAGGAAAGCGGTAGGAAGTGCATACCGCACGCCGACCATGGCGAAGTAACAGTCAGTTCAACTCGCAGTTCATACCCAGATAATTCTCGAGTTGATTGTTTGGGCAGGCAAATGACTCGCTGCTTCGGAACGCGATCGTTGTTTCGGATTGATGAAGAGATGGCGAATGTGGTTCCGAGTGGGAAATCAACGTCCCCTTTGCCGTTCCTACTCACGGTATACCTCAGAAGGTGGAGTTGGGACAGGAGCGAACCAAGTGCAGGGTTGGAAAGCACGTGAACAGGCAAACTTTACTATCAAAGAAAATGAATTCAACGTGTGGGAGATGGGAGGCGTGACAAGAGTAGAGAGTACGAGTGGCGCTTTTGTGGGAAGCTAGATGAGGGAGGAGCGAACATGGCAAGTACACGTCCATGCTTTTCGATCCACTCAGAAGACCCGGAGAGTCTAGTACATACGCAGAGCAGGTATACGCGCTGGTTGTCGTAGCATTCTTAGGCGACTCGCAGGAGCGGCAACATCAATCGGAGTCTACAGTCCTGGTGAACGGTAGCGCTTGTTTCATATTCTAGAACGATACAATTACATATTTACTACGAATTTGTTCGTACTTTTGTCCAAGATGTCCCGCATTGAAAATGAGTGAAATCGAGGTGGGTCGCACGTAGGTGACTCGATGTCGGCATAGTCAGAAGGAGATCTGGATTCTGGATTCCATGACGATTGGGAGGTGGTACCCAGAAAATGAATCGACCAGAAGACTGTACCCAGCCGTCGGGCAACAGAGAACATTCACCGACCCCAGGTACAAAAATTGCAGAGGCAGATTTGCCGTGGTCCGAAGATGCAGAGTGAGCACTTGTAGCGTCGAGATTAGCTGTATTTGATATACAGTAAGCGACTGTCACGTTGTGACACTATAAGGCAAAGAAATATACTCACAATTGTGCACCCTCCGGATTTGGATTGTGTTGTCATTTGAACCAGAGGCAACTCGCGTACGATCTGGCGAGAAACTACCAGTGCTGATCGGGGCTGAATTACCTCGGAGTGGCTCTCCCAACGGCTGGCCAGTCTCTGCATCCCACAGTCGAAGTGTCTTGTCACCTGAGCCAGAGACAATTCGCGAGCCATCTGGCGAGAATGCGACAGCCCTGACCGAGTCTTGATGACCTCGGAGTGGCTCTCCCAACGGCTGGCCAGTCTCTGCATCCCACAGTCGAAGTGTCTTGTCACCTGAGCCAGAGACAATTCGCGAGCCATCTGGCGAGAATGCGACAGCCCTGACCCAGTTTTGATGACCTCGGAGTGGCTCTCCCAACGGCTGGCCAGTCTCTGCATCCCACAGTCGAAGTGTCTCGTCACGTGAGCCAGAGACAATTCGCGAGCCATCTGGCGAGAATGCGACAGCCCAGACCGAGTCTTGATGACCTCGGAGTGGCTCTCCCAACGGCTGGCCAGTCTCTGCATCCCACAGTCGAAGTGTCTTGTCACCTGAGCCAGAGACAATTCGCGAGCCATCTGGCGAGAATGCGACAGCGGTGACCGAGTGTTGATGACCTCGGAGTGGCTCTCCCAACGGCTGGCCAGTCTCTGCATCCCACAGTCGAAGTGTCTTGTCACCTGAGCCAGAGACAATTCGCGAGCCATCTGGCGAGAATGCGACAGCGGTGACCCAGTGTTGATGACCTCGGAGTGGCTCTCCCAACGGCTGGCCAGTCTCTGCATCCCACAGTCGAAGTGTCTTGTCATCTGAGCCAGAGACAATTCGCGAGCCATCTGGCGAGAATGCGACAGCCCTGACCCAGTGTTGATGACCTCGGAGTGGCTCTCCCAACGGCTGGCCAGTCTCTGCATCCCACAGTCGAAGTGTCTTGTCATCTGAGCCAGAGACAATTCGCGAGCCATCTGGCGAGAATGCGACAGCGGTGACCCAGTCTTGATGACCTCGGAGTGGCTCTCCCAACGGCTGGCCAGTCTCTGCATCCCACAGTCGAAGTGTCTTGTCATCTGAGCCAGAGACAATTCGCGAGCCATCTGGCGAGAATGCGACAGCAGACCTGAGGTGGCTCTCCCAACGGCTGGCCAGTCTCTGCATCCCACAGTCGAAGTGTCTTGTCATCTGAGCCAGAGACAATTCGCGAGCCATCTGGCGAGAATGCGACAGCCCTGACCCAGTCTTGATGACCTCGGAGTGGCTCTCCCAACGGCTGGCCAGTCTCTGCATCCCACAGTCGAAGTGTCTTGTCATGTGAGCCAGAGACAATTCGCGAGCCATCTGGCGAGAATGCGACAGCGGTGACCCAGTCTTGATGACCTCGGAGTGGCTCTCCCAACGGCTGGCCAGTCTCTGCATCCCACAGTCGAAGTGTCTTGTCATCTGAGCCAGAGACAATTCGCGAGCCATCTGGCGAGAATGCGACAGCCCTGACCCAGTCTTGATGACCTCGGAGTGGCTCTCCCAACGGCTGGCCAGTCTCTGCATCCCACAGTCGAATTGTCTTGTCATGTGAGCCAGAGACAATTCGCGAGCCATCTGGCGAGAATGCGACAGTGCTGATCGAGCCTTGATGACCTCGGAGTGGCTCTCCCAACGGCTGGCCAGTCTCTGCATCCCACAGTCGAAGTGTCTCGTCACGTGAGCCAGAGACAATTCGCGAGCCATCTGGCAAGAATGCAACTGCGTTGATCTCCTTTTGATGACCTTGGAGTATTCTGGGGAGCCCAGGATACGTCTCGTCAAGACCCCTGGTCACTTTTAATGCATGAATATGCTCTTCTAGACCCTCAATATGTAATTTTGACCCTCTCGGACTGAATGGGAGTGATGAGATGTATATATGGGGAGCGCTGTCCTGGATAGGCACAGAAAATGCCATCAAAAACCGCCTGATGTCATTCATCCGATGCCTGGTCTCCTTCTCAATCTAGTCTTGCTTTAGTCAACAGAATAGCTTAAACAAATCACTCACACTCTGACGTTGTGCAGCAGCTCGAAGTCCAGATACTGCTCGCATCACTCCTCCTGTCACACTCAATATCTCCATCCAGTAGAGTGCAAAAGGACTTTTGACTATATGTGCCAGTTCGCTCTGCAGCTCGTGTCCTGAGCCATCATCCATTGCTGACACATGGAATGGCCAGTGCAAGCTGGCATAGCGAAGCCTCCGTGATATGTATTTATTTACCCGAGCTTCCAGGTCTGGGATCTGCCTATTCAGATAGAAGGACGACTCGATTTGGCATATGTTGAACTTGAGACCTTCTGTTCTCGATCGGAGACCACTCAGACACCATGACGCGACTTGACCATGCGCGTGGGAGATGTTGATATAGATCCTGCCGCTCACATCTGCCGCTGGGGCGACGCAGCATCGACGAAGGTATTCGACAAACGTGGGATGACGAAATTGAATCAAATGTGTGATTGGATCCTCCTTGAGTACGGTACCTAAAACCCGTACCAGTGCTTTGGCGCTCCCTTGTCCTTTGGCATGTTTAATGAGATGTTCCAAGTCATCGCTGGTGAGTGGCTCGAACGCAGCAAGCAGCATACCGAGCATTTCAACAACGGCTGGTTTGGATGTTTGGTCGATGCGCGCAATAACAAGGTCGTATACGCCGTCGATGGCTCCGGGCTGATCAATAGAGATCAGTCGGTCATATATGATCTCGGGATCGATTGCCAACGATTCATCATTGAGCATCCGACATGCAGTGCTCGCCCAAATGAACAGCCCGTTGGCCTTGTTGACCAGTCTCTGCCTCTTATCAGAGGATAGGATTCCACCAAGCGATTGGTGGACATAGGTCGCAATATCCTCGATATTATCACGATGGCTAGTATCGTGGAGGCGATCTGTCAACTTGGCTTTGATCGAAAGAGGTTGTAAAACCTTTTCGATGACAGGGTCTGGTCGACTTGTAATGAATATTCGAAGACTCTTGCTCTCCTGAGCGGCAGCAGAGAGTGTCTCCACAAGCTCCTTTCTCTGTCGTCCAGACTTGCATTCATCGATAGCGTCGATGACTAGTATTACTCGCTTTCGTTGATGCTGGAGTGGCTCGGCGATGAGCATTCGGAACTGTTCCTCGAACGAGCTTCGCAGGATGGCAGGGTTTCGCTTCCAGGCCTTGGCAATGTATGGGGCCAGCTTGGGAATGTATTGAGCTAGTTCCCTGGCAATAGTGGAGCAGAATTTGTCGGTATTAGACCATTCGCTGATCGCCATGGAGAAGAAAAATGTGCCGCCTAGGATTCCCTCCTTCTTCCACGCTTCTACGGCAGACATTGCGACGGTCGATTTTCCAGAGCCGGCTATATCGCAGAGCCAAAAGATTGGTTTTGGTGACTTCTTGTTGGCTGCCCAGCGCCAGATCGTCTCGAGGACAGCCTGACGGGTTCCTTTGAGACAAGTATTGTGGACGGAAGATGCGGCCGAGGCTACCATTGGCAGTCGTTGTATGGTAGCGTAGTCGGCTTTGAATGCGTCTTAGCGAGCTTGTTGGACATCAATGATCCAACGTACCTTCTGTCAGGAGAGTTTCCACCTTGTGTTTGATGGATTTGGTAGTTTGTCGGATCTCTTGAACACGGTAGGCAGTATAGACATTTAATGCATCCTTTATAAAGTGAGTTCGCGAACGTTGCTAATGGGGTTCATACCATGAACTGCCTATGTCGATCCTCGAGCTCTCGGTTGAATTTTTGGATATCTCCAGCGTCGATCTTCATTGTACTGACTGCTGTCAGGCCTCCTAGTGATTTATCGTTTTGCATTTTCACGTAACCAACGATCCTGCTGTGGAGATCCTCGAGGAGTCTATAGAGGTTATGAAGAAGAAAAAGAAATAGCTTCAGTCACTTACTTGACGTAAAGGGTCAGTGGTTGACTAAAGCCTTCGTCCAAGGACCCATCAATCTCAGGAGGATCGCGTTTGAGCAAGGTGATTTGCCCTTTGATTGCCGACAGATAGGCTTCAAGGCGCCGTACGAGCTCTAACCAGTCTTCTTGGTTATTCCTGATCCCCTAATGTGACCGTTGATTAGCCCAGGATATGCCAGTCTCGTTATTTTTGCTAGCTCACTTGAACGGTGTCGAGGACCGTTTTGGTCGCTCGACAAGCAGCTTTAAGAGGGCTTAGTATATCGGATGCCTCTGCTATATTTGCCATAAAGTCGAGGAACACGTTGGCCGTATCCACCACTTTGTCTCCTCTCCTGGATGGGCCCTCTTGAATGGAAGATGATGAAGATCCTGGAAGATCGTCTTGTTTTGCGTGAGATTTCTTATTACTTTTGAATAACTTGAACCGCATGATGGACTGGCGGATAAGCAAGATCCAAAGGAGGCTGGAAGGCCATATTGGCCCTTGTCGGCCACACTGCCTTGCACAGTAGCGCTCATAACCCGGCGACTGTCGAGGCCAAGTCTGAGCGAGTTCTAGTTGTTTACTTGCATCTTGGACTTGTTCACTTCGTCTACTTATCTCTTTGTTGACGACGCACTAACTGGCGTTGTTCTTTACACTCTGTTTGGCCGTCGATGAGTTATCCACAGGTATGTCAATATTTCCCGTGTAAATACCGAGCACTGGCTCTTCGAGGGACATGCTGGCGACGTCGGCCACGCTCACTGTCTCCGTTCATCTGCCGCCCATCAAATACGCACCTTGTCCCCGACCGCGTCCATCTATTCTCCTCTCCAAGGAGAATATACGCGTATTCTACTCATCTGGACGATAATATTTCGTCGAGACAGTCTCATTTTCGTATTCTGTGCTTCCAAAAGCCATAGCCGCTGATGGAAAACCCGTTCGACCATCCGCAGGATCAGTACCCACCGCGTCAGAACCAATCTGGTTCACCATGGAATGCCAATAATCCGAATAATACTGGTGCTCCTCCGCCTCCGCCAAGACCACCGAGCAACCCCGCTCCCAACAACCAGGGAGCGTATTCGCAGGGCAGCTATACGCCTTATAGTGCTGGAGGCGCTGGATATGGATACAACTCGGGTATGTCTACGTTTGTTTGTTGGTCTAGACCAGCTGGCATCCAGCGCAATCTGCAATGTCTACGGCGTTGGATCAGGGCAAGCTGACGCGTATATTGGAATAGGCTATGACAATCCCTACGGAGGATACTACGACCAACCCGCATACGATAATCCCAACAGCCTGTTCACATCCACCGGCCAAGTCGTCTCCAACCAGCCCGTTGATCAAAATCCAAACCCATTCCTCACACCAGGAGGTCAACACCCGAGCTTGTACAACGACACGCCCACCTTTTCTTCGTCGACGCCTGGCCATGGAGGCGGTGGCGGACGGTACGATAGCGCACCGACACCGTTTAGCGGTGCAAGCGAATTGGGTGTTCTAGGGAATAATAATGGACGACCGTACTCGACCGTCAATCCCGACCGATACAACTCTCCTGCGCCTCTCCCAGGACAATCGACGTCTTCTACCCCGGCGCCTGCAGTCTCGCCTCCGACTGGGAGGAAAAAGGTCCAGTTGAGCGACACGCCCGTGATTGGAGGTGGTGCGGGCGGATTTGCGAATAGTGCTACGAGCAGGCATAGTCGGTATGGTGAGGAAGAGGCATTTGCGCAAGGTGGAGATGCCGAAATGGCGCTGCTTGGTCCGCCTGGTGGAGGCGGCGTTGCGGGGCGGCATGGACAGGATCGATTCAGCGTTGGTGGGTTCAATCCAGATATCCTCGAGGATGACGATAGCAACATCCGGTGCGCGCTCCTTGTTGGTTTCTTGTACAAGCCGAGACTGACACCTGGATATGTATAGGTATGGCCGTATCCCGCAACGTGTACCGCGCCGTTACAAGACCAAGAAGCGATATGAGCTCTTCCACGGAAATTTGGTCATTGATAATGAGGTACCCAGCAAGCTTTTGGACATGTGCCCTCAAAAGACGGAGAGAGAGTTCAAATTTATGCGGTGCGTTTTGGGACTAACCATATTATTTGGATTTTTGACGATGTTTAGATACACCGCTGCGACGTGCGATCCCAACGACTTTAAAGCAGAGGGATATACTCTTCGTCCGGCCATGTACGAGCCAGCGCGCAAGACGGAACTGTTCATTGTAATGACCATGTACAACGAAGACGAGGAGCTGTTCTGCCGGTGCGTATCCTCTCTATCTCCTCCACGAGCACGATCCTCAACCCGCTGCAGATCCATGTCCGGAGTGATGAAGAACATTCAGCACCTCATCACTCGCGAGCGCTCCAAGACGTGGGGAAAAGAAGGTTGGAAAAAGGTGGTCGTTTGCATTGTTTCCGACGGACGTCAAAAGATCAATTCGCGCACATTGTCCGTCATCGCCGCCATGGGTGCCTACCAAGACGGTGTCGCGAAGAATGCCGTCAACGGCAAGCCCGTCACGGCGCACATTTACGAGTATACGAGTCAGAGTACGTCTTTCGAATCCATGACCAAAGGCGAAATCTAATCATCGTCAGTCTCCGTAACGCCTCCGGCAAAGATTGGCCCACAAAAGGACCCAGCACCGATTCAGATCATCTTCTGCCTGAAAGAAAAGAACCAAAAGAAGATCAACTCTCACCGCTGGTTCTTCAACGCATTTGGACCGATTCTCGAGCCCAACGTGTGCGTGTTGCTCGACGTCGGAACCATGCCGGGACCGACATCGATTTACCACTTGTGGAAGTCGTTTGATATCAACTCGAACGTTGGCGGCGCGTGCGGAGAAATCGTGGCACTCAAGGGCAAGTTTGGTGTCAATCTGCTCAACCCGTTGGTGGCGGCGCAGAATTTCGAGTACAAGATGAGCAACATCTTGGATAAGCCACTTGAGAGCGTGTTTGGGTACATTACTGTGTTGCCTGGTGCCTTCAGCGCTTACCGGTGAGTATTCGACTCGTAGAGAGATTGACGATTCTCATCAGATGTGTAGGTATATTGCGCTCCAAAATGACTCGATGGGAGATGGACCGCTCCAAAAGTACTTTTTGGGTGAAAAGATGCACGGTGCTGGAGCGGATATCTTTACGGCGAACATGTACCTTGCCGAAGATCGAGTACGCGAATCCGCCCCAACTGCTGCTGGTGGACTGACTCTGCCCTAGATTCTCTGCTGGGAACTTGTATCGAAGCGCGGTGGTCAATGGATCTTGCACTATGTCAAATCTGCCTACGCAGAGACGGATGTGCCGGATCAAGTGCCCGAACTCATTTCCCAACGTCGACGATGGCTCAACGGATCCTTCTTCGCCGCTGTACATTCGACGGTCAAGTTTAACTACCTTTACCGTTCATCGCATACCGCCATGCGCAAGTTTTGGATCCACGTCGAGTTGGTGTACCAAGTGTTCAACCTCATCTTTGCCTGGTTCTCGTTGGCCAACTTTTACATTGCATTCGTGCGTTTACTCTTTACCTCTTTTTAAATGGCGCTGATGAAACGCAGTACATTCTTTCCAACGCCATGGAGGATAAGAGTTTCAAGATTGCGGGTATCCACGTCATCAACATTGTGCTCAACTATCTCTACCTCGGCCTCCTCGTCGCATGCTACTTGCTCGCGCTCGGTAATCGGCCCCAAGGGTCCAAGTGGTGGTACACCTTCGCGTTTATTGGATTTGCCATCATCACGGTCTACATGACGTTTGCGGCATTCTTCCTCGCATTCAAAGGCATCGATGCGATTCGACAGGAGAGTGCGAATGGCATTACGTTTGGCACATTCTTCAATAATTCGATTTTCCGCAATATCGTCGTTTCGATGCTTGCGACGCTTGGGTTGTACATCTTTGCAAGCTTGTTGTTCGTGAGTACTCTCTGCCACTCTCTCTTTCTTGGCGCTGAAGAGTTTCTAGTTTGACCCGTGGCATATGATTACGTCGTTTATCCAGTATCTCCTAATGGCGCCGAGCTATATCGCGGTGCTTAATGTCTATGCCGTACGTCTTTTTATTGATCCGTCGACATTTATTGACTGTCGATTAGTTCGCCAACGTGCACGACGTCTCGTGGGGAACAAAGGGTGACAACAAGGTCTCGACGGATCTGGGTACCGTCACCGCCGCTGGAAAGAACAAGAACGAAGTCGAGGTGATCGTACCGACAGAGCAAAAAGATATCAACGCTGCGTACGAAGATGCTCTGCACGTCTTGTCCGAGAAGCCACCCAAGGCTGAACAGAAGCGAGACGCGAGCACGAAGCAGGAGGATTACTATCGCAATTTCCGTACCAATGTCTTGTTGGCATGGACGTTGAGCAATGGTCTCCTGGGTGCTGTCGTGGTGAGCACGGCAAGCAAGGCGGAGGATCAAGGTGCCCAAAAGGCCGTGGCGGGTTATATGGGTTTCGTGCTCTTCTCAGTCACGATGCTTGCCTGTGAGTCTACTTCTTTATCCACCTTTTGTCGTACTGACGAACCGGTCTAGTCGTGCGTTTCTGCGGATCGACCGCCTATATGCTGATCCGTCTATTCGCTGGAGAATAGAGGAAATGAAGGGAAGAACTGGATTAGATGTTTGTTGTGCTGGTTACGATATACCTGCTCACGTCACCGCTAGTATGACTTGTTTTGGTACGCTTCCCTCTGATGATATCAATGGACTTTTGACTCTTGGCTGTGATCTTGTATTTTCTTTCGAGTTTGCGAAACACGAGTATTCTTGGCTCTCTTGGGAGCGTCTGCGTTTCTTTGTGGAGTCTTCGCCACCCACTGATCGACGAGCCTTGGATCTGACGTCGACAATCCCCTGGGATCCCAGCTTTGCTACGACGTGGATAAAGGGAGAATAGGTTCATCTTGGAGAGCATCATCCATCGATCAACGCAACTTTGGCCATTGCTTGTCAGCTGGTGACGACTTATTTGCGGGCACGACGAATCAGAGATCAAGCTGGATAACAAGCACGGCCACGCGCGTAAACACCAAACTCGGGCAAAGATTATGCAACGGTTGCTCGACGGCAAACACCAAGTCGCCTCCAAGGCGAGCGAGACGAAGCGACGCTTGATGGCTGCCACGGGAGCGACGCCATATCTCGCCCAAAAGAAGAGAGAAAAGCGAGGTGAGTTTCTACCTTGGCACTGCAGAGACGTCATGGGACTGATGCGCCAATGTAGAAAAGGATGGGAAAGTCGGAGAGGTGGAGGAATGGAACCTCGACGAAATCCGCGTCCCTGGAGATCTCATTAAAGGAACCGTGTTGACCAAGATTTCGGAGAAGCGTGGAAAAGCGCCAAAGGATCGGTTGTTCCGGCTGGATCCGGATCAGGGCAAGATTTACTGGGATTCGCGAAAGCGTGGTGTCAGTACGTACTTTACCACTATAATTTGATGCTCTGGCTGAAACATTGGGTAGTATACATCGAGAATATCAAAGAACTTCGACCAGGACCGTCCGCTCATTCAGAGATCATGTCGCTCCTCGACACCAACGACGCGAGCACGATTGAAAATCGGTGGCTGACCATCATCTATACGATCGAAGACGAGTATAAAACACTTCATGTCATAGCTCCGACGGCCGAATCGCTTGACCAGTGGTACACGACGCTCTCGCAATTACGCCAGCTTCGACTCGACTTTATGGCGGGGCTCCTCCATTCTTCGTCCGCAGGCACGGATGGAGCGCTCTGGGACAGACACCACTTTGCCGGTGCGGACAAGAAGAAGGATAATCAACTCGAATGGAGTGAAGTGAAGGCACTGTGCCGCAGACTCAACTTTGGTGGCTCAGAGGACGATATAAAGAGGCAGTTCAAAGAATGTGACGCAGACGGAAGAGGGACGTTGACCTTTGACGAGTTCCAAACGTTTGTGGCACGGTTGAGGAGACGCTCGGAAATTGCGACCATCTTCGAAGAAGCAAGGGGTGGAGAGGCATTTACAGTCCAGATTTTCGAAAGGTTTATGCGGGAACACCAAAAAGTGAGCATCTTGTCTTTCAAATTCCTTGGCTAATTGCTTCTAGCCCTCGTGGACGACAGAAGAGTTGGCCCGAATCTTTGCACTCTTCGCGCCGCAGATCGATGGAAAGGCTCAGGCCGCCTGGACAGAGGATGCCTTTTCGGCATTTTTACAGTCGGGATACAACGCCGCGTTTTCTGAATCGGTGTCCTCTCCTCCTGCGGCTGGGACGTCTCAGCAAGCGCCAGTGAAGCCACACGCCCAAAATAGGATCATCCACGACATGACCCAACCCCTCTCATCCTACTTTATCTGCTCCTCGCACAACACATATCTCATTGGAAACCAGTTAGTGGGGGACTCGAGCGTCGAAGGATACATTCGGGCGATGCTTGGTGGGTGTAGAAGTGTGGAGATGGACATATACGACGGACCAGAAGCTGGGTCATTCGACCTTGGCATTAATACCGGAAACACTCTCTCCACCGAAGCCCATGCGGTGCGGGCAGAGGTTGGGGAGGCTGCTGCAGCCGTTGGGCAGGCGATTGGACTTGTGGAAGATGATGCAGAGGATCGAATCAAGGAGTCTATGGGGAAGACTGAGAAGAAAGAGATCATGAAGCGCAAAATTGTAGAAGATGCCGATGGATTGATCTTGGGCGAGCCAATCGTCACACATGGGGGTACTCTTACGAGCTCGCTCTCTGTGCGTAGGATATGTGAGGCTATCGAACGCTACGCCTTTGTCATGAGCCCCTATCCTATCATTATCAGCGCCGAGGTTCACTGCAGTGAGTGTTCTTTATCATCAATGTAAACGTACTCAAAGCGAGCAGGTGTCGAGCAGCAGAAGGTGCTGGTCCATATTATGCGCGAGGTCTTTGGCGACAAGCTCGTCGTTGCACCCATCAATCCAGAAGATGCAGATATCATTCTTCCGAGTCCTGAAGACCTCAAAGGCCGCATCTTGCTGAAAGCAAAGAACAAAACTATGGACGCAGAGGCCAAGGCGTTGGCGGACGAGGTTTTCCTGAGAGGAAAAGGTCGCAAAGGTTCCGGCTATCGCACCGACTGATATTCCACAGGCTCCAGTTAAAAAGGAGAAAAGGCAAAGCTGGGTAAAAGGGGAAGCCAAGAGTTTGATGGGCAAAATGTTTGGAATAGGCCGTTCTCGCTCGCCGTCGCCGGCTCCAGAGAAAAGAAAAGGGGAAACACAAGAAAAGGAAGGAGATGAAAAGCCACTCCAGTTCACCAAATCCCCCGAAGGCGTGACAGCGCCGCCTGTCGCTGCTGTCATCGAGCAGTCTGCGAACTTGCCGAAAGTGGAAGTTACCACTGATGCAACAACAACGCCAGCCACCGATTCTTCAACGAGTGAAGCTACTTCCAAGCCAAACCCGCCTTCTGGGAAAGTCGTAATGGCACCCGAACTTGTCCCACTCCTCGTCTATACATCTGGGGTTACGTTCCGTGGACTGCAGCCAAAGAAGACTTACGGACCCTCCCAAGTCTTCTCTCTCTCAGAGTCCCGCGCAAAGGGACTCATTCATAACCCTGTTCAAGCAGACGTCAAGGACTCACTCAAAAGAGCGCCCACGATAGCACTTTGCTCGTACAGCATACGTTGGGACATGTAGTAAGGGTGTATCCCAAGGGACCAGAGTGGATTCCAGCAATTATGAACCAAACGTATTTTGGGCGATGGGCTGCCAACTGGTCACGGTCAATTGGCAGACTGTTGGTAAGTGGGCCTACTCCTTTCAATTAATCTAACTAATGATACTGCAGATCGAGGATGGCATATTAACCGTGCAATGTTCCTTCGCAATGGCGGCGCGGGCTATGTCCTCAAGTCACCTGCCCTCCTCGACTCTTCCTACCCGGTCGACCTCTCCAAGCACCGCCTAACCAAGCATGTCCTCAAAATCCGCATCATCTCTGCTCAGCAGCTTCCCAGACCAAAGGATCACCAAGGCTACGAAATCATCGACAAGGACACGGTCGACCCCTATGTCAAGGTCACGATTCATATCCCAATCTGGGCAAGTGGACAAAGCAGCGGGTCGATTGCGCCTGTTCCAGTAAAACCTGTCGTCCAAGGTGGGTTGGCACCAGGAAGCGGAGCGCGGACCGTACCAGTCAGTCAAATCTCAGCTCCCCTTGGAGAGAAGGAGAGAGAGGCAGAAGAAGATCGCACGCTTCAACCTGGTGAAGCCCAGACTTCGTCCTCCCACCATCAAGCACTCCTCGTTGAATCTGGTAGCAGAGGCGAGGAGCAGGCAGGTGCTGCCGTCGGAGAGAGAGAGGTCAAAATGCGGACCAAAACGGTCAGAAACAATGGGTTCAACCCCGTCTGGAATGAAGAGCTACAGTTGCCGTTTGATGTCTTTGGCGAGGGCATGAGGGATACCATCTTTGTCCGCTTCATAGTGAAAGACGATAACAATCTGGATAAGGACGACTTTGTCGGCGGCTACTGCATCAGCCTTGGATCGTTGGAGATGGGTACGCCGTTCATCACGACTTGCACTCTGACTGACGATGCGATAGGATATCGTCATATTCCACTCTACGATGAACAGGCCAACCAGATTCTTTTTGCTGGACTGTTTGTCCACCTATCCATCGAGGATCTATAAACCCCGCGAATTGTACAATATGTGGCAAAGTGACTTCCCAAGAAAAAAACCGTGATCATTAGCGTGAGGGGCTCATAAGTGATCGGGTTATTGGCGATATCGTTCACTCTCTCCTCCCCCGGTCCTGAGCTTCATCTTGTGGAGCCAGTCTGTGTCTTGACCGCTGAGAGGATGGATTCTTGCCATTCGCGGAACCATTCACTCTTGTGCGTACTGCGAAGGATCCATACGCTCTCCAGGTGACACGCAATCTTTCATTCTCTCTCCAGCCGGCACGAGCTCCTTGCCGCCAAGTATTTCCTGAGCTGCTTCAACTGCTTCCCCCTGATACCGTACTACCAACAGGTTCCTAGTGCTTTATCGGGAACGCAGTGCCGACTACGGCCAGAAGCGTCTCCAAAGCCAGACCTGTTCTCGGCACCAGAAAAGCGTCCAAACAACCTGTACGTACACCAAATATAAATTTCGATTTGATTTAGATCTCAAAACTATCCAAATTCATACCAGTCCATTGCCATGACCGTCTCGAATGATACAGAACTGTCGATTGAACGAGAAGCGCTTGATCCACAAGGCTCCTCAAAATCACGTATTCCACCATGAGTAGGCTGTTAAGACCTTGTCATTCTGGAGACAACAGTTACCCAATGAGAAATATAAGGGCGGAGGGACATACCCAAGGGCCGGCAATGAAAGCAAAGTGAGTTGAAGTTAGGAATAGGACATCATATTCGTTTCTTTTGGGAGGAGGGACCAAAGGCCAGAGGAGTCGATAGGGTAGCTCGACACTACCCTCGCATCTCATGACGCCACCCTTGGATTTGCCGTTCTGATCCTCCAGTGGAGTATGAAACTGGGCAATTCGGGCCTGCCTGTAGAGTATCGGACGAGGACTCAAGTCCAGGACAACACTCCAGGCAAGAAACTCCTCCCCATCCACCCTGACAGGATCTCGTTGGTGCATGATAGATTCATTTGCGAGTTGATCAACATTGTACGAGGTAAATGCCACGCGCGAACCAGCCCCACACCTCCTCATTGCCAGGCCTTCAAATTCGTTTGTCAAGACTCGGAGGATGATATCTTGGAGAGAATCCTCTTGACTGTTGTATGTCATCGAGGTATGCTGCCCTGCACCAGCTTCAAACTGCCGACATAGAGCGCGTGGTCGAATGAAATAAGTGAATGAGGTGCCGTAAAATTTGATACAGATCATCGATTCGACGTCTTCATCCCAAATATACGGGCTCATTGGGAGGTCATTGGGTATGCTGAAAGAGTCGACCTCGAGAATTGGCGCCGTGAAACCGATACTTCCCACATATTCATCAGACGACAACGATATATCGAACCTGATCTCTTGAATGACCGGTGAGAGGGTCGAATACTCCGTGATTTTCCTTAGTGCCAGATGATAGTCGACGGCGACATCCTGCTCGTCGGCTGTGTTCCCGACAATGTAAAGTAGTGTGCCCGATGAGATGAAAGCCACTGCCCACACCTGCATAGCTCCTGGAGGACGATCAGGCAGCGCATGGGGGCTACTAAATGACTACTTGCCTCAAGGAGAACGCCAGACTTCCAACTCCATACCGAAAGAGCTCCGCCTTGATCTTCATCTGGGAAACGGTGGACGAGAATGTCCCCCAAAATGAGCAGATCAACGTGCTCCTCTGGTACTCCTTCCAGGTCAAACCACGGTTTGGTTGCCTGGGGATGAGGTTTCCCAGTTGAGAGAGAGACAAGATGAATCCTGGGTGAATTAGTAAAACCTTTGCTTCTGTTAGGGATGGCTCACGCGGCCTCGGCAACTAAGAAGCCCATGCGGTCCATGCGGCCGCCCCAAATGACGAGCAAGTCTTGAGAGAGGTCCCATGCGAGACTTTCAACAAATATCTCAGACGGCACGGCATACTCCTTCCATGGTTGTGACTCTACGGGCTGCCAGATGCTACGGGAGACGAAACTTTCATAACCATCGCTATAATGTACGGAGCCTACGAGGTCCGACCAGAACCGGGTCTTGTTTTTAAGGCCTTGTAGGCGCATGGGGGATGGCAGGCTGTTAGATTGCCATGCGCGCTTGGCACTTCGGAACGCCTCTAGTCTCTCTGCTGGAATTTTTGATTGGAAAGGAAAGGCTTCAAGAGCGGAGGGATATGTGCGAAGCCGGAGGCCCTCTATGGCCAGTTCAAGGATGAGCTACAAATGAGGGTCCGATTCGACAATTTGTTTTAGTCGACGACAGGTCTAGATAAGGTTATGATTACTCTAAGTACAGAAGAAAGGGCGTACTGCTGAACAGGCGACAATGTCCTTGCGGAGAGTTGACGCAGGATGTGAGTTGCAAGCTCCAACGGAAGCGTGGACAATTCATTCTGTTGAATTTTCATTGCTGTTGATGCGCCCAAACTGAAGTCGTAGATTTGGTCGAGAAAACGTGGTTTCCCCACCGTTGACCGGTCGTTCAGAGAAGATATAAACTCAGTATCTTCCAAAGCGGGGAAAGTGACTGACTATACGATAGGATATCGTCATATTTCACTCCATGACGAGCAAGTCAACCAGATTCTCTTCGTTAGACTGTGCATCCACGCATCCATCGAGGATCTATAAAGTTCCATGAATTGTACACTGTATAGCGAGTTGACATCCAAGAAAAACATGACCAGCAGCATGGAGGGCTCATACATGATCGAGGTTATTAGCGATATCGTTCACTCTCTCCTCTTCTGTCTGGAGCTTCATCTTGTGGAGCCACTCTGACTTTGTGCCCGTCTTGACTGCAGCGAGGATCGATTCTTGCCATTCGCGGAACCATTCACTCTCGTGCGTACCGCGAAGGATCCATACCCCCTCTGGTGTAACACGCAACCGTTTCATTCTCTCGCCAGCCGGAACGAGGTCCTTGCCGCCAAGTCTTACCTGAGCTGCCTCGACTGTTTCCCCTGGCGTCGTACCACGAACGAGTTCCCAATGCTTTATCGGGAAAGCAGTGCCCATTACGGCCCACTTTCCCCCTGCACCCGGCCAGAAGCGTCTCCAAAGCCAGAGGAAAGGGAAAACGAGGATGAGGCAGGTGAGGAAGATGTACAGTTTTGACGAAAATATTTTGGAAACAAAGTTGGGTGACCGTATGTGGACACATTTGCTTGATTGTGTAAATTCGACGGAGATGTGGCCAGTCGGATGCGTGTTTCTATATCCAGCCGCCTCGACGAGTTCTGTGAGCGAGGTAGACAGGGATAGAGTATTCCAGCCGTAGACTGATTTGGTAACCTTGAAGTCTTTGACGACTCGACGGCTCCGGATGTAGTCGGTTAACCATTCTTCGACACTACGTCCTGATGCGAGAGGTTTGTTCGCCAATCCCACATACGCCTCCTCATCGCTTCTGCCTCCATCGCGAGGTCGGCTGATCCATGGTGGCCGACCGACTACGGTATATCAGCGATGGAGCGAACTTTTTGAACAAGCCGTACCGGATTCCGTTTCCTGCTCCCATGATTCCTGTATGTCTTGCTCATCACTCGTTACCATCCGCCTCGATTCGATCCTCGTAGGTCCGTTCGGTTCCGTCGCCATCCGCATACCTCCTCGAAACGCCGGGACATGATCTGCAACCGTGTAGACGATTGGTTTGGCCTTTTTCAGATGTGGGGAGATGTCGATGCTGAATTCGAAATCGACAATGGTTACAGTGTACGTCTCGATGCGGTCACGACCGTCTCTGCGAACAACTCGTGTGCGCTTCTCTGTATGTGTTCCCCTCAATGTAACATAGTAATCCGGCTTAAGACTACCATGCTCTTCGACGAAGTATGAGAGCGCATTCACTGTCAACTCGGGTCAGCACAGGGCCGCAAAGCGATTCAGGGACCGCACCATCACGACTCAGAATCGGATCATGGGAGATTACTTCTTCGTCCTTGACCTCAAATTCAATGTTTTCATAGTCCGTCGGCTTCTCCTTGTTATCCCTGGAAGAAGAGTTAGAAGAGCTGGAGGAGCTGGTTGTTGATCTTCGAAGCGCTGTCTTCTTTTCCTCTACAACTGTCTCTTCCAGAATCCCTGCTGCTCCTGGCTGAGCTGGCGGCGGGGCAGGAACACCAGTCGGAAGAGGAACGGGCATCGATACTGGCTCGCTCTTGGCAGGCACTTCCTGATTGCTATCGTTCGATGGAGGTGCCGGACGTGGCTCCGGCATGGTCAGAGGGACTGGTTGGCCGACAGTCGCGCTTTGGCCACCATCCTTTTTGTTGTCGTTTACAGATTCGACAATGTACCCATCAAGCATCATATTTGAAGCCATTTCCGGGCGAGTGCGATGAGAGGAGAAACAAGTGGTCAGGTCCGTCAAGGGAGAGGCCAAGAGACAAAATGGCAGCTGACAGCGGGTGCCGCCCACCCATTAATTTGTAGTTCTATCAGTCAAAATCGCGTTATGAGGATATAGAAGTACAAGAAACATCTTCAATGTCCTGTATACACGAGAAGTCCCAGCTAGTCGTTAGAGATACCATTATCCTCGTGTTCTGTCCAGAACGGGAGAGCTGAGTAAGATTCCATTTCCTGAAACTAGATCTTTTTTTCAGTTCTTGTATCAGCTCGGACAGAAGGGGCTCACACCACGAAACTGCACAGTGAGGATATGATTAGAGCCCATCGTAACTTCTTGTGCCCCAGAGATCGGCTTTAGGGGGAAAACGAGTCTATGCCAGAGCACCTCAACATCGTTATAGAATGAATAACTAAGATATGGACCAGAATCCTCGCTTTATTTCTCTCGCTGCTTCGCTTTGGCGAGCTGAACTGGACGACCATTAAAGTCGAGGACCGCGACGAAAACATCGCTGGACCCGGCCGCTTCTCCTGTTTCCTGATCTTTAAGAGAGGGTCTAGATAGGAATATCTCTTTGGTGAACCCAATGAGAACAAGGCGCGATTACGAGATTGCCGTGAGGTGCGCCTCGAGTGGTTGCACACTGTCCAAATGTATGCGAAAAATCACGTCTTTACTCCACTCTTTGCGGGGAATAGGACAGGACTGGATCCCATCTTCCATTATTCCGCTCTTGTTTGATACTGCGGCCAGCACTTGCTCTTCGTAAAGGCTCACGAGAGCCCGTATACGTACGATATCAAACATTTTATGATCCTCAAAATAGATACATGTGATTGCACCCGCAGTCTCGTCGTGAATGTACGGGCTGAAGGGAAGATCGATGGGAAGGTCTGGGGGCCTCACGCTCAGGCGTGGAGGCCATGAAAAAGAGAGAAGGGCGGATCCCTCGTTCCCCAAAGCTCTTCAGATCGTCCTCCAATTCAAGGCGTAGAATAATTGATCCCGAGTCCGACAGATCATAGACTGAGCTCGCGCGTGACTGTGTTCGATCCAAAGGAGAAGGGTCGTTGAAATGAAGCCCACACCTCCGATATCACCAAGTGCCTGCTCAGTATTAGCGTTCGTAGTACAGACGAAAACTCCAGCACCTCACGTAGTAGTACTCCTAGAGTCCAATCCCAGACGAGCGTACGACCCCACCCATGGGAGTTAGGGCCATAATAGATCATGACACGTTCTGAAATGAGAATTCTGGTCTTATCAGAGTCCAAGTCCCGGGAAGCGAGCCCAAGAGTGGCACTGGATGCACGCGGATGACCCAAGCCTGTTCTCAAGGACCGAAGATGAATCCTGGCGTTGGCGTCCACGGTGTGGGATGGCGATATGAGTACGAGTAGATCCTCGTACACATCAAATGCAAACGCTTCGATGATCACGCCAAGGTCATCAAAACGTCTCCACGGTTCACTGCCTGCTTCCCACAGACTTTGGATGACGATCCCGGAGACGTGTCCATTCAAACGCGTCGTGTAGCAGAGGAGACCAGTTTGAGTCGCGTAGCTTACACCCTCACAGTCAAACTTGTACGCGAGGTCGTCCGTCGCCTGCGTAGAACTCTGTAAGGCGCGTCGAAAGGCGTCGAGTCGCTCTGCTGGTGACATTGTGTTTAGACCACAAGGCTAAATAACTGGAGGATATGTTCGGAGCCTCAAGCCTTGCACCGCGAGCTCTGTGATGAGCTGAAGCACGCTGGACTGGTCGATGAAGAATTTGAGTCGTCGACATGTCTGATCAAGGTGTTAGTTTTAGAGATATCACGAGTTTTGTTTATCATACCGCTCCGACAGCGAGAATGTCACGGGCCCGCAGCTGCTCCAAGATATGGACGACAATTTGAAGAGGTAGGTTGACGAAATTTGAGAATTCTGCACGTCTCATATTGTTCTGAGAGGGCTCTGCAATACAGCTCGTTTGCGGTCAAATAGTTGTTTAGGACGAACATCGAGCCCCCACCGATGACCGACACACCGCATACACCATGTGTTGATCGGAGTCACCATTCTACTTCAAACGATATTCTGATGCATTACTCAGCAGAACATTCATCGCTGGACGTACCGAGTAATTGAAAGCGCGAATGCCTTCACTACAGGAGGTACAATGCGGCCACACTTGAATTACGTTATTATAAACAGTCGCATGTGCTCGATTATCCTCCATCAGACAATGAACAACTCCAACTGCTGCGGTCGACTGGGTGGAGCGCGGAAAACGAACAAGTACCTTGGTGATATGCGTCGTCGCTCGCTAGGGTGCACCTTATTCGACGGCTCGACACACTGGACAAACTTTTCAATGGAATGACAGCGGCTCTGTTCATCAAGAGCACGACAAGAGTCGCTATAGGTATCTCGGTTATGAGTGGCAGAGTCATCAATCGTACCCCTACACCCGTACGTATATGCTCTTGTAGAGGGTCAGAGAAGGAAGACATTCAGCAAGAAAAACGTACCACTGCGAGCACCACGGAAATGGCCAAGACATTAGTCGTTAGAGATCCCATCATCTTCGTACACCGTCCAGAACGGTAGAGCTGAGCACGAGGTGATCCTTAACAACTAGATTGTTCAGTTTGAATTACCCCAGACGGAAGAGACTCACATCATCTAACTGTACAGTGAGGATATGGTTCGAGCCCATCGTGATCTCCTGGTCCTCAGAGATCGGTCTCGGGGGAATAGCGAGTCGATGCCAGAGTTCCTCATCATCAGTGCTGAGCATATAGCTCAAGAATAGACCAGACTCGTCACTTTCCTTCTCTCCTCGCTTGGCATTGGCGAGCCGAATTGGACGACTGTTAAAGTCGACGACCGCGACGAAAACACCGCCGGAATCGATCTCCTGCTCCCACTCTTTCTGATCTCCAAGAGATGGCCTAGATAGGAATATCTCCTTGGTGAGCCCAAGGAGAGCAAGGCGCGCTTGTGAGATCGCCGTGCAGTGTGCGTCGAGTGGTTGTAGGATACCCGAGTATATGCGAAATGCTACGTTTTTGCTCCACTCGTCGCGAGGAACAACTCCAGACTGGAGCCCCTGTTCGATGAATACGCTTTTGTTCGATACTGAGGCCAATGTTTGCTCTTTGAAAAGGCTCAACAGAGCCTGGGTACGCACGATATTGAAGATGTTCTGGCTCTCTGAATGGATGCATACGATTGCATCCGCTGTCTCGTCGTGAATGTAAGGACTCAAGGGAACATCCACGGGAAGGCTTGGGGTGTCACGCTCAGGCATCGAGGACATGAAAATGACAGACGGGCGAAGCCCGCGCTCCGCGAAACGAAGCGGATCGTTCTCCAACGCGAGGCGTAGAATAATCGATCCGGAGTCTGTAACATCTCGGAGACAGATTTGAGAATGGGCTCTCGTGTAACTGTGTTCAACCCAAAGAAGAAGGCTAGTTGAGATCAAGGCCACACCTCCGACATTATCGAGCACCTTGTCAGGGTCAGCGTCTGTAGTAAAGAGAAGAACTACAGCACCTTGAATAGTATTTCTCCTACTCTCCAGTCCCATACAATCATGCAACCCCACCCCTCGTAGCCAGGGCCATAATATACCAGTATGTGTCCTGAAACAAGAATAATTGTCTTCCCAGAATCGTAAGTCTCGGAGTCGAGCTCGAGAATGGCTTTGGATGCACTTGGATGGTCCAAGCCTGTGTTCGAGGAGCGAAGATGGATCCTGGAACTTTCGTCTGCGGTTTGGGGCGGAGATATGAGAATGAGTAGATTCTCGTACACGTCAAACGCAAACGTGTCGATAATCACGCCGAGGTCATCAAAACATCTCCACGGTTCACCGCTCGCGTCTTCCCACAGACTCTGGATGACGACACCGGAGACTTGTCCATCTAGAGACGTCGTGTAGCAGAGAATACCAGCTTGAGTCGCGTAGCTTACACCCTCACAGTCAAACTTGTACGCAAGGTCGTCCGTCGCCTGCGTAGAACTCTGTAAGGCGCGTCGAAACGCGTCGAGTCGCTCTGCTGGTGACATTGTCTTCAGACCACAAGGTTGATTAGCCGGAGGGTATGTTCGCAATCTCAAGCCTTCCACTGCGAGCTCTCTGATGAGCTGAAGCGCGCTCGACTGGTCGACAGATAATTTGAGTCGGTGGCATGTCTAATCAAACAGTTAGTCTCGAAGATATAATGCGGGCCGTTTATCATATACCGCTCCAACAGCGAGAATGTCACGAGCCCGCAGCTGCTCCAAGATATGGACGACAGTTTCAAGAGGTAGGTTGACAAATTTTGAGAATTCCGTACGCCTCATATCTGTCTGAGGGCTCTGCAGCATAGAGGACATCGGATCACCTCTGCGGTCAAAATAGTCGGGTGAACAGAACGTCAGGCCCCCCACCGATGACCAGCATAAGGCATACCTTGTGCGTTAATCCGGGCGCTATTCTCGACGCGTCGTGAATGTCGTCACTGGAAGAGGAGGTACAGCCTAGCCACATTAGGATTGCATTGATATAAACAAGTTTGGGCTTTTATATTGTGTGATTATCCTCCATCAACCGCATGAATGATTTCAGCTGCATGGGCCGACTGAGTGGAGCGCAGGTAATAACGAGCAAGTGCGACGAGGGATAGGTGAGCGTCGACTTTGAGAACGCATCGTTACGTGTCGGCGGGTACCCGTTTCGTTTGACGCTTCTGGACTGCTGGACGCATTGGACACATTGGTGGGTGGGACGGCAGTGACTCTGCTCATCAAGAGCGCGACAAGATCGCTTGAATATGCCGTCAATATCGAACTATGTCTCCGTTATGAATGGCAGGGTCATCAATCGTACCCCTACGCCCGTACGTATACGCTCTTGTAGAGGTCAGAGAAGGAAGACATTCAGCAAGAACAACGTACCACTGCGAGCACCATGGAACCAGGCAAGACATTTAGTCGTTAGAGATACCATCATCCTCGTGCACCGTCCAGAACGGTAGAGCTGAGCAAGAGGTAATGCTGAGTAACTAGAGTTGTTCAGTTTTTATTACCCCGGAACGGAAAAGACTCACATCATCTAACTGTACAGTGAGAATATGGCTCGAGCCCATCGTGATCTCCTGGTCCTCCGAGATCGGTCTGGGGGGGATAACGAGTCGATGCCAGACCTTCTCGTCATCAATACTGAGCATATAGCTCAAGAATAGACTAGACTCGTCACTTTCCTTTTCTCCTCGCTTCCCGTTGGCGAGCCGAATCGGACGGGTGTTAAAGTCGAGGACAGCGACGAAAGCATCCGTAAACTCAGTCCTCTGTTCTCGCTCTTCCTGCTCTTGAAGAGACGGTGTCGACAAGAATATCTCTCTGTTGAACCCAAGGAGAGCAAGGCGCGCTTGCGAGATTGCCGTACAGTGCGCATCGAGGGGTTGCACTTTTTCCGAATGTATGCGAAACGCTACGCCTTGGCTCCACTCCTCTCGAGGGATAACACTGGACTCGCATCCCTTTTCCATGGCGCTTGTAGTCGACATGGCGGCCAATGTTTGCTCTTCGTAAAGGCTTAGCAGAGCCCTTGTACGGACGATATTGAATAGGTTCATGCTCTCCGAATAGATGCACACGATTGTATCCCCAGTCTCATCGTGAATGTATGGGCTCAAGGGGAGGTCGTCTGGAAGATTTGGAGTGTCACGTTCAGGCGTAGAGGCCATGAAAAAGACAGCCGGGCGGATCCCATGTTCCATATAGAGGATCGGATCGTCCTCCAACGCGAGGCGCAGAGTAATGGATCCAGAATCTGTAATATCTCGGATACAGATTTGAGATTGGGTATCTGGGTCGTTGTGTTCAATCCAAAGAAGAAGAGTAGTCGAGATAAAGGCTACACCCCCAATACGATCGAGCATCTGTTCCAGTATTAGAATTTGTAGGAAAGATGGAAACAGCTACACCTTGAACGTGATTTCTCCTGTCGTCCAGTCCCAGACCATCATGCAACCCCATCCGTCGTAGTCGGGGCCATAATATATCAGGATGTGTCCTGAAACCAGCACTTTGGTCTTCTCCGAATCGAAATTACGAGAAAAGAGTTCAAGAGTGGCACTGGACGCGCGTGGATGATCCAAGCCTGTCCTCAAGGACCGAAGATGAATCTTGGCGTTGTCCCCTGCGGTGAGGGGTGACGATATGAGAACGAGTAGATCCTCGTACACGTCAAACGCAAACGCATCGATGATCACGCCAAGGTCATCAAAACGTCTCCACGGTTCACTGCTTGCTTCCCACAGACTTTGGATGACGATCCCGGAGACGTGTCCATTCAGACGCGTCGTGTAGCAGAGGAGACCAGCTTGGGTAGCGTAGCTTACGCCCTGACAGTCAAACTTGTACGCGAGATCATCCGTCGCCTGCGTAGAACGTTGGATAGCGCGTCGAAGGGCGTCGAGTCGCTCTGCTGGTGACATTGTCTTCAGACCACAAGGCTGAGTAGCCGGAGGATATGTTCGGAGCCTCAGGCCTTGCACCGCGAGCTCTGTGATGAGCTGAAGCACGCTGGACTGGTCGATGAAGAATTTGAGTCGTCGACATGTCTGATCAAGGTGTTAGTTTTAGAGATATCACGAGTTTTGTTTATCGTACCGCTCCGACAGCGAGAATGTCACGGGCCCGCAGCTGCTCCAAGATATGGACAACAATTTCAAGTGGTAGTTTGACGAATTCTGCACGTGTCATGTTGTCCTGAGGGCTCTGCAATACAAAGGACATCCGATCGCCCGTGGTCAAATAGTCGGTTGGGAAGAATGTCGAGCCCCACAGATGACCAGCACAATGCGTGTTAGTCGGAGCACTATTCTTGACGCGTCATTCGTCCTCGGATATCGAATGGCAAACGCATCTTGACAGAGGACGTACAGGACAAAGCGTCGCAGATGTCGTCACTAGAAGACAAGGTACAACATAGCCACACTTGAATTGCATTCATATAAACAAGTTTGGATTCCTATATTGTCCAGTTATCCTCCATCAATTCCATGAACGTCTTTGGCTGTATGTGCCAGCTGGGTGGAGCGCGGGTAATAACGAGCCACCGCGGCGAGGGAGAAGCTAACGTCGACTTTGAGCACACGTTGCCACGTGCCAGCAGGTGCCCGTCTCATTTGACGCTTCGGCGCTGCTTGACACGTCCGACCATACGTCGATGGGATGGTAGCTTTTCTGTCCATCAAGAATGCGACAAAATTCGCGAGTGTATACTGTCGATATCGAGGGTTGTCGTGGGTGGAGACGGTAGGGTCATCTCACTAGTACCCGCATACACCCACGTATATGCTCTTGTAGATGGTCAATGAGAGTGAAACCTCAGCAAGAGCGACATACCACGGCGAGCACGACAAAACCGGCCAACAAACACCACGTACGCGGTGAGAGTCAGGGTGGGCGATAGTCTAGGTGTCTATGGACACATCTCATCGCCCTCTTAGCCAATAGTCGGCGTTTGCCGCAGAATAGACATCGTTTGCGCCGAACAAACTCGTCGAGATCATTCCCCGGTGGAGCAAGATTAAGCAGCCACCATTGCTGGTCGAGGATAGACCTGAGTTTTGTCCGTAAATGTTCGGCGTCATCATTGCCTTCAAATTGCGCAAAGACCCAGTTATCGTTGACGTTGCCAACGTTGGGCCTTTGTGGATAAGTAAGAGTTTGTGGTGCGTGGGGTGGGTTTCGGATTATGGCGCTGAGGGCGGTTGTCTGCGAAGAGTAGTATGAGTTGTCCATGGTGATTTCTAGGGATCGTCCAGTTGGCACCACTTCTTTATATACATGCCGAGAGACTGTCATGAATAAACCGTCGCGGCATACTCATTTGCTGGTGCTGACAGACTGCTGGCGGACAGAGGGTTGGTTGGATAGTTTACTTGCATCGGATTATCGTCCTGTATGATGTAACCAGCCAACCACGACGTCCCATCCGGTTGTCGAGAACAGCGCCTATGGGTTTTGCTGCGCTTGGCTTGACTCAGATGCGTGGAATAGAAGGACCGCAGCAATTGCTGATCTTGTGGATCGAACGAGGACGTTGTGGATGCTGGCGTTGTCGTCGTTGGCACTAGCGCTGACCGTTGAGAAGGACAGGACGAGTGATTCCGTGAGAGTGCCCCCTGTCATTTACCCATCCTTGGAGGATTCCTGGCCAGTAGATTGGCTGTGCGACGTCTCTGACTAGCACACGCTCCAAGCGGCGGTACATGACTCGTAGTGGTTGAATAATCGCTTCAGAATGTGAAATAAGTGCGCCTTTGTTTTGTCCAGTGTCCTAATGAGGACGTCGTCGTTGACAGCTTTGCTTGTCCCATACGGTGTCGCCATCTCGCACCGTCTCCAAGGACCGCCTCCACCCAGCCCCCTCCGTTGCGCCTCTCGGATCCGCCTCTTGGATAGCTGGAACAGCCCACAGGGGATGCCAAGATTCACACGAGTCGGACGTGGACGCCATAGGAGGCGGTCTGAATGAGGACTGGAATCAAAAAAAGCGGACGTGCATTGCAGTTCAGACTCTAATGTGATCCTTGGGTGCCGTCATCCTTGCCATTTACTTGTTTTGGTTATTTGTCTTGCAGCTCGGCGGGAGTAGGAAGTCGCTCGGGAACCAGACAGCCGACAAACCTTGTAGGACCATCCTAGACACCAAGAAGAGCTCATTTCGGGGGAGAATCCAGTACTGTACTCCGAAAGGTCACTCGCTGGGCTAGGACACTCTGAGGGACCGGGGAGATCTCAGGAGCGCGTCCATGGGGGAATGCAGAACGAGAAAATGCTCACCTTATTATAGGAAAAACATAGGCGCTTCACTGTCATTGCTGGTTGCGGTCGACGGGCATCGCTGGTTGTCTACTCTCTTGGGCCGCAGCGTCTGACTGACAGCTGGCATTTTGTGTTTCATACAGCACACTAGCGTGCTAATAACGCTTATTTGACCTAAAGGTGCCTTGGAGGAACATTTTACGACGCTAGCCGTTTGCCAACCAGTGGAAGAGGATCAACGTTTGACAAAGCTGCTCTCGCCAGGCTCCATAGGTGAGGACAAAGACTCTTATACCATGGGTTTAAAGCATTAAAGGCATTGAGTGCACCTCAATATCCAGCCTCCAAGCAGCGTGCTTGCCTTGAGGCTCAAGAAGCCAAGTGAATCGCAATATCCAGCCTGTGATCCCAATATACTATCGACCTCAGCATCGTGCCGATCTTCCCAACGCACTCGCAAACCTACAAATAGATGCCCCACCAAGCTAACCGGTGCTACTCCCACCAGACGCCTCCTTTGTTCTGGTCCCGCCCACTCAAAACACATTGTCATTAATAGACGCCGATTAGCACAGAACTTCACCGGAATCAGTTCGAACAACTGCGAATGCCGAGGGCGACGAGACGTAGCGGTTGTACTTTGGGTCACGCTCGGTTCTAAACCACCTTCTGTCCTCCCTGGCTACGTATGTTCGTTCCTTCACCTCCCAAGCTTGCTCACCTTACGCGACGCTGATATACCGCAGAACGAATAGTTACTTCTCTCCCATCCTAGCGCGGCAGGTGCCGCTAAGAGGATCGGCCCCAACCACATAGAGCGCTCAAGCGCTTTCGTGGTCACTATGACCGCGAGTATCGAAGCAACCGTTGGCGAACGCGGGCAATATGTCGACAGCGAAGATTGTCAGTCGAATCCCTTGACCTATCTACTCTTCTTTTTGTGGTGTATCGCGCTTATTCGACGTATGAGAAGCGAGATGCTACAATTCACAGCAACGAACACGTATCTAGCTACCCAGCCGTAGGTTCTTCTCTCGGATCTCCCCCAAATTCGCCGAGTTGCTCAGGTCTCTTCATTTCAACGTACATCTAGAGACAGAAATCGATGATAGATGGTGCAGCTCATCACATATCCTACCATGGGTGAGCTTTCATGAGCGCCCCCTTCTAGGAGAGAATTAGTAGGCGGTATCCTGTCAAGCAGAGACATACAGAGCTCGTTTTGGTAGTGATATAGTGACCCGATGCCAAATAGATTTGATTGCTCGAGAACAAGACTGGAGGCAGGAGTAATCGGTATGAAAGTTTGGATTCTCCTTCGCCCGTAAGATGGCCATATTGGAATGATATCTCGTCCCCTTCTCCATGCACTTCCTTTGAATAAGATAGTCTTGCTTTCTACCCTCTCTGTACACCAAAGGCCGACGATTAAAGTCCAAAATGACAAGTTGACATGCATTCCATACTCAAATAACCGGCCTTGCGTCTGATCAAGTCGATGTCTTCCATCCAAGACTGTCGAGAGATGACACGAGGAAAGCCAGAAGAGAGCCAACAGTCGTAATTAGGCCGGCGCTCGGTAGAGGCCTTGGTCATACAGCGGGAATATTGCATCTTTTAACTAGTCCTCTTGAGAGTGTCCCTTTTCGGCAAGGTGTCTCAACTCGTCTGCCTCGAATTGTTTGCAAAGATGACGCGTTGGGACGAAGTAAATAAGCGGGGTGTTGAATGACTCGATGCAAATGATCGAGTCTGCTTCTTCATCCCAATACATGGGCCCTGAGGCAAATCACATGGTAAATTGGGAGTGTCGATCTCACGGCGTGTAGCCGTGAACATGATTCGGGGTGGATTTGGATGTTCTCAAGTCTCCTTGAGCCTTTCGAGTAGATGTCGCTGAAAGAAAGAGGAGAGCGTCGCTTGGTCCGTGAACTTTTGTAAATGGACCTAGCTAAGATTGGTGGATATCTCTTGGGTGGCATAGAGTAGTAGGTTCGATGAGATGAAACTAGCTCCTCCAACCCAGTTCACTTTCTAGAAAATAGTTAGATGATAAATTGGGGTCAGACTACGACTCAACCTCGCGTAGGGTGCCTGTTTTCCAGTTCCATATTAAGAGGTCGCCCCGGTTATCCTCAAACCAGTGAATAGAAACGACAACATCACCCAGAGAGTCAGGTTGTGGCCATCAGATCTCTCAAGAAAGTCGGCCACAAGCACTGGTTTGGTGGCGTCAGGATGGTCGGAAAAGACTCATACATAACGCCTTTATAGCGTATATATAGTGAGTTTGGGCTTTGATGCAAGATATCAGCGACGGAAATGGGATGAGAAGGTTGGACAAGTGAGTCCCTGCCTTTGCCACAACTGTGCAGACGGCAGAAGCATGGGTGAGGGTCATAGGTAATGCCGTGGAGCGATATGAGTCCCTTTCAGGCGCACTTCCGCAAAGAATATATAAATAGATGACGGCGGCATTAACCTGTAACGTTCTACCCATGGGAAAATGGAACAAGCCGGATTCGCACCGGCTAAGCGTTAGACCATTAGAATACAGTGTCCTCTTTTCCCTCTAATGCGTTACACCTCCTGTGTACCCCCGTTACTCAAGCAATCTATGCTGATCGGCTGGGTTCTGACCTGTAACGTCAACCAATCCTTACACATGGTATATTCATACGGTATTCAAGGGATAGCTATCCTGTGTTACAAATTGCGTGCCGACTGCTCAAGTAGGATCCTGGACTGTATGCTTCTTCAACCTGTGGTTCCAACCAGCGACGCGTCGCAAATCTGCTCTTCACAATAAAGCACAAGTATACAATCAACAGCCACTTTTGTCGGCCTTGGTCAAAAAAAGATTCTACATGGCAAATTCGAAAGCCTCTAGAAATCATCCATAATCGCATTCAGTTCCGAGAGCATTGAGTCAACTGCAGGGTACTCGGGATTGGCAGGAAACAATGCGAGGTGCGGTGCACGGGCATCATCGTCATCGCCACCTTGCAAATGGTCAACCCCAAGATCCGAGAATCGGATAATGATATCTCTGAACGAATCCTCCCGATAGTCGTATGTTCTCGAGGCATGCTGCGACGCTCTGGCTTCAAATTGCCGACATATTGCGTGCGTCCGGATCAAAAAGAAGGCGAAGGGGCCAGGAACGTCGACTCGTATCGTCCAGTTGGCTTCTTCATCTGTAATATAGGGACTGATTGGCAGATCATGTGGCAAATTGGGAGAGTCGACTTCAAGGCGAGGTACTTTGGGCACAACCCGGGATGAAAAGGAAATGAATGAATGGGCCATGCGATTTGGCTCGAGTAGTATCCGCTGAGCCAGCGGGGAGAGCGTCGACTGATCCGTGATTTGAAGATAGACATCTGCCGAGTTTGGCTCTTCTATCAAACAGAGTAGTATATTGGGCGAGACAAACGCGGCTGCCCAGATGTGTTTCATCTCCTTCGAATGATTAGACAGAGTCATGTCACTGCTAGCTTGCCTCGAGAAGATTGCCAGATTTCCAGTTCCAGATTGAAAGAGTCCCCGGTGAATATAGAGGGTCACGAGAGATGATAATGTCTCCTGAGACGGCCAGCTCGCCAATATGCAGTGATTCGGGAGCGTCCACGTATAACCATGGGTTGCTCGCTTGAGGATGAGGCTGTACAGTAGAAAGAGATGCAATATATATCCTATTTGGACGATCGTATCCAATACATGTTATCAACCAGATCGCTCACCTAACCCTGTCACGAGGAACAAAACCACCACCTGAGGGTGGACCGCGAACGACGAGCAAGTCTTGAGAAAGATCCCATGTCAGAGTGTCAGCAGATATCTCAAAAGGTGCAATATATTCCCTCCATGGCGGTGATTGAGGAGATTGCCAGATACTGAGAAAGACAAACTTGTCAGTATCTTGATGAAAGGATATATGCTTAAACGCGAAAAGACCCGAGAAGAACCAAGCCTCTGCCCCAAGTCCCTGGCAGTTTGTAATCGGCTGCGTGCTGTTCGAAGACCATGCATTCCGAGCACTTCTGAACAATTCCAGCCTTTCCAGTGGCGTCCTTGATTGAAAGGAAAGGCCTCGAGTTTGTGGATTGCACTCAATTTGATATATCGAATGACTCTCTGATCTACTATTCAACAGTCCAACAAGCGGTCTAAATACATTATTCATAACAAAAGAGAAGTATACACAGGGGTAGGGCCCGGTCAAAAGTCTCTACACGGCAATGTCAGAGGTCTCAAACTTCTTCAGATTCATCCAAGAATGTATCCACCTATGGTATCAGCGGGTCAGCCGAAAGATGCCTAGGATTGCCAGCCAATAATGCGAGATAAGCAACGCGAGCTTTGAGAATGTCGCCTTGCCATTGATCGAAACCGTGATTGGAGAACCTGAATTTGAAGCCTCTGAAGAATTCATCTCGGTAATCGTACATCCGCGAGGCCCGCTGCAACGCATTGGCGTCAAATTACCGACGCAGTGCCCTCGTTCGAATCATATAGAGGTCTGAAGAGCCACGAAATTCTATTATTATCGTCAAATGGCTTCTTCGTCTGGAATATAGGGACTGATTGGGGGATCATGTGGTAAATTGGGAGAGTCGACTTCGAGGCGGGGTACTTTGAGCCTAATTTCAGATGAACAGAGCATATGTGCAGGGGTGATATGGTTTGGCTCAAGTCATATCTGTTGAACAAGTGAGGAGAGCGTCGACTGATCCGTGATTTCCCTCAGGTGAAGATGGAGGTCTGCCGAGTTTGGCTCCTCTGTGAGATAGAAAAGTATACTGGGCGAGATAGTCGTGACTGCCCGGATGTGCTTCATCTCCTATGGAGCGAATGATCAGACAGCATCTTGTCATTGGCTCGCTAGCTTACCTCGAGGAGAATATCAGACTTCCAGTTCCAGATGTAAAGAGTCCCGGTACGTAGTATGAGCACGAGATATGAGAGTGTCTCCTGACACGGCAACCTCTCCATTATGCGATGATTTGGGAGCGTCCAGATATAACTATGGGTTGCTCGCTTGAGGATGAGGCTGCCCAGTGGAGAGAGAGGCAAGATGTGTCCTAATTGAGTGTTATAGCCCCCGAAATCTTATCATCCCGATGGCGGACTTACTTCACCCTGCCACCATGAAAAATATAGTGGCTCGGAGCTGTGCCTCGAACGACAGGCACGTCTTGAGAAAAAAACCATGTGATATTATCAGCGAATATCCCAGGGAGTCTGGTATATTCTCTCCATGGTGGTCATTCGGAAGCGTGCCAGATGCTGCGAAAAACAAACTTGTCGGTATATCCATGGTGGGGGTGGGAGGATAAATAGAGATGCGCGACGAGGCCTGAGAAGAACTACGTCTCTCCACCAAATCCCTGGAGGTCTGTGATCGACTCGACGCTGCTCGGAGACCTATTCCAACCTTTCAAAGGGAGGCCTTGATTGAAATGGAAATGATTCAAGAGCCGGAGAGTCTGTACGGAGTTGAAGGCGTATGGCAGGGAGCCTGATGATGCGTTGCAAGTGAGGATCCCATTCGACGATGGATTTGAGTCGACGACATGTCTAGGCACGGGGTCGATATAACTCTTCATGGTCGATAGAAGAGAATAAATACCAATGAGCACGCTATAATGTCCATCGCTCGGGCCCATTGCAGAATCAGGGAGGTAAGCTCTGCAGGGAGGGTTGCCAGGTTCGACCGTGGATTCTCTTCTCTTTCCTCCATCAAAATAGAAATGCTAAATGGCGAAAAGGCCCAAAGTATTGCACCGCCAACCGTGGCTGATGCGGTTCAGGACTAAAGAAGACGAGCGAACGCATATATACGAAAGTCCGCATGTACTTGAATTAACGCGCGATAATTATCTCTGAATTCATCGTCAGAATAGCTTCCAGCATCCTTCTATGACCAATTCCGAGACAGTGTGGCATGTTGAAAGTCTCGTGGAGCATTAAGCACCATCAAAGCGTGTCTATATGATTCCTTATGGATATAAATTTGATAGGTGTGATCGATTTCCTTCTTTATGTGCCGGCTTGCCTTGTTCAGGCCGCTCGCAGACGTTGGTCGGCGCTAGGATGACCATTTACAAGGTACAAGAGGAAGTGTCTCCTACTTGATGTGTTAGTGCAGTCCATATGAATATTGACCGTGGCTGAATCAGCCAGTCGATGGCGTCGTCGAAAGTATCGAGGCTGGGTCGAAATACAACTTTGATCTCCACGACACTTGACCGACTTGACAGACAAACGGGCCAATGAATTTGTCAATCCATTGTTATGCAGTTGATTCACAATGTCTATATCTGGAGTCCCTCACGTCTGAACCACGTTTGGCTTTGTTCAGAGATGCACAAAGGCCATGATCGTCATCGGAATGGTCAATACCTGACTCCTACATCTATTCGACGCCTATTTCTGAATGCCCGTATCTCGTTGTTTATCTCACGGTCGTCCCCACGTCGCCTCCAAAGATCATGTTCGACGAGCTAGATATCCCAAAATCCGAGTAATATAAAGCGGTACACTCGTTTTCCTACATTTCGAGCTGGCGACTGACTCAGGAGTGCGGCCTAGTGTTCTCGAACGGCCAATTATTCAAGAGCGAACGTTGGGAGAATGACAGATAGGCAAGTAGCTGTGATGTAACACGGACCCAGCAGTTCTAGCCCAACGGGGCGGTTGCGTGCGTCTCAACCGTACTCTCATCGTCGTCTTTCCATCAAGTCATCTTGCTCTCCCCCTGACTGTAACGAATTCCTAACAGGTCATGGTAAATACATCTTACTTTTTGAAACCTACCCAGTCCTGCCAGGAGAAAGGGAGTGTCGTTGGTAGGGCCTCGCGTTCTTCACCCTTGAACCGCGCGTGGCATATTTGGGTCGAGATGCAGGCTCCGACTAGGTCCCTACCAGAAGATGGTCATGGTAAGCGACCAGAGCCAGTATCCACTGATGGGCACTCTCAAGTTCGCGTCATGTACGACACAGTTCCTCGTCTCGGGTCATCAATGTGATACTCCTCGCACCGAGAGTGTCTAAGCAGCTACATATCTGATGGTGCGCTTCCTCGTATGCAGACTGATGGCTGAGAGTAGGGGAAGTGGCAACGAATGAAAGTTTATTGTACGCCTATTCGACGATTTTCATCAGGTTTTCTGATTTTGACTGGCCTAACAGCAACGAACATCCATCGCTCCAGTCTCTGCACCAACCTGGTCCTGACCTTTACCGGCATAACCCAAGTCGGACCTCACTCGTGCGATATACAACATCTGTCACGTTTATACGACACTTTGATATAACCGGTACCCTGTACTAGGACTGCTCACGAACGATCAGCCGAGGAACAACCTTTGCAAGTGAACATACCGACACACCACCACGATCAATGTCCAGATCAAAGATTGAAGATCTAGGATTCCTGGAATTGGTACCAGGTATCGATCCCATCGTCGAGTAAGCGGTTGCCATTCTCCATCTCTTTGGCGCTAACCTCGCCGGGGTGCAGCATCGTCGCCATCCACGGCTTGAACGGTCACAGAGAAGAAACCTGGACGACAGATGGTGGAATCCTTTGGCTGCGTGACCTCTTGCCATCGGCTTTGCCCAACGCTCGCGTCCTTACGTATGGATATGATGCCGATACTCGTAGCCGAGAATGCGTATCGACGCAGACGATTCGCCAGCACGCGGATGGGTTCGCCAAGGCTTTAGCACGGAAGCGGACAGCAGACCCTCGAGTGGGTGAATTATTCTCGGCTTAGTCGTGTCACCTGAACCATTATTAGCGTCCCATCATCTTCGTCGCACACAATTTGGGGGGCATAATTGTCAAATGGGTTCGTTGTCTGCATTCCGATAGAATCTAATTCTAATAACCGCGTAGGCACTCGTCATCTGCCATAATCAGAACCTGGCGTCAAAAGGTGACCTCCGAGACATCTTAGTATCGACTCATGGCGTCCTATTCTTTGGTACCCCGCATTCCGGCATGGAAAGCACACTCCTTGAAACCATCAACCGCTTGGCGTCTATGTACATGAAAACGACAGACGGCATCCTCAAGGATCTTCGGGAACATTCTTCGGAGCTAGCAACTGTACAGAGTCTTTACGTCGAAGCGAGTGAAAAGATAGCTAGCGTATTCTTCTGCGAGGAGTACAAAACTCCCGTAGATAGAAAGAGACAGAGACTGGTGAGTAAAAGGTGGTCGTGTGGTGAACTCGTAATAAACATTCCTTAGAATGTTCCTCATCATTCGGCGATCATCCCCGGTGACCGCAATGCGCCGGCGGTGACACTCCACAGTGATCATGGAAATCTAGTCAGATTCCCGACGGTAGACAACGACAACTATCAAACAGTACTTCATTACCTCAGCGAGTATTTCGTCAGCGCTCGCCAGACAGTGCACGAAAAGTGGCTTACAGAGGATGGGTTGCGCCGTTCGTAACACATTTCACCAATCTGCTATGCTAACATGTAATCAGTCGTCGCGAAAGGAAAATCCATCTTGCCCAACACTGTGGACCCGCCTGGTAAGTTCGGTTGTGCACGCGCGCAAATCCGCTAAGAATTTCAAGTGGACATGTCTGTCTTATTCCAGCTACCAATGGTCGCATTTGCTCCATCTTCTGTGCACAATCCGTGCCTCAAAGGAACTCGTGCAGCTGTCCTCGACACAATCTCCAAGTGGGCTAATGACGATTCCACCGAGAAGCCAATCTTTTGGCTCTGCGATATAGCCGGCTCTGGCAAATCGACCGTCGCTATGTCTACAGTGGAGACGTGGAAAAGGGAGGGAGTCCTAGGTGGTACATTCTTTTTCTCAATAGCAAGTAATGAGGGTTCAACTACCGAGAGGTTCTGTCCCACTCTCGCCAGGGAACTCGCCCAGCATATCCCGAAACTTAGGCCCCATATCGCCGAGGCCGTGAAGCAGAACCCTGCTCTCTTACGAAGTTCCTTCGATGAGCAGTTCCGGATACTCATCACCGACTCACTTCGACATCGACAAGATCGAGTGATTCTCGTCGTTGACGCCATCGACGAATGCAAGTCTGGACAACAAAGAAGAGAACTTGTAGAGACCCTGGCTACTGCTGTGCAGGAGAGCAATGGTCTCCGGATATTCATCACGAGCCGACCGGACCCTATCATCGAAAGGGTCTTAGAACCTCTTTCGATCAAAGCCAAGTTGACAGATCGCCTTCACGATCCTATATATCACGATAACATCGACGACATTGCGGTCTATGTACACCAGTCGCTAGAAGCGGTTCTGCCTTACGACAAGAGGCAGCGACTGGTCGAAAAAGCCAAAGGCTTGTTCATTTGGGCAAGTACGGCTTGTCGAATGCTTGCCGAGGAGACCGCCGTGATTGCTCCTGACGCTACATATGATCAGTTGATATCCATGGATCAGCGCGGGACTATAGACGACGTCTATGAACTCGTCTTCGATCGCATTGATGAAAAATCTAAAGCTGTCATCCATGAAATGCTCGCTATGCTGCTCGCCGCGTTCGAGCCGCTCACTACCGATTATTTGGAGGACATGATGAGGCACGCCAACGTGCGCGGAAGCGCCACGGCGCTAGTACGAAATCTCGGAAGCATACTCAAGGAGGATACAATCACACACTTGATTCAGTTTCGCCATCCCACCGTCGTCGAGTACCTTCGACGTTGCTGCATTGGCCCAACTGCCGACATGCGCAATAGGATCCATATCAACATATCCCGGGCACATGGCCAAGCTGCATCATGGTGTCTCCATCGTCTTAAATCGCGCAGGGAAGGCCTCAAGTTCAACATATGCCAAATCGACTCTTCTTTCTACCTAAATAGGCAGATTCCAGACCTCGAAGACCGGGTGGCGAGATTCGTTTCACAGATGCTTCGCTATGCCAGTTTGCACTGGCCGTTCCATGTATCGGCGATGGATGATGAGTCGGCAGACAAGCTGCGGAATGAGCTAGCACATATAGTCAAAAGTCCTTTTGCACTCTACTGGATGGAGGTACTGAGTGTGACAAGAGGAGTAATGCGAGCAGTATCTGGACTTCGAGCTGCTGCACAACGTCTGAGCGTGAGTGATTTATCTAAGATATTCCTTTGATTAAAGCAATACTAGATTGAAAAGGAGATCAGGATTCGGATGAATGACATGAAACGATTCTTAATGGCATTTTCCGTGCCTATACAAGACAGCGCTCCCCATATATACATCTCATCACTCCCATTCAGTCCAAAGGGGTCAACATTACATGTTGAGGGCCTAAGGGAGCACATGAATACATTGAGAGTGACCAGGGGTCTTGAAGAGACATATCCTGGGCTCCCCAGAATACTCCAAGGTCATCAAGACTGGGTCAGCGCTGTCGCATTCTCGCCAGATGGCTCGCGAATTGTCTCTGGCTCAGCTGACAAGACAATTCGACTGTGGGATGCAGAGACTGGCCAGCCGTTGGGAGAGCCACTCCGAGGTCATCAAGACTGGGTCACCGCTGTCGCATTCTCGCCAGATGGCTCGCGAATTGTCTCTGGCTCAGGTGACAAGACAATTCGACTGTGGGATGCAGAGACTGGCCAGCCGTTGGGAGAGCCACTCCGAGGTCATCAAGACTGGGTCACCGCTGTCGCATTCTCGCCAGATGGCTCGCGAATTGTCTCTGGCTCAGGTGACAAGACAATTCGACTGTGGGATGCAGAGACTGGCCAGCCGTTGGGAGAGCCACTCCGAGGTCATCAAGACTCGGTCACCGCTGTCGCATTCTCGCCAGATGGCTCGCGAATTGTCTCTGGCTCAGGTGACAAGACAATTCGACTGTGGGATGCAGAGACTGGCCAGCCGTTGGGAGAGCCACTCCGAGGTCATCAACACTGGGTCACCGCTGTCGCATTCTCGCCAGATGGCTCGCGAATTGTCTCTGGCTCAGATGACAAGACAATTCGACTGTGGGATGCAGAGACTGGCCAGCCGTTGGGAGAGCCACTCCGAGGTCATCAACACTCGGTCACCGCTGTCGCATTCTCGCCAGATGGCTCGCGAATTGTCTCTGGCTCAGATGACAAGACAATTCGACTGTGGGATGCAGAGACTGGCCAGCCGTTGGGAGAGCCACTCCGAGGTCATCAAGACTCGGTCACCGCTGTCGCATTCTCGCCAGATGGCTCGCGAATTGTCTCTGGCTCAGATGACAAGACAATTCGACTGTGGGATGCAGAGACTGGCCAGCCGTTGGGAGAGCCACTCCGAGGTCATCAAGACTCGGTCACCGCTGTCGCATTCTCGCCAGATGGCTCGCGAATTGTCTCTGGCTCATATGACCAGACAATTCGACTGTGGGATGCAGAGACTGGCCAGCCGTTGGGAGAGCCACTCCGAGGTCATCAAGACTGGGTCACCGCTGTCGCATTCTCGCCAGATGGCTCGCGAATTGTCTCTGGCTCAGGTGACGGACAATTCGACTGTGGGATGCAGAGACTGGCCAGCCGTTGGGAGAGCCACTCCGAGGTCATCAACTCTGGGTCACCGCTGTCGCATTCTCGCCAGATGGCTCGCGAATTGTCTCTGGCTCAGATGACTGGACAATTCGACTGTGGGATGCAGAGACTGGCCAGCCGTTGGGAGAGCCACTCCTAGGTAATCCAGCCCAGATCAGCACTGCTAGGTTCTCGCCAGATCGTACGCGAGTTGTCTCTGGTTCAAATGACAACACAATCCAAATCCGGAGGGTGCACAATTGTGAGTATATTTCTTTGCCTTGTAGAGTCACAAGGTGACAGCCACTGATTGTATATTAAACACAGCTAATCTCGACGCTACAAATGCTCACTCTGCCTCTTTGGGCCATGGCAATTCTACTGTATTCAAATCCACAATCCTTGTACCTGGGGTCGGTGAATGTTCCCTGCTGCCCGACGGCTGGGTACAGTCTTCTGGTCGATTCATTTTCTGGGTGCCCCCTCCCAATCGTCATGGAATCCAGAATCCAGATCTCCTTCTGACTATGCCAACATGGAGTCACCTGCGTGCGACTCACCTTGATTTCACCAATTTTCAATGTGGGACATCTTGGACCAAAGTACGAACAAATTTGTAGTAATGCGTAAATGTATCATTCTAGGATATGAGACAAGCACTACCGTTCACCAGGACTGTAAACTCTGATCGAGCTGCCTGAGGATACCACGAGAATACGCACGTATACCTGTCCCGCGTATATGGGTCTTCAGAGTAAACCTAAACCATGAGCGAGTACTCGCCATGTTCGCCCCTCCTCCATCTAGTTTCCCATAGATGGGCCACCCGTACTCTTTACCCTTGTCACGCCTCTCATCTCCAACATGTCAAATTCTTGTTCGTTGATAGTAAAATGCCTGTTCATGTGCTTCCAAGTCTGGACTTGGTTCGCTCCTGGTCTCAACTTCATCTTTTGAGATATATTGGGAACGGGAATGGTAAAGGCTACATGGTATTCGCCTTTTCCGCGTCTATTCCCAACAACAACCTAGTCCCGAGCCAAGGACTAGATCCAAACGACGTAGGCGAGTCATTCTTTTGCCCAAGGAGACGATTCGAGAATTGCCTGGGACTGATTGGTGAGCACGCTATAACGTCCTTTGCTTGAAGGTGTTGTAGAATCAGGAGGACGAGTTCTGGTGGAAGAGTGCAGAATTTGTCGGACATTATTATGTGATGTCTATTGAGATGAACAGTGGCTATGAACTATAAATGGGTGATTCTGATTTCCATTAAAAGATGTGTGGCTGAACAATGGCGGCAGACGCACTTTGACTCTGACCGCATATAACCGTCGAATGGCTGTCTGTCCATAACACGCGCCATTGCAACTCTCTTGTCCCTCGAATTCTCTCCTCGAGCCCTTGTCACCCACGCCCTGCTCGATTCCAGTCCAACATTCCCCACAACCCCGTCGAGCAAAGCGTGCGTCGTCGAGTGAGAATGCAAGATCCATCAACGAGTAATGTCAATGTGCTGAATAAGACCAACATAAATGATAGCCAATCCTCTGCAACGTCGTCCTTGATGCAGGTTGCAAACGAGCCCTATGCTGACAGCAGCCGCGTTCAACAACCAGAGGAGAGTAGTATACCCTCTCTCTCCACATTCTACACGTTTTCAACGCACACGCTCAACAGCGGCACGTCGTTTGGATCGCTGGATGACTGGACAGACGACAAACTCCAGCAAGCCTCCATCTCAGAGTCGTGTATGTACCTCTGTTGGCGTATTCTCCTCCTTTTGTGCTCATCTTTCGCCTTGAAATCGTCAGCCACAACCCCTGCGCCTACTTCTAGCGCCACATACCGAATTCCCAGTGCCCTCCATCGTCTCTCCACGCCCATCCTCTGCCAAATCTTTGCCATTGCCGCCACCATTTGCTACGACACCCGCCTCCACATCCCACTCGTTTGTCAAAGGTTTCGTCACATTGCCATGCACAATTGTCCACAAATGTGGGACACGTTCGAGTTGCTCACAGGCAACTTGGGTGCACTCTCCTCCCGCCGACAAGTCGAATACATTCTCTCCAAATCCAAAGACGTCGACCTCTACATCGGTGTGGGAATCGCAAGCTCTCGACTGGGATCCTGGGATCCCTCCGAGTCGAATATGGATGAAGACGAGGATCCAGAGTGGCCATCGACACTCCACAGAAACGCTACGCGCTTGGTCGACCTCGTTGCATCGTTTATGCCCCGCGTCGTCAGTCTCGTCCTAGACGTACATGACACCCCACTCGAGCCAGACCTCGAACGAGCACTCCAGTCCGTTTTTGATGATCAACACGCCACAAGGTTACGACGACTGACCATGATGGGCACATACCAACTCGACCGTGTCGTACGCAGCAACCCCATCTCGCCCTCTTTATCCCATCTCCGTCACCTCTGCATTGTCTATGCGTCCAATTTTCGTATCATAGTGCCCATGCCGCAAATCACGATGCTGGTGGTATCCATGCTCCCCGAAGAATCAGCTCCAAACGCGAGCTCACTCGAGACGACGCTTTCCAACTTCCCAAACCTCGCGCGTCTCGAGATTCTCGGCACAGCACCAACACACTACCCAAACGATGCGCACGCTCGAATAGGAGGACGAGGCGACGTGAGGTTGACGCTCCCCCATGTCCGCCACTTGGTCCTCGAGCGATTATCCCTCACGAGCGCATTCTTATCCACCTTGTTCGTCCCGAGTATCGAAACCTTGGAGATGCGCGAATTCGAACTCGGGTTTGATCCACGCGATGTACGGTACGATACAGCCTTGTTGGTCCGTCGTCGGGATGGTGAAGGAACAAGTGGTGGTCGTCAACTTGCGCCACTCCCCTTTGGCCGGTTCCTATTGAACAATTCCAAATCGGGCACCCTCCGTTCGCTCGCGTTGGAGAGGTTACCTGATATGGTCGTGCGGATGTGCGTCGAGTTTGTGCGCATCGTGGGTAACCCAACTTCTCTTGACGAAGCTCGTGGGCTGGAAAGACTCGTGATTGCAGATTCGAAATGGCCCGACTGGGAGCCGCTCTTTACGCCTAAACACACCACGGCGGTCCCACTCCCATTTCTCAAAACGCTCGAGGTGCAGATTGAGCATTATCCTGGTGTGAGGAGTGTAGGTGGTGTGAATACCCGACCAGAGGTATCGCTCGAGCGACAAGAGTGGATGGATGGGTTGACGCGATTGGCAGAGTGGAGGATGAGTCGACGTGCGGTGATGGAGATGCTTCAAGAGTGGAACACGACTGTACCCGCGTGGCTTGTCCAATCTCAACCAGCCGACACTGTCAATGAGACGGTCAATACAGATGACGATGGGGATAAAGGGGGAGTGGATCCACGGACGGTGGATGGGATTTCGCTTGCGACTGGGTATGTCGATACGTATCCGTTTTTGCATGCCGCGTGGTTGGCATTGCAGCGCGAACAACGTGATGGGCTCATCGAGGAGACGCCTCGCTCAGCGTGAACTTGCGCCCCGTTTCTACTTACTATTGTCTAATACGTTTCTCTCCTTTCGGGTGACTAATGATTTCTGTCTTGTCGAGGTAGAGTCCAACCTTGTCATTGTCCTCTTTACACCATTGTTCTAATCTCGCGTTGTCGCCTACTGTGTAGCTAGCTAAAATGAAACCAGAATTCCGATTAAAGTGGTACAATTCTCAGATATCGGAGCTTGCTAGTGGGAAATCTACTTATCAAACCCTTTCTCCAGTCCGCTTCGTCTACGTCGGTCTTGCCTGAGGATAACAGGACAACCCCTTCGAGCTCCTTGTATCGAATTCCTCTTGGTTGGTCTATTTGATCGAGGCCAGAATCTGCTAGCAAGTCGAATAAGACGACATCCAACCCTTCCAGAGCAGAAACGTTAAACGGGATGATCATATCTCTAGTAGTAGGAAAATGAGGTAACAGTGCACCCAGTTCTTCTAGGTCCAGTGGAATCTCAATCTGCAAATCAGTGACGCGCGGATAAGTGAGAAGGTTGAGTCGAGTGATAGGAGGCGCATCGGGGCGGGAAAGCGATTCGGACAGCGTCGAGCGGGTGAGCTTGAAGAAAGTGATATTAGGCGCGGCGAGCCACGTGAGGGGTCGGAGATCATTTCGTGCGCATTCGAGGACTAAAAACGTCAACGCTGGGAATTCGACTATGGTGTCGACGTGCCGGGAGAGGCTAAAGTGGATTTCGAGGTGCGTTACGCGCGGTATGTCCGAGGGGTTGAGGCGGATGGAGCATACTTTGACGGACAGTTCTTTCAGGTGGGGAAAGGGGCAGTGATTGAGCAGTGTTTCGCATTGGAGGGCAGTCACGTTTGGTTGGAGACCAGTGGAAAATGTGGAGGATCCCTTTAGATTGAGATTCTTGACTGCGCCCATGACTCGCGGTAGAGCTCTCGATAGTTCTTCGTATGGGAGAGAGTCCTGGGCGATGATAACCTCTTTGAGATTTCCAAGATTCCGCGTCTTTTCTAGATGATGGAAGAAGAAGTGAGGATGCGTACCCGCAATCCCCAGCGCCTTCAAGTTTGTAAATTCTCCCAGTCTGCCCTCTGCGAGCATTGGGCTCGGAAAGACTCCCTGCGCTTTCACCGTAAGCGCCTCCCAACGGTCGAATGGCGCTTCGTTCTCAATAAAGAGCCAGAGTAATCGCGATATATGATGCTCAGTAGCGATGGTCACCCAAAAGATGGTCAATGGCAGGACGGGACCACAGCGTTGGAGTTGCAAACGTAGTTTCTGAATAATAGATTCGAAATTGAAACGCGGGTGCTGGATATAGATGACGTGGAGGGTTGTCCAGAATAACGGAGTTGAGATAACGATATTCCGTGTGCGCGAATCGATGGATCCAAGTTTCCAAGCATTGCAGATCTTCTCTTGCTGACATGTGAGGAGAATCAGACGCAGAAGCTCAGTCGGAAGGCGGTGGATTGGAGCCGCGAAAGGGCCATTAGGACATGAGAGATCCATTACGATTACTGGAACAATGTAAGAGGTCACATATGCTCATAATTTAACCACATTCTCACCCTCTGTCGTGGCCAAGAGCAAGTCGGCGCCAAACAATTCACTGACTGTTTCACCTGATAGTCATTGAGAAGTACAGAACAAACTCATTTATTCCCATCGAGACAATCTAATTGTTAGATTATGAAGTTTACTATCAGGAAACCTATGGCGCAGCCTGTCCTTCCAGTCCGCTTCATGAACGTCCACCTCGCCTGAAGATATCAGCACGAGGTTCGTGAGCTCTGGGTATCTTATAGCACTTTCCTGTTTGCTTTCCACAGAGTTACACTCTGTCAACAAGTCGAGCAAGACAGTGTCCATGCTCTCACGGCCAGATGTGTTGAGAGGGATGACCATGTCGCTGGTCGCAGGAAAGCGAGGTAATAGTGCACAAAGTTCCTCCAGGTCCAATGGAATCTTAATTTGTAAATTTGCGACGCGCGGATAAGTGAGAAAGTTGAGCTGCGTGATAGGAGGCGCGCCAGGGTGGGAAAGCGAGTTGGAAAACGCCGGGAGCTTGAGCTTGAAGAAAGTGATATTAGGCGCTGCGAACCACGTGAGTGGTCGGAGATCGTTTTTTGCGCACTCGAGGACCAGGGATGTCAGCGCTGGAAACTCGAGCACGGTATCGAGGTTCCAGGAGAGGTTAAAGTAGATTTCGAGGTGCGTTACACATGGTATGTCCAAGGGATGGAGACGGATGGAGCATAATATGACGGAGAGTTCTTTGAGATGGGGAAACGGGCTTCGATTAAACAATGTGAAGCATTTGAGGACCATTATATTTGATGGCAGGCTTGTAGTAAAGTCCCCGGATGAGTTCAATGTCAGACTCTTGGTCGCGCCCATGACTCGCGGGAGAGCGCTCACGAGCTTTTCATACGGGAGAGTATCTACTCCGACGGAAACTTCTTTGAGATTTCCAAGATCCCGCGTCTTTTCGAGATGGTGGAAGAAAAAGTGAGGATGTGTACCCGCAATCGCCAACACCTTCAAGTTTGCAAATTCTCCTAGTCTGTTCTCCGTGAGCATTGAGGCTGGAAATACCCCTTGAGCTTTCACCGTGAGCGCTTCCCAACGGTCTAGTGGCGCATTCTCCTCGATGAAAAGCCAGAGCAACCGCGATATATGATGCTCAGTGGCGACGGTGACCCAGAAAACGGTCAATGGTAGGACTGGGCCACAGCGTCGGAGTTGCATGCGGAGTTTTTCTATAAGAGACTCAAAGTTGAAGCGCTGACCGTGAATGTAGCCTACATGGAGGGTTATCCAGAATAACGGAGTCGAGATAACGATATTCCGTGTGCGTGAATCGATGGATCCAAGCTTCCAAGGATTGCGCCCTTGCTCTCTGCGGCACGAGAGTAGAATCTGACCCAACAATTCGTTTGGAAGTCGGTGGATAGGGGCAATAGTAGAAGACAAGAAGTCCATTTTCGATTGTTGGAGGAGTTTGTGAGTTCACGGGTGCTTTGCTTTTGACCAGGCGCGCACCCCGAGGTCGTGCCCAAGGCCAAGCGAGTCGGCGCCAAACAAACCCCCCTAACGCGGGCCATGAAACATCGGTTTGGAAGCATATACGCATTGCCAGGACCATGTCTAGCATCTATATAAACTCGCTGGGGGAATCCACAGACCGACTCTGAAATGGTGTCACAGTTCCAACGGATTGATTTGATGCTGAGATTTTTCAGCTTGCTATTGGAAAGGTAACTGAGTACTTGTTCTACCACCTTGTTCCAGCATTCTCTGTCGACGTCGGCTTGCCATGTTGACGATACTTGAATAGTCTCCAGCTCCTTGTATCGAATATCGCAGGAGGCGTGCTCCTCTCCTGGATGGAGATCTTTGAGCATGCCCAGTAGGATATTGTTAGATATTGCATTTATTGGAAAATCGAATGGGATGACCATGCTTGCACCCCGAGAAAGCGAGGTAGAAGAGCGCCTAACCCCGGTGCTCAGAGAGAGGTGGACGTGCAAGTTGATAACTTTTTGGTAGCTCGACAAGTGTAGCTGCGCAGGATGTGTGGGGAAGGGGTGATCGGTAAGTATTGGGATGGCCTCTCCTGAGAGCTCTCTCAGTTTGGGATACGTAAGGCTGGGTGTGACAACCCACGTCAATGGTGAGATATCATTATTTGCGCACTCGATCACCAGGGACGTCAGGCGTGGGAGCTCGAGTGGCTAACTGCCAGTGTAGGAGCCGACAACGGATATCCCGAGGTGAGTGACGAGGGGATAGCGAAGGCTCCAGCTATATTCAACAGGATTTGATTGCCAGTGATTCGGGATGAGGAAACCGATGATGATGAAACAGCTCTTCGCATTGGAGAGTGACTAAATTTTGTTCGAGGTTTGAAGGGAGCTTGTAGGTGGATCGTACATGGAGCCGCTTGATAGTAGTCATAACTCACGGTAGAGCCTTCTTGAGCTCTCCGTGTGAGAGAGACTCTAGGCCGACCTCTACCATTTTCAGCATCTCGAGATCCTGAGTGCGCTCGATATGATACAAATGAAAGTGGGGATAAGCGCAATGAGTTACAAGCATCTCCAAGCTGGTGAATTCTCCTATGACGTCCTCCTCTGGTACATGACTTGGAAAGACGCGTTGGAACGCAACCTTTAGGCGTTTCCACCGATTAACTGGGGCATTACGACGGATAAACAGTCGAAGTGGTTGTCCTATATCGTCTTTGGAGGCTTGAGTAGACCAATTGACAGACAGTGAGTAGATTGGACCGCAGCGAGAAAGCGAAAGACGTAGGATTTTCGAGCCTAGATCCGAAATCATGACCCATATTTGGACGGTAGGAAACACGGATCCAGGTCCAAACGGCCAGAGTCGAGATGGTGATACTTCGCATCCGTGAATCGATACCCGCGAGCCTCCATCGGCATTGATACACGTTGGAGATGGAGAGAGGCAGGATTGAGGACAGGAGCTCGATGGGCAGACGATGGATGGGTGCCACATAGAGGCTTTCTGGAGATGACAAGTCCTTCATGACCATTGATGGACGTAGGGTATGTGTTCAAAGGTGTCCTAAGTCGTCGCTAATTGCCATCGTGTTGTCGTGGTCGTGACCAAGTTAGGTAGCACCACACAAAGACGCTCTTCTAGGAACAGCTCGGCGTTTTTGTATGACCATTCGCAATTTCTATTACACCATCTTTGTAATTAGTCGAAGATGTAGGATACAACTGCGTTCAGTCCCACTCGATGCACCTAATGGTGAGTTCTTTTAGCTTAGTATCAGGAAATCTACCCAAGAAATTATTTGCCGCAGCATCCCACTCGTTCTTGTGGAAAGGACCTATGTCCATCGCCAATACGTCGACAGTCTCCAGCTCCTTGTGACGGATCTGGCTTGGACCAGCACGCTTATTCGGGTCGTAATCTTCGAATAAATCGAACAGCAGCGCATCGAGTCCGTCAATGACCGGTATACGGAGGGGAATAGCCATCTTCCGCGCGGCAGGGAAGTGACTTATGAGAGCCCCGAGATCTGCGAGATTGAGTGGGATATGAACTTGAATACAGGAGACATTTGGATAGGTGAGAAATTTCAGTTGGGTATTAGGGGGCGCGTCCTTGTGATAAGTCGGATCGATTGGCGCTGAGACAGGTTCAACTCTGAGGAAAGTGAGGCTCGGAGCGGAGAGCCACGTGAGCGGTCTAAGATCTCCCATTGCACACTTGAGAATGAGAATAGTCAGCGCTGGAAACTCGAAAGTCGAATTGTCCAAGAGAAGAATTTGGAAGTATATCTCAAGGTGTGTCACGAGTGGAATATGAGATGGAGTGAGTTGTCTCGTGCAAACTTCGACGGCGAGTTCCTTGAGGTTAGGGAAATGATAGACAGGCGTCAATGTTCCGCATATGAGACCAATGATGTTCGATGGGAGGCTTGAGGAGAGCGCCGAGCGGGGGTCCATGGTGAGTCTTTTGAGCGCACTCATCGTCCGCGGCAGCCATGGCTAGCTCGTCGTACGAGAGAGATGGAGGACCGAATTCCAGCTCCTCCAAGGCACCCAGATCTTGTGTCGACTCGAGATAGTGAAAGAAGAGGTTAGGTCGTATGCCTGAAATCGCGAGCTGTTCTAGGCTTGAAAATTCCCCGAGATCAGCCTCTCTCGGGATATTGAGAGGTAAAGAAGTGTGTGCGTTGAGTCTGAACTCTGTCCAGCGGTTGAATGGGGCTTTGTGCTCGATGAAGAGCCCAAGCAATACCGACATCTGATCCTCGGTAGCAATAGCCGTGGACCACAGAACAGTCAATGGTAGAATCGAGCCACATCGATGGAGCTGTACAGCGAGCATCTCAGAAAGAGACTCAAAACTGCGACCAGTGCGCGTGAATACCCAGACATTTGTCCAGAAGAGCGGAGTCGAGAGGGCAATATCTCGGGTATGCGCACTGATCCACCCAGCCTTCCAGCCAATTGTATAGTTGTCTATATAGGAGAGAAGGAGTATAGAGCGCAGCAGCTCGGTTGGCAGTCGATGAATGGGAGCAACGGACAGGGTTTCCGGAGGTAAAAGGTCCATTACGACTCTTAGAACTGCATATAAGATTAAAAGGGCCAAGATTTGAAGATGATTCTCACCGTGTATTGTGGCCGGGACCAACCGTAGTGCCAAACAAACAAACGATTTCTATTTGACTATCCTTTACAGTAGTACGATTCTCAGATGCTGGAGCTTGCTATTGGGAAACCTACGAACCAGAGCCCCTCTCCAATCCACTTGGTCTATGTTGGTCTCGCCTGAGGACAACGGCACAACCCCCTAGAGCTCCTGGTATCGAATTCCTCTTGGTTGGTCCATTTATATGGGGCTATAATCTGCTAGCAAGTCGAATAAGACAATATCCAGCCCTTCGAGAGCAGATACATTGAATGGGATGATCATATCTCTAGTCGCAGGGGAGTGAGGTAAAAGTGCACGAAGTTCCCCTGTGTCCAGTGGAATCTCAATCTGCAAATCAGCGACGCGCGGATAAGTGAGAAAGCTGAGCCGCGTGATAGGAGGCGCATCGGGGCGGGAAAACGATTCGGACAGTGTCAAGCGGGTGAGCTTGAGTATAGTGATATTGGGCGTGGAGAGCCACGTGAGCGGTTGGAGATCGTTTTTTCCGCACTCGAGGATCAGGAATGTCAGCGCTGGAAACTTGAGCACGGTGTCAACTTGCCGGGAGAGGCTAAAGTAGATTTCGAGGTGTGTTAAGCGCGGTATGTACGATGGGTTGAGGTGGACGGAGCATACTTTGACGGACAGTTCTTTGAGGTGAGGCAAGGGGCAGTGATTGAGCAGTGTTCCGCATTTGAGAGCGGTCACGTTTGGCCGGAGACCAGAAGAGAATCTCGATGGTACCTTTAGAGTGAGATTCTTGACTGCACCCATGACTCGTGGTAGAGCCCTCGTAAGCTCTTCGTGCGGGAGAGTCTCCTCAGCAATGTCAACCTCCTTGAGATCTGCAAAATCTCGTGTCTTTTCCAGATGGTGGAAGAAAAGGTGAGGATGTGTATCCGGGATCCCCAGCGCCTTCAAGCTTGTAAACTCTCCCAGTCTACCCTCCGCGAGCATTGGGCTCGGAAACACTCCCTGCGCTTTCACCGTGAGCGTCTTCCGACGGTCGAATGGCACATCGTTCTCGATAAAGAGCCAGAATAATCGCGATATATGATGCTCAGTAGCGATGGTCACCCAAAGGATGGTCAACGGCAGGACGGGACCACAGCGTTGGAGTTGCAAACGTAGTTTCTCAATAATAGCTTCGAAATTGCAGCGCGTGTGCTGGATATAGATGACGTAGAGGTTGTCCAGAATAGTAAAGTCGACATAACGATATTCCGTGTGCGCGAATCGATGGATCCAAGTTTCCAAGTACTGAAGATCTTCTCTTGCTGACATGTGAGGAGAATCAGACGCAGCAGCTCGGTTGGCAGTCGATGGGTGAGACAAATGGACGGATCTCCGGAGGTAAATTGTCCATTACGACTCGTAGGACTGGATATGAGTTTAAAAGGGGCGAGTTTTTGAGCATTATTCTCACCGTATGTCCTGGCTGTAATAACGTCGGTGCCAAACAAACAAACAATTTCTATTTGGACCATTTCCTACAACTATGAACGAGTCTATATATTTACTGGCCTCTAGTCGCAAACATCCCGACGAATTACTCACTCTGTCTCTGACTTCACAAGCAAGCAGTTCGCCACCAAGCGGGAGCTTTGTCTTCCAAAATGCCATGTGGATCACTTCACGCGTTCATATTTAACAGATCCTTGTCCTCAAGCATCTCCTTTGCCGTTGCGTTCCAGTCCCTCCTGCCCTATGCTTGCAGTAGAGCCACGGCGAACTCGTACGACATGGAGTTTTCACAAACGTACATGCCCTCTAGACTACCAACGTCTCGAGTATTCTCGATACGGTAGAAGTCAGGTCGAAAACGTGAGATCACGCTCGAAAGACGCGTCCTGTTCGATGAAGAGGCAGAGCCACCTCGACATGTGATGCTCGGTCCCAGACGTGAACCACAAAGCGATCAATAGAAGGACCGTTCCGCAGCGGTCCAGCTGGACACCTAGCATCTCAACCAGAGAATCGAAATCTCGGGCTGCTTGCACCTGGGAGTGAACCAAAAGAGTTGCCCAAAACAAAGGTGTTGAAATAACGATGTATCGTGTGCGCGAATCGATCCACCCTGCTTTCCAGGGAATTACAGACTGGTTTCTATAGGAGAGAAGGAGTATCGAGTGTAGTAGTTCTACTGGAAGTCGATGGATGGGTGCAACGAACGAATTTTCTGGAGATGAAGGGTCCATGTTCGACCTCTGGGAGTGAATATAAAGCCATGAATGACCATTATCTCTGAGGCCAGGCTCACCTTGTTTTCGTAGCCGAGGGCAATCTTTTTGCCAAACGAACAGGACGGCCTCGCAAAGGTTTACACTGCTCAGGTCGAATTGCACTGGGTAGTTTTCTCTATAGGAGAGGAGTATCGAGCGCAGCAGCTCTATCGGTAGTCGATGTATTGGGGGCACATACACGTTTTCTGCATTCATTCCGATATCTATAATACGTATAAGTGCGTTTATTATCGCATTCTCATCCGCACGCTCACAGGGTCGCCATGGGCGGGATCAAGTAAGGCGGCTACCACAACTCATAAAATTTAAACACTACCGCCCGTTAGAGATCCCTCACAGGATATGGCGCGATAATTATATCGGAGATAACATTGAGAGGGAATGTCCTATTACAAATTGTTCTGTAGACTGTCTACTATATGAAGCGATGGAAGTCATGTCCACTTGATCGGATTCACCGTGACTTTGCGGAGCTTACTATTGAGAAGTCTACTCGGAACAGTCTTCTTTGCCGCCTTCCACTCTTCCGCGTCAAAGTCTACGTCGCGGACAGACAACACCTCGACGATCTCCAGCTCCTTGTATAGAATATCCCCCGTGACGTCTCTTTCTGCTGGGTTGCAGTCTATAAGCAGATCCAACAATCCAGTGACGAGTTCAAAGGGAAACCCGACGTTGAGTGGAATGGTCATAAACCGCGCAGCGGGAAAATGAGGCAAGAGACAATGCAGTTCTGCCGAGTATAAGTGGATATAGATTTCGAGTTTTGATACGCGCGGGTAGCTGAGAAACTCGAGCTCCTCGTTTGACGGTGCGTCGCCGTGAGAGGGCGTTTTGGTCAATGTGGATGCAGCATCGATTTTGATAGACACCAAGTTAGGTGCGTCAAGCCAAGTGAGTGGTCTAAGGTCTTTCATCGCGCACCTGAGAACCAGGGAAGTCAGTGCTGGAAAGGTGACGACCAGAGGATCTGGATCGGCAAGTCGGAAATGTACGTCGAGGTGCGTGACGAGCGGAATGCTAGCCGGCTTCAGTTGTATCGAGCAAGTATTCACCGTGAGCTCCTGGAGATGAGGAAAGCGACAGTGCTTCTCCAACTTGTCGCATTTGAGGGCGAATATGTTTGGTTCTATTCCCAAAGAAAATGTAGAGCGCGTTTTGATTTCGAGTTTTTTGATGGCACTCATCACGCGCGGTAATGCCATCGAGAGCTCGTCGTATGGGACTAGCTCTGAATGGACAGTGAGCTCTTTTAGATTTTCAAGATTTTGAGTCTTCTCGAGGTGGTGAAAGAAAAAGTGGGGATATGAACCAGCAATCACCAGTCTCTCCAGCCTCGTAAACTCTCCCAGGCGTTCTTGGTTTAGCATAGCGGTCGGAAAGATCCCGTTTGCTTTGACTATCAGACGTTTCCAGCGATTGAGGGGAGCATTATTGTCGATGAACAGCTGAAGTAATCGTGCCATGTGACGCTCGGTGGTCGAGGTGAGCCAAGCCACGGAGAGTGGCACTACTGGACCGCAGCGACGAAGTTGCGTCCGCAAGAGCTCAAGAAGAGACTCAAAGTCCTGACCTTTATAGTCTCGGTAGTCCACAGAAATGGATGTCCAGAATAATGGTGTTGAAACGACGATCCTCCGGGTTCGCGAATCGATGCATGCCAGATTCCAACGACTCGAGCCGTGTTCTTTGTAGGAGTAGAGAAGGATAGAGCGCATTGTTTCCGTTGGAAGTCGGTATATGGAGGCCATATGCAAGCCACCTGGAGATGGAACGTTCATTATGATATCTAGAACGATGTATATATCTATGGTGGCAACTAATGTCGACCGTGCACTTGCTGTCTTGTCGCGTTCAACTCCAAGTCAGTGCCAAACAAACCACTGACTTCTGGCGCCGACTACGACTGCGAGTGTGACTTGGATCAACGCCTGCGCGTCTATTCGAGCTTATTCTTGAATAATCTTTTCTATTGCCAGACTCTTGTTGTGTTTATCAACCACGGCGTCTGTACCCGACCGTGACCTCGGACATCGACAACGCGTCAGCGGCACTCCGCCAGTAAAGATTCGATACGATTTGACTAGTCTCTGGAATATGGATGCCAAATTGCGTCGTTTACAAAAGGAGATTGCTGGTCCGTGTCGAAATCTGCCTGGTCAACCCATCGTGCGCTGACATCAGGCCCTCTGGCCTACATTCCTTGCAGATCTCCGAGCAGATACAGCATCCAAAATCACGATCGAACTCGTCGACGATTCTCTCTTGCATCTCCTGGGCACCTTTATCGGTCCGCCTGATACACCGTACGAGGGTGGCACGTACGAAGTAGACATCGTAATCCCACAGACATACCCATTTTCGCCTCCCAAGATGAAGTTTTTGACAAAACTCTATCATCCAAACGTGTCCTCTGCCTCCGGCGCCATCTGCCTCGATATTCTCAAAGACGCCTGGTCTCCGGTTCTCACCCTGAAGAGCACCATGATCTCGCTTCAGAGTCTCCTCTGCAGTCCCGAGCCAACAGATCCACAGGATGCAGAGGTAGCGAAGCACTACATGACAAGTCGTGAGAGCTTCAATGACACTGCGCGATATTGGGCCGAGATCTACGCTGGTGCGCCACCAACGGAGAAGAAGGCAGGAGCTTCAAATACCGAGGGCGAGGAAAAGGCGGCTACTGATGGCAAAAAGGGCAAGGCGCCGGTGAAGAAGGCTCCAGTCGTCGACGAGATTGCCGCTGCTGGTCTCAACGTTGCTCACGTACAGCAATTCGAGGCGCTGGGATTCGAGCGACGGAAAGTGGTACGTCTTTCCTTCGAGCCTTTCATGTCGCCGACTGATTCGCGAATAAAGATCGAGGTTCTGAAGAGACTAAACTATAGGGGAACGAACATTGCAAAGATAACAGACGACCAAGTAGTTGAAAAGCTCCTGTCGTAGCGGCTACGTAGCGGGTCCAGTCGAAGGGCTCGGCTGCGTGTCTTGACCTGTCACTGACGATTAGCTTGTATCGATCCATCTCTTTCCCTCGCCCTCACTGTGTTCAACTGCTAGCAAATACAGCTTATCCTCGCCGCACCCGGTCCAGTCCCACCAAGTGATAGAGAACGGTGAATAGTATCTCGCCTGCGCATCGGTTTGCCTTCTCATAGAGCATGCGAGCGAAGTGGCGAATTATATCTCTACTTTCTGTGGGTGAAAAGGCACTGGTAACTACCTTTTCTCCAATGCACCATGTACCAGCTACTGAGATGACTGATTGACTACCATCCTCTCCTTCAAGGATGACTACTGCGCCTGGGCTCTCCAACCCTGTCCGGTATCCACGGTATGGGTTAGAAAGCGGTTCCGTATCTACGTTAATGGCGTGTTCGACTACGCCTGTCCGTGCACTCTTCACCAAAGTCCCTTCGAGTAATTCTGATAAGGTCGCGATGGGAAGTGCTTTTATCGTCGGCATTTCCTTCTGTATACGCGGATAGTTCCATTGGATAATCTTCACGCGCGCCTCGTATCCAGTCGGTGCTAGTCATCCTCGAACCAAGGCGAGTTGCGTATGTGAACCCAATTCGCGAGGAAGACCATCTGAGCAGATATAGAGCACTGGAATGCGCAGGTGATCGAAGACGCATTGGCTCTTTACTTTGAGCAAACCTCGAATACTCAAGCTTATGTGAGCGAGCATCTATTCTCAGAAGAAACGAGTTGATATCTTTTCGAGTAATAAGATACCGGCCTACGTTGGCAGTATTCTTCAAACACGCCCTGGTCGACATCTTGAGCCCTGCATAACCGGGCCAGTCATGAGCCTTGAGATCCGAGCTCGTCCTGCTTCAATGATCTTAACCGGCAGGAACTGCTTATTTCATATGGCCACAGTGCGCCTAAGATGGCTCGTCCATGCTGATTGGACGATCTCTATCAGCATCATGTTCCAGTCTCCGCTCACCATTAACGAGGCCTGTTCCCGACCTTTACTTTGGCGATCAAAACCGGAGCGAAGGAGGTACAGTAAAGGATTCCCAACACTCGTGGATCCATACGGACCGCATTTTCATTGATTAAAACGCCCGACAAACCAGCAACTAAGAGCCAGCCATCGCGAGTGAAAACCAACCCATGCCAAAATCAAAGACTGAAGACCTTGGGCTGTTCGTATTATCAACCGGGATTGATCCTGTTATCGAGTAAGAAACCGCCGCTTGAGGTCCTAGAGAGCCACTGAGTTCGCTGCCCCAGTATCGTCGCCATACATGGCTTGAATGGTCACAGAGAGAAGACCTGGACAACGGAGGATGGGACTCTTTGGCTACGCGACCTCTTGCCAACGTCTTTGCCCCACGCCCGAGTCCTTACCTATGGTTATGACGCCGATACTCAGAGTTATGAATGCGTATCGACGCAAACAATGCGTAGACATGCTGAGGGACTAGCTAGAGCCCTTTCGCGGGAACGTAAAGAGGTGCCTCGAGTGAGTGGTGTCTGTTGCTTGTCGACCTGTCTGCTGATTCACCATTAGCGTCCCATCATCTTTATAGCGCATGATTTGGGAGGTATCATTCTCAAATGGGTTCGTCAGATGAGACCCGGCGCAATCTCGTGTTGACATTCGCGCAGGCACTCGTCATCTGCCATAATCAGAGCCTAACATCAAAGGGCGAACTCAGAGACGTTCTCGTATCTACCCATGCGATTCTATTTTTTGGAACTCCACATTCCGGCATGGAAGGCACCCTTCTTGGAACAATCAATCGATTGGCAGCAGCGTTCATGAAGACGACAGACATAATAATCAAGGATCTCAAGAGTCACTCTTCTGAACTCGAGAATATACAGAGCTTGTATATCGCGGCGAGTGAGACAATACAGAGCATATTCTTTTGTGAGGAATACGAGACTACGATTGATGGAAAGGGGGAAAATGTGGTCAGTAAACCGCTTCGGACTATTTACAGTACTGAATGGGACATAGAGGGTCCCCTATCACTCAGCAGTCATCGCCGGCGACCGAAATGCCATAGCGGTCGTGCTCCCTGCTGATCACCAAAATCTGGTGAGGTTCCAGACGATCGAGAGCAACGACTATAAAACGGTGCTCTATTATCTCAAGGACCATTTCGACAACGCGTTACAGTCGGTGCATGGCAAATTTATCACAGAGGACAGATTGCGAGGTTCGTATCACATTCATGTAAGACATGTTGTTGAAGTACAAACAGTCGTTGCAAAGGGAGGAACTATCCCCCAATCTGGTATGGTACCGCCTTGTGTACACTACGCCTACTAACAGCTTCAAGCCGACATGTCCTATATATTTCAGCTGCCAATGGTGGCTTTCGTCCCATCCTCTGTCCATAATACGTGTCTCGAAGGAACACGTCAGGCAGTTCTTGAGGCAATCTCCCAGTGGGCCAATGATGATACATCAGGGAAGCCAATTTTCTGGCTTTGCGACATAGCCGGCTCTGGAAAATCGACTGTCGCAATGTCCGCAGCGGAGAGGTGGAAGAAGGAAGGGATCCTGGGTGGCCAGTTCTTCTTCTCCATTGCAAGCAGTGAGGGCTCGACTACGGAGAAGTTCTGTTCCACCATTGCGAGAGAGCTAGCTCAACGCATTCCCGATGCTGCATCGCACGTAGCCGAAGCCGTGAAGCGGAATCCTGCTATCCTAGGATGCCCCTCTGATGAGCAGTTCAGAACACTCATCAGCGATTCTGTCCAGCACCGGCAAAAACCCGTCATCTTTGTTATCGACGCCCTCGACGAATGCAAATCTCAGCAACAGAGAAAAGAAATTCTCAAGACTCTCACTGATGCCGTGAAGGAGAGTAGATGCTTTCGAATATTTATCACGAGCCGGCCGGATCCTGTTATTCAGGAGGCCCTGGAACCAATCTCAATCAGAGACAGGTTGACAGATGGCCTGACGGATCGACTCCATAACACCAATTATCCGGATAACATGGACGATGTCGCAACATATGTTCATCAGTCACTGGATAATGTGCTTCCGCCTGAGAAGAGGCACAGACTGGTCGAGAAAGCCAACGGGCTGTTCATTTGGGCGAGTACAGTTTGCCGAATACTCCAGGACAAAACGACTATCATCGATCCGGACCGTATATATGATCGCCTTCTCTCGATCGATCAGCCCGGTGCAATAGACGGCGTATACGATCTCCTGTTTGAGAGAGCCGGGCAAGCATCCAAGGCAGTAATCCATCAAATGCTCGCTATCCTACTTATAGCGTTCGAGCCGCTCACCGTCAGTGATCTTGATGACTTGGTCAAACATGCAGGAATAGGTGGAAGCGCGAAAGCGCTGATGCAAATCCTTGGAAGCGCGCTCAAGGAGGATCCAACCACGAGACTGATCCACTTTCGCCATCCCACCTTTGTCGAATACCTTCGACGCCGCCGCATCATTCCAAACGTTGATGGCCTGACGGAGTTCAATGTGAACGCTTCAAATGTACATGGTCAACTGGCGTCCTGGTGTCTCAAATGCCTCGTATCGCCGACAGACGGTCTCAAGTTCAATATATGCCAAATCGAGTCATCGTTTTACTTGAATAGACAGATACCGGATTTCGATACCAGAGTATCGAATTTCATCTCAAGGAGACTTCTATATGCCAGTTCGCACTGGTCGTTCCATTTGGCCGAAACCAACGACAGCTGGCGACAACAATCGGAACAACAGCTCCAGCGTGTGATAAGGAGCCCATACCCCTTGTACTGGATGGAAGTTTTGAGCGCGTCAGGTGGAGTAATCCGAGCGATATCCGGCCTCCGATCCATTGCACGCTACCACAGTGTAAGTTATCCAGTACCATCTTTCAAGAGAATAACTCCTTAGATAGCTCGAAGCAGATACTAGGAACCGGATCACTGATATGCGACGTTTCATGATAACTTTTCTGGTGCCTCTCCAAGAGAGCGCTGCACATATTTACATCTCGGGAATACCTTTCAGCCCTCGGAAATCTCATCTTCATATGGATGCCGCCGTTAAATACACAAAGACCCTCAAAGTGGCTCGAGGGCATGCGGAAGCGTATCCAGAGCCGCCCCAACGACTTGATGGCCACGACGATAGTGTAATGGCTGTTTCGTTCAGCCCAGATGGACACCGAATCGTTTCCAGCTCCTCGGATAAGACGGTTCGGTTATGGGATGTGGAAACTGGCCAGCAATTAGGAAAGCCACTTCAAGGTCATACAGGTTCTGTCACGAGCGTCGCATTGTCGCCGGATGGGTTGCGAATCGTCTCTGGCTCGCATGACCACACGGTTAGGTTATGGGACGCACAAACTGGTCGACCAATGGGAGTGCCACTTCGAGGTCATACATCTTGGGTCACGAGCGTCGCATTCTCTCCAGATGGGTTGCGAATCGTCTCTGGCTTGTATGACCACACGATTAGGTTATGGGACGCGCAAACTGGCCGACCATTGGGTGAGCCACTTCAAGGTCATACAGATTCTGTCACGAGTGTCGCATTCTCTCCAGATGGGTTGCGAATCGTCTCTGGCTCGCATGACTGCACGATTAGGTTATGGGACGCACAAACTGATCAACCAATGGGAGAGCCACTTCGAGGTCATACATATGTGGTCAGGAGCGTCGTATTCTCGCAAGATGGGTTGCGAATCGTCTCTGGCTCGCATGACCACACGATTAGGTTATGGGATGCACAAACTGGTCAACCAATAGGAGAGCCACTTCTAGGTCATACAGATTGGGTCAGGAGCGTCGCATTCTCGCCAGATGGGTTGCGAATCGTCTCTGGCTCGGATGACCGCACGATTAGGTTATGGGACGCGCAATCTGGTCAACCAATGGGAGAGCCACTCAAAGGTCATACAGATCGGGTCATGAGCGTCGCATTCTCACCAGATGGGTCGCAAATTGTCTCCGGCTCGGCAGACCGCACAGTTAGGCTGTGGGTCGTGGGTAGTAACATATCAACCACGGTGCTCACAGGTCGTAACTATGCGAGAAGTGCTATATTCCCAGCAGATGGCAGGCACATCCTCCCTCGCTTGGCTGCCGACGTCAAGCGACGCTGGAATACAATGACACAGGCAATCTCAAAAAATCAACTTCGAGACGATACATATCAGATAACAAGCATTGCATCCTCGCCAGATGGGTTGCAAATTGTCTCTGGCTCGGATGATCACACGATTAGGTTATGGGACGCGCAAACTGGTCAGCCAATGGGAGACCCACTTCGAGGTCATACATATTCGATCAAGAGTGTCGCATTCTCGCCAGATGGGTTGCGAATCGTCTCTGGCTCGGATGACGCCACGATTAGGTTATGGGACGCAAAAAATGGTCAACCAATGGGAAACCCACTTCGAGGTCATACAGATTGGGTCCGGAGCGTCGCATTCTCGCCAGATGGGTTGCGAATCGTCTCTGGCTCGGATGACCGCACGATTCGGTTATGGGACGCACAAACTGGCCAACCAACGGGAGAGCCACTTCGAGGTCATACGCATTGGGTCAGGAGCGTCGCATTCTCGCCAGATGGGTTGCGAATCGTCTCGGGCTCGCGTGACCAGACGATTAGGTTATGGGACGCACAAACTGGTAATCCATTGGGAGAGCCACTTCTATGTCACACAGATTGGGTCACGAGTGTCGCATTCTCGCGAGATGGGCTGAGAGTCTGCTCTGGCTCGTCTGATGGCACTGTTAGGCTGTGGGATGTAGCTAACTGTAAGTGCCAGCTCGGCTTATCCTCCTTTCTATTCTCAGCATCTCACCACTACCGTTAGATATGCGTGTGGAGTCCCTGGAGCCAGGAGCCAAAGACCATGGGGCTCCTCTCTGTGTGGTGCAACCGGGTACTTTTCTACCCATTGCTGTGCCTGGAATCGAACCGTGCTATCTTTTGGAGGATGGTTGGGTGTGCTCCATGAGCAAGTACCTTTTCTGGGTACCGCCTGAGTATCGGGCCAGTCTGAAAGACCTGCGTTCCCTCCTATGCATACCAGAGGCGAGGTTGCCACAGATTGTCAAGCTTGACTTTACTGATTTTCAATGTGGACCATCCTGGGTGAATGTTCTATAGGATGCCAAATAGCGAGTGAATAGTAGTATTGCTATTGAATAGCACCTTGCGTATTGGACACTAGCTTGTGAAAGTAGGTAGAGACCTGTCAGCGACAAACGAGTGTCGGATAGTAGTGGCTCCTAGGAATGGTACATATCGGAGGTATCTATTGGTTTTCAACAAAATAGGGGGATGAAACGTAATATATTCGTAGAAAAATCATCCGCCAACACTAACTGCACAGCTGATTAGTCCTGACTGGATCCACCGAGCAAGATTCTCCACGCGTACTGAGGCCGTAGGCGGTTTTATAGTCTCGAAACCATATAACGCATCTTGCCTCCGCCTCTGTAAGCAAAAGTAGTGTGAGCGTCCGCGTCTCACATTTCCGCCGAAAGCGCCCAGAGCTCTCACTCTCTCTCGTAGACTGATCCATCTTGGGCAAGATTTCTCGGGAGAGCCCACACGGCCTCCTGCGTTACCTCCTCTTAGTTCCGTTCATCATCTTCCCACCGTGACTAGACTCGATGTGATGTCGGATGACGAGGCGAGATATCGTCCTAGATATGGTGGGACTAACGGTGACTTGGGCGAGCGAGCTGCGACGCGGAGCAATGCGACATCGGTCTACAACTTGGATTGATGGTCTATACAAGAGTTTGTACGTGCTCATGTTCACCAGGGCAACCTCTGAGGGACTACGATAAACGGCACGCAATCATCTCAAGAAACGACTACTGTCTGACGATCGGTATGAGATGCTGCAAGACCCGTGTTTCCTCCTGCATCTCTGTTCCTGGATTCAAGAATTGCTTTCTTATGGACAATGGCTGGGTACACTCCGGCGGCAAGTAACTCTTCTGGGTACTGCCTGACAATCGACATGGAATATTCCATTCGCGCCTTCTTCGCACTGTTCCAACAACAAGTTCCTCTCGTGCCACCCAACTTGATTTCACCAATTTCCAATGTGGAACCTCTTGGACAAATGTTGGGATAGAGGCCGAATAGCGACTTGATAGAGTCATTAGCATTGTCAGTAAACAAATTCCATGAATACGAATGGTGATGGGTAAAATAGTCCCGCAGTACCCTGCGTCAAACGTCTTGCCGATTAGGAAATACCAACTGGATCGCCCGGGCGACAATATCGAGGCACAACGAGAGGTTTTAATTGCTGCTTAAGTCTCTGGAGAATGCTCACATTATCACAGGTTCATCTTGGTCGTCTCATCTGCGAATAGGATCCCACGCGACCCAACTCGCCAAAGAGTAACCTTGCATTTTCCACCATTTGTAATATTGCCTTCCCTTGGGAGTGTAGTAGCACTAGTCAACTTACCCGCATCTTCGTCATCCTCCCAGTTCTGTTACGCGCGCGCTATAAAAGACCAAGCGTGCACGCTCGAACCTTCTAAGATTGCGACTGTTTAGGCAATTTGAAGTTGAGTTTTCATATTACGACAAACATAGCTAACAGAACGACCTCTCGATTAGCGTCGAAAGTCGAAGGGCTATGAACGGGTAGGGCCTGGGAGTATCGCGACATAGTCTAGTTCATGGCAAAGGCAATCGCCATCTGTAGTTTCACAGGTTGAAATGGACTGTATACGGTCCCGAGCGACGAAGTGAGAAGAGGAGGATGCGCTTGACCAAGTCGGGAGTAAGCTGAGAGTACAGGCATTTCGCGCTTGATAAACTATCTGTACGCCGAGTTGACTTGAGTAAGTTTACATTTGCGATCTAGATGACATAAATCACCCCGTTCTTAGTGGTTGACAATACAAACATATGGGTGTGTAGTCATATGATACACATAGCGACAGATGACTCCGCTCCAACGGTGCGACTGACACGCACGAAATCCGGAGTGGACTTGAGCACGTCTGTCTTCATTGTGGAAGAGGCGTAAGCCCTTGCTGACTCCTTGTATTGAGGGCTAATGTCATCAGCGATCATCACCCAGTCGCGTGTCGCCTCAGAGGTCCAGCGTACCGCTATTCCATTAGGAAGAAGGATAAGGCAAGGATTCGTGAACAAAATAGTGCACAATAGTGTATGCGGTCTAGGCAGCTCGCGAGGGCTTGGACTGCTTCAGTACGACGAGTGTGGGCGGCATTGAGTGCACTTACTACGAGCTAAACTGTCTTCTGGACAAAAGCCGCTGCTGACTGGATGACCGAATGAGCTGGTGAGATCCAAGTTTCGAATAGTTGAACCTTGTCCACAACATCCGCTGGGCCGGCCCGCACCGAGTTCGTAGAAGAACATGGCGATAACAAGTCGAAATCTACTTATAAAATCCAAGGTTGATGTCTGGTAATCGATTCACACACCCAGTTGGCATCGAGCTTTTGGATGCTGACATCAGACCCGCTTTCCCTACCTTTTTTTTACAGATTTTGGAGCAGAACCAGCGTCTAGAATCATCAGGTATCGGCGACAACTGGCTCCCGCACTTCCCGGGTAGCTTGGCGGATCTCATGTTCATCAGCAATCACGTCCAGTTTCGTGTTCAGTGAGGAAGCTCTATCGTCCAAATGTCACCTCTGGATCAGAGCCATCTCTCGACTTTCTCAGAGACGTCTAGCCGCCCATGCTCGACCTCGACAGCGCCACGGTCTCCCTCTAAGTCTCCTTCGTAGTCCCGAGCCAACAGATCTCCAGGATGCAGAGGCAGCAAAAGCATTGTATGACAAGTTGATGGGAACTTCAATGGCACTGCGCGATATTGGGCCGAAATCTACAATAGTGCGCCACCAATGGAGACAAAGGCGATATCGGGAAATACCGAGGGCGAGGAAAAGGCGACTGGCGATGGCAAGAATGGCAGGGATGCTGGCGGAGAAAGCTCCAGTCGTCAACGAAATCGCCGTCGCAAGTCTCAACGTTGCTCATGTCCAGCAGTTCGAAGCATTGGGCTTTGAAGATAGGTGATGCGCTTTTCCTGGGACCTTCTCAACCTCGCATCTGATTTGCGAACGTAGTTTGACGTCCCAATGAGGCTAAACTATCGTGGAGAGAAATTTTCATGGATAGCGGATGCTGAGTAGTTGAGAGGCTTCCTTCGGACCGACTACGTAGCAAGTCAGCTCGAAAGCTCAGCGGCGTGTGTCTAAACCTCCACACCATTATCCTTGTATCTATTCACTTCACCCTCGTCATAAACGTGTTCGAGTCCTAGAAAATATGGCAAGTTCCCGTTTCATCCTCGTCAACACTCTGGGCTCATCCGGAACAGAATATTTGGCGTCTCGTCTACACCAAGATATGAACCGTTAGAGCACAAGCAAGCTGAGGGAGTTTCCGATGATCAAGTCTCTCACACGTGAGACACTCCCGCCAGTCTCCGTCTTTTGTCATGATCCCCGCGTGTATGTCTCCCCCTGCGTTCTAAAAAGCGTATCTGATGTTTCTAGTATACATTAAAGGCAGCGATCCTATACTCCATCCGACTCACAAGCTCGTCCAGAAGCTCTTTACAGAGAACCCTTCGTCCGCGCCACTCATTCTCCTCACGACAAGCTGAAACCAGGTACATTCGCATAAAAGGACGGGTTATTGCCCTATAGTGTAGAGAGATTGTCGGCAATGTACGCATGACAAGTTACGACCCGCAACGACATGCCAGGCTCCGTCAAGCGACAAATAATGATGGATCAATTCGTAGTCGATTCGATTACTTTGCATGCGCAGCTCCGAAATAATGACGCCGAAATGTAAACTGGAGGTGCGCAGCTCGTCGAAGAGATGGAGGACTTCCTCGCGGCGGGTAAACCTTTGAGGCTCAGCTATTCATTTCCCATGAGTATTTGTTGGCGAGCCACGCGACTGTTTTGCCAATTACATATCGCTCTCAACGACTAGACGTCATTCCATATCATCACAATTCTTCAACCACGCCCCGATCGTCCGTTCGGGTGCTGTTACATGCCAAGTAATGGGGTGCACCTAACGCGTGTTTCGAGGTGTGACGCAATCAGCAAGGTAAGAGCTAAATGCAAATGTCGCTGCCAGATTCAGATGTTGACGTTTGCTGGGATAGGACACTGGAGAAGCAGCAAGACAGTGGGGCTCACCAAAGCAAGACCTAGTGCAAATTATATCCAGTATGTAACCATCCGCGCGCGCGAGGCCCGGAATGATGCCTAGTGAACTCAACCGAGATATGAGAGTGCTTCCTTATGGCCATATTTGAAGTGATACTCTCTGTATATTGCCGCGCGGGCTCAATAGTAGGTGCAAACCTATCCCCGATCTCGATTAGAGCAACGCTGATCAGAAGCCAAACGCGCCACTTTGACACTACGTTTCCAACCTCGGAATACGGCAATGAATTTGATTTCAGGTGTAAGCCCCAGGATATGCATATTCTTCACAACCATAATGGTTTGATTTCTATAGAATCGGAAAAGGGGGAGGGCCCTACCCCGAATGGACGACCCGCGATTATCATTTTCAACTCTCTTCGCTGGCCGTCTTCTGTCAGGCTAGAAAACCTCCGCTCACAAGAAACAAGTCTTGTTCCCAACCTTTCCTTGCCTCGTCAGACTAGGCGTAAAGCTAGGACTACGCCACGAGCTTCCAGCACCTGACCGATACCAGTGATTCACCCAAATTCGCCATTGCGCCTGAATATCCCGGAACGGAACGTGGCACGTCCGTATGCCTAAACCCGAGACAAAACATTATGGAGTCCTGGAAATATCACCGGGTATCAATCCCATTGTCGAGTAAGTCGTCTCTCTGCCCTTGGGCTGGTCGCCGCTGACCTTGGCTTGAGCATCATCGCCATTCACGGCTTAAATGGTCACAGAGAGAAATCCTGGACGACAGATAGTGGAACCCTTTGGTTACGCGACCTCCTGCCGTCCTCATTGCGCCACGCCCGAGTGCTCACGTATGGATATGACGCCGATACTCAGAATGAGGAATGCGTATCGACGCTCAATATGCGCCAGCAGGCCGTAAAACTAGCCCAGGATATTTCGCGGAAGCGTAAAGATACCCCTCGGGTGAGTGAATGCCTGTTGTTGATCCTCTTTCTAAATTACCATTAGCGTCCGATCATTTTCGTTGCGCACGACTTGGGAGGGATCATTCTCAAATGGGTCTGTTGAGACCTATGCCGTTCCTTGCCCGCTGACGTCCTCTTAGGCACTCGTTGAATGCAATAATCAGCAGCTGGATTCCAAGTGTGACCTCCGGAACATTCTCGTCTCGACCCACGCGATATTATTCTTCGGCACCCCGCACTCTGGCGTGGAAAGCGATTTCATTGAGACATTCACCCAATTTTTATCTGCTCACATGAAAACGACAGACGTAATCCTCAAGGACCTTCGAGCAAACTCATCCGAACTTATCACCGTGCAGAGTTTCTACGTCCGATTTGGCCATAAGATTCACACCGTATTTTTCCACGCGGAGTACGAGGCCACGTTGGAGAGTGGAAAAAGGACGCTGCTTGGTGCAACCTGTCTATATACATGACTTCGCTCTGACTCAGCATAGAACGTTCCTTCTCATTCAGCGTCCATCGCTGGTGATGCCAAAGCCGAAACAATTGCACTCCACAGCAATCATCGCGATTTGGTCAGATTCCCTAGTCCCGAGAGTGACGACTACAAAACGGTACTCTATTATCTTGAGAATTACGCCAACAATGCCTCCAATGAGCAACTTGACAAATGGTTTAGGGAGGAGAACATGCGTGGTGAGTAAATATTCCTCTATCTACGATGTTCGCTAATCTAGACGCAGTCGCTGCCAAGGGAGGACCTATCGTGCAGCCGGGTAAGTTGCACCTAGCGTGGCACTGATGCATGCTAAGGAATTTCAGACGATATCTCCTTCATATTACATCTGCCAATTTCGACCTTCGTCTCATCCTCTGTTCATAGTCCCTGCCTTCAAGGGACTCGCGAAGCCGTCCTTGAGACAATCTGGCGGTGGGCCGACGACGACACTTCAGACAAGCCCATATTCTGGCTATGTGACATAGCTGGCTCTGGGAAATCCACAGTTGCGATGTCTGCTGTACAGAAGTGGAAGAGCGAAGAAAGATTAGGCGGCCAATTTTTCTTCTCTATATCAAGCATCGAGGCGTCCAATACGGAGAAATTCTGCTCTACTATGGCGAGAGAACTCGCTCAGTACATTCCAGAGCTTGGACCGTACATCGCCAGCGCCGTCAAGCAGAACCCTGCGATAGTACGAAAGTCATTCAATGATCAATTCCAAACGCTCGTCACCGATCCTCTTCAGCATCTGCAAAAAAGCGTTATCTTGGTCATCGATGCACTCGACGAATGCAAGTCTGGGTCACAGAGACACGAGATCCTCGAGAGTCTCGTTACTGGTGTCCAGAAAAGCAAGAAACTCCGCGTGTTCATCGCGAGTCGTCCGGACCGCATCATCGAAAAGGCTTTACGCCCTCTTTCTATCAAATCGGCGTTGACAGATCGCCTCCATTCGACCAATCGCTCGGTGGAGTGCCTCCTGTGCTTTCTCAGGAAAAGAGGCACAAATTGGTCGAAAAGGCTAATGGGCTATTCATCTGGGCGAGCACTGCGTGTCGAATACTCAAGGACGAAACGAGTCTAATCGACCCTGAGAACACATACGACCGCCTAGTCTCTATTGATCAGCCTGGGGCCATAGATGATGTATACAATCTCATCTTGGATCGTACGGCCCAAGAATACAGGGCCGTCATGTATCAAATGCTCGCCATGATACTTGCCGCATTCGAGCCGCTCACCGTCTTCGATTTAGAGGACTGGGCGAAACATGTCAAAGTAGCCGGGAGTGTTGAGCTTCTGGTGCAAAACCTAGGAGCGTACTCAAGAAGGATCCGGTCACAAGTTTGGTTCAATTCCGGCATCCTACTTTCGTCGAGTACCTTCGACGTCGTGACGTCAAGCCAAACGTCACTATATCAAAAGAACTCCTTATCGACTCCTCGAACGCCCATGGCCAAGCAGCTTCCTGGTGTTTCAAATGCCTCTTGTCGCCGGAAGGCCTCAAGTTCAACATATGCCGAATCGAGTCATCATTCTATCTGAATAAACAGATAAAAAATCTCGAGGCCAAAATATCCAAACACATCTCAAGGAGACTTCGATATGCCAGCTCGCATTGGTTGTTCCACTTGGCTGAAGCGGACGACGGCTGGCGACAGAAACTGGAGGTAGAGCTTAAACGTATAGTCGGGAGTCAATACGTTCTGCATTGGATGGAGGTCTTGAGTGTAACAGGAGGAGTCCAGAGGGCGATAGATGGGCTTCGAACCCTTATGCGGCACAGAAGTGTAAGTAAATCTACCCCTTTGTGCGTCTTGCTATGCTTACATCATAAATAGTTCGAACAGAATACTAGCGGTCGGATAACCGAGATTCAAAGATTTATGATGGCTTCTTTGGTGCCTCTCTCGGAGAGTGCTCCGCATATCTATATCTCGGCATTACCATTCAGCCCTAGTTTATCCTATCTACATATTGAAGGCGCAAAGGAGTATCCGAGGACCCTCAAGGTAACTCAAGGCCTTGAGGAGACGTACCATGGACTCCCCCAGGCGCTTCGTGGTCACAGAATTCATGTCAACTCCGTCTGCTTCTCGCCAGATGGATTGCAAATTCTTTCTAGCTCAAGTGACCAGACGATCCAGCTATGGGATGCGGAAACTGGACAGCCATTAG